GCTTGTTGTTTTCCTCCTGTATCAAGGCTTTATAAAAACATTAATTGTTTTTATAAAACAGTTGATATCCCCCGGCAACACAAGTTGACAAGAAAGTGTCGATTCTTTCAAATGGAAATTAGATAGATTTCTTTTAGGAAATAATATTTGGGGATACAGCATACGAGTAGTTCAGGACATGACACTGCATGCGACTGCCACAATGGTGGAAAGTGAACTGGGTGAACCTTGGTCTTTATTTGTCTAGCATATCCCATGTTTCTAACACCTCAAGAAATACGAAATACTAACTTCAATAGCAAAAGGACAGAACATAAGCAAAATGCTTCCTCATTGGAGGGAGGGAGAAAGTGAAGAAGAAGTGAGCAACTGGAAGGGGAGTTATCTAATAAGCATTATTTTGCACACTTGGAATTGACAAGTTGCATTAAGAAGTCAGCAGGTGATCTCCTTAAGTAATGTCCTTAATGGTTAGGAGAGGGAGAAGCAAAAGGAAAGCGAGATATGAAACTCTAACATTTGCAGAAATCACTTTGCAGTGCTGAGATCCACAGCAAGCTCTATTTTGGCAGTAATGTTGTAAGTTGGTAGAGGCGGATGTATTGACATGAGTTGAGGACAAAAGTGGGGTAGAGTGTGATGTTCCGCAAAGTAGCCAAAACACACCTTCACATCTCCAGCGAATAACAGCTTAGATATGTACAGCACTGAAGAAGGCCTTTCAGCCCATCATATCAACTGTATAGGAAAAAGAGTCAAAACGCTTTCAAGATGAGGATTAATTGGATAGGACAAAAAGAAACACATGGCAACATTGCTGCTGAAGGGTTCAGAGTATCTGAATTTAAAACTGTTCAAGCACAGACAGTATTGTTTCTGGCTGATTGCAGGCTCTGTCCACCCTTCCAGACCAGCTATATCATAATCTTTGCATTTGACATAGCGCCTTATCAAGTCGTCGAAGCATCTCAAAGCGTTTCACAGAATACACTGTAAAGTGATTTGATTGTGTATTTTGTGGGTGAAACACGGCAGCCAATTGCACATAGCAGGCAGTGTCCCACAAACAGTCGTGGATTGAGTTTTAAACGCACTGGCCTACACATAACTCACCCGAACATTATGGAGTTTGCCTGCAGACATACCTGTGGGCTCCTGAACGATATTGGTGACAGCATTAGTCACCTGAAAATCTAATTTCATAAGAAAAAGATTTGAAACAAAGCAGACTTGCTCTTGACCCTTCCGTTAACCCACTTAATAGGGTTACTCCCACCAGAGCATTTAAAGTGAGATCCAAATTTCATCTGCAATGTTTTAATCCTCATTATCTAAATGCCTAAGGAGTTAAGGTTAATTAAAAAGAAGAGGGAAATTCAGCCACTTAGAACTAATGTCAAGTCATTGTTTATCAGAGCATTCATTTTTAGTACAAAGATTTTAATACAATTAACCCAAGATCCAATTCCACCTTACTTGGAGGAATGAAACACAGGCTACTCTACTGGCTCTCTACTAACAAAACTGCATTCTTCATTCCTGCCATGGTTGTCCTATTGTCTATTGCAGCAAATACTGTACTGTCTCATGGTTATTTTGTTCCCTTCTCTTGTGAAAGGTCAAATATTAAACCCGTGTTAGGATATTTGCCAAAATTCCCATTGTTCAATTGTGAATGTAGACAATGAATGTTGGCAGGGTGTTTAGATTTTGAAGGGGGTGGTGGAGAAACAAGAATTACTCTAGGATGCCTCCTCCCCACCTCCCACATCTCACCCTGTCCTCACCCATATGTCTTTGCAGCCCAGCAAGAAAATAGTCTTAACAGACAGAATACCTTGGCCTGACAACACTGCAGTCAACCATTGTTTCTGTTTCGTCCTCTTTTTTCTTCTCAAACTACAGAAGGCCCACTTTATTTGTGCTTACTGATAAAGAAAGGTTTGTTGGGCGAGATACAAGAGCCTAAGAATCCCATACCTTACTGTAAGTCAGTACCTATGGGCGAGTGGGTGAATGGGGAGGAATCCCAAAATGATTGCTTGCCATTTTGCTACACTTATAAATCATTAAGAATGTCACTGCAGAATTATAGCTAACATTGGTCACCAGATAACTAGAACGGTGACCATTGTGGCTGCAGCTGAATTATTATTAAAGCACGTGTTAATACAGTATTCTGACAAGAGAAACAGTCCGAACTCATCTTATAAAATCACCTGTCAGCGCATTATAAAAGGAGCAGTCTGGTCATTCACTATGTACCGAGAGTGCATTTATATATACCGAGCATTCGTAACATTACCCAAATAAACCAGAAACAGTACACATCACCGGTTTAAAAAAAAACTAATGCAATTCATGCAATCGGGTTTTTTTTGTTGAAAAAGTCCAATTTGAACCGGTTCAAATCGAGAGCGGATGAGTGCCGCATTTAAGAAAATAATGCTGTATTGTTCGGGGCACTGGTATGTGTAATTCCGGTGATATTCCTAATTGGTCTGCAATGACTGTAATGGCTCGGCAGCTTGCAGCAGCAGCAATTGCAGTTTTCCTGTACAGAGAGCTTCAGTTGCAATGACATCATCCTTATTGGAGCCTCGCTTGAGCACAGCTGATGGATGTATAAAGACCCCAGGAGACAGTCTGAATGCAGGCAATTCAAGATTTTTTTTTAACATCAACTACCACCACCACCCCCCCCCCCCCCCCCACCCCCACCATCCCCTCCTCCTCCAAAGATCTCTATTGTTTACAATGCTGCAATGCATTGCTCAAGAGCAATGCAAACTAAACACCTCCTCCCTCCCTCCCCAAAAAAAATATATATTATATTTTAATGTTGCAAATTCATCAGCTAGAAATTGCTAAACCTCCCCCCCCCCCACCCCACCACCACCACCACCACTAGATATCTTCACTTTAGTAAACAATGTGACATGTGCAGTGAAAGCAGGAAAGCAACTGTTTCGCTGGATTCACGTATTAATAAAGCCTTTTGGATTTGACCAGGTGAGTGCAAACTCATCCACAGTTTGCAAAAAAAAACATTGCAGGATTTAAACCTTCAGGGTACAAAAGGAGGAAATAGTGATAGTAACGTTATATCGAAAAACACACTTACACAAACAATGAGCATGGAAATAACACTTGGATTAAGTCATTAAAACTTACACAGTCTTATAAAACGTCTGGGGGGGGGGGGGGAGAGAATTTTTTGCAGACATTTCTGGAGACAGGAGATGGAGAACTGGGTGCAACAGTGCATTCATTTTTGTTTTGTTTTTTTTTTAAAAAAATGTGCTTTGACCTCTTAACTGCTTTATCACTGAAACAGAACAGGAGTGACGGTGTCGATTTTAAAACAGAAACCGTCCCAAAGCGAACAAAAAAAAAATGAACACAGTACAGTCCATGACATCCCCCATGTGTCACGTTGCATGCGATCAGGGGAACCAACAGTGCACAAACACACCAGCAATGCAACACAGGACCGGGGTGGGATTCAGCAATACTGTATTTGCTCTATAACGACTGGAACCTGTGAGTTATGATAGAGACGCAGTCACCAGTTTGGCTTCAGTGCAGCACAGAGACACACACATATCAATTCACTTCAAGCAACTGTGGATGGGGGGGGGGGAGGGGGGGAGGAGGGGAGGGTCTCAGTGGATTTAACTCAACAGATAGTAAACCCTTCGAACCAGGTCATGGCTTTAAACTCGGTCTTAAGTAAATCGGTTCACGATCCGACTCACCAGAGAAAACTCTGGCAAATAGCAACCACCAGACAAGACTGAGTGCTGTTTCTTTTGGGGATGAAAACAAAAACACACACACACACACACACACACAGAGACTTTGTAACGAGTGACCCTCATGCAGAGAAACTGTCTTTGTGATACAGTGTATATATGTGTGTGTGTGTGTATAGAGAGGGTCGGTGTTACACAGTAACAGCTCACGGGCTCTCAGGGAGGTTCCAGATTGTAAACATTGAACATTTGCTGATGTTACTGCGAGAGAAATAAAGAGAGGAGTGAGTGAGTGAGTGAGTGAGTGACCTGTCAAACCAGGGCTCTGTGTGTGTGTGTGTGTGTGTGTGTTCAAAAGGCATCACTTCCTGCAAACAACACAACACACACAATAACACAGCAACAACAACACACAATAACACACAACAACACACAACACACACAACAACACACAATAACACACAATAACACACAACACAACACACAATAACACACAACACACAATAACACACACAACAACAACACACACAACACACACAATAACACACAATAACACACAACACAACACACAATAACACACAACACACAATAACACACACAACAACAACACACACAACAACACACAATAACACACAACACAACACACAATAACACAGAACACACAATAACACACACAACAACACACACAACACACACAATAACACACAACACACAACACAACACACAATAACACACAACACACACAATAACACACACAACAACAACACACACAACACACAACACATACAATAACACACAACACACACAATAACACACACAGCAACACACAATAACACACAACAACACACAACAACACACACAACAACACACACAACACCACCAACAACAACAACAACAACACCACCAACAACAACAACACCAACAACAACAACACCACCACCACCACATGCCCTGTTCCTGGAGGAGGCGCCGCTGGAAGTGGTGGGAGTTTCTGTGCACAGAGTGTAAACCGTTGCCCTTTAGGGGCTTTATTATTATTATTATTATTATTTTTTTGGGGGGGGGTGGGGGGTGGGGGTGAGGGTAGTGGTGGTGATGGTGATTTATTTATTTACAGGGGTCGAAGTTTGCGTCCGGTCTGGGTCTGGGTCTCCAATCGCAGGAGAGTGGTGGTGGGGAGGGGGAGTGAGTGGGGAGTGAGTGGGGGAGTGGGAGTGGGGGGTGAGGAGGGGGGGAAACACTTACCCGACAGCTCGTCCGGCTCCAAACCCGTCTCGACGTCCAGTCCGCTCAGCACAAAGTAATCAGCGAAGCGGCAGCCGGCGGTGTTGTTGGCGGTCATGGTCAGGTTTGCAGTGGGAGGGAGTGGAGTGGAGGGGAGTGGAGTGGAGTGGAGGGAGTGGAGGGAGTGGAGTGGAGGGAGGGGAGTGGAGGGAGTGGAGTGGAGTGGAGGGAGTGGAGGGAGGGGAGTGGAGTGGAGGGGAGTGGAGGGAGTGGAGTGGAGGGAGTGGAGTGGAGGGAGTGGAGGGGAGTGGAGGGAGTGGAGGGAGTGGAGTGGAGGGAGTGGAGGGAGTGGAGTGGAGGGGAGTGGAGGGAGGGGAGGGAGTGGAGGGAGGGGAGTGGAGTGGAGGGGAGTGGAGGGAGTGGGGATGGGGAGGTGGGGGGGGGGGGAGAAGATGCCTTTTCCTTTCCTCCCTCTCCCCAGCCCTGTGCCCCTCTCTCTCTCTCTCTCTGTGTGTGTGTTTCTAGCTCAGACTCTCAGCCCTTCCCACTCGCTGCATCTCCCCTCACAGCAGTGTGTGTGGTGTGTGTGTGTGTGCTGCATGCCGGGTCCCCCTCTCCCCTCCCTCTCTCCCCTCTCCTGCTATTTGCTGCTTTTTTTAAAAAAAATACATTCGCTGCTACTGCCACCGCTTTGAACAGTCATCTCCTGCCACTGCCTTCAGCTGCCAGTCTGCACCTCGCCACAAGAATGCAAACCCCATCCCCTCTCCTCTCCCCTTCTCCTCTCCTCTTCCCTTCCCCTCTCCTCCCCTCTTCCCCTCTCCTCCCCCCTTCCCCTCTCCTCCCCCTTTCCCCTCTCCTTCCCCTCTCCTCCCCCTTCCCCTTTCCTCCCCCTTCCCCTCTCCTCCCCCTCTTCCCCTCTCCTCCCCCTTCCCCTTTCCCTCTCCTCCCCCCTTCCCCTTTCCTCCCCCCTTCCCCTCTCCTCCCCCTCTCCTTCCCCTCTTCCCCTCTCCTCCCCCCTTCCCCTTTCCCTCTCCTCCCCCTTTTCCCTTCTCCTTCCCCCCTTCCCCTCTCCTTCCCCCCTTCCCCTTTCCTCCCCCCTTCCCCTCTCCTCCCCCTTTCCCCTCTCCTTCCCCCCTTCCCCTCTCCTCCCCCTCTCCTCCCCCTTCCCCTCTCCTTCCCCTCTCCTCCCCCTTCCCCTCTCCTCCCCCCCTTCCCCTCTCTCTCAGGTTCAGTGATATGTTTACTATTTTTTTTAAATTTTTATCATCGAAATAAAAATAATAATAATGATGATGATGATGATGATAAAATCAATGTGACAATAATATAAAGATAGTCCTGGAAAGTGTTTCTCCTCCACACACACTCACACACACATTCTGCACATTTTTATTTGTATCCCCTTTTTTTAAAAAAAAATAATGTATATATATGTAGATGTATAGAAATATATTGCTGCAGATGGGAAGTTTGCAGAATTGAATGTGCTCACGTACAGTCCAGTCAGGCAGGCGGTTTGGCTGCCAATCATGACATCATTGCACTGCAGATCAAAAAGGGAACAACATCCGTTTATTTTTATATATATATATATATATAATGAAAAAAACCTGAAGCTCCCATTCTCCAGACTCGGTTGCAATTCCCCAACACTGCAATCCTGTCTGTGTAGCTCGTTTGGGGTGGGTGGGTGGGTGGGGGGGTAAGGAACTATAATTTGGGAATAATTTAATACAAATTGAACATAAATTATTGGCTGCTTTTATTTTTTTTATAAGCTGTATTGATACAACTACTGTTTGTGTTCTTTATTGAGATACTTCGCTGCTGCTGTACTGTTTTAACGCCTTGAACTGAAGAACAAAGAGCGTGAGGGAACAGTTTCAATGAAGTGGCACACTGTACATGAGTCACCACTGAGCTTTTTTTTTCTGGTTTGCCTTTATAAGAAGTTTATTTGTCAACTCGAAAAATGTAAATCACCGTCTACTATATATTGAGACCGGAATCTGATCCATTACGATTATATTTATAGGTTGCCTTTCACGCGGGGTAGCATCTCAGAGCTTATTAAAGCTGTGGAAATTAACCTACCAATATTGACACTACTACTGTTAATAACATAGTTCCACATCTAGACTTTGAGCCTGTAGTCTAAGCTACACTCCACACTGGGGAAGCATTGCGTTGTCAGAATAACGTTTGGATAAGACGTTAAACTGAGGTCCCCTCTGCCTGTTCAGGTGGAAATTAAAGATCCCATGGCACTATTCAAAAAGAGCAGAGAGTTTATTCCTGTATCCTGGCCAACAATCCCAAGGTTAAACATTGGCACAGCTGTTTAGGAGACATTGCTGAGTGCAAATTGGCTACTAAAATCACGCTGTTACTGCACTTTACAGAAAATTGTGCATTGAGATGTTTCGATAATGTGAAAAGTCCCAATATCAAATGCAAGGATTATTATTGTGATCTACCACCAAAAATCTATAGAATATAAAACTTTCAAAAATGTGTCCTTTCCTCCTTCATCTATACAGGGGCTTTTTGGAATGTTGACTCAGCTGAATGTAGTTTTCTGACATTTTTGTTTTCCCTCCCCTCCCCTCCGAAAGCTGTCTGCACAATGTAACACTTTATTGCTGCTACCCTTTCTTCCCTTTTAAGGATTCTTTCCACGATTCTCTTCCTCGTCTTTCCCCCTTCAATATTTGTGCCGAAAGATCCTTATGTATTACCTTTGCCTTTGTTGTTCTCCATACCTCTCTCCACTATCTTACTACCCCTTTCCTCAGTTTCTCCCACAAAATATACAGTCAATTCACTTTACAGTATATTCTGGGAAAAGCTTTGAGATATCTCAATTGACGTGATAAGGCACTATATCAAAAGAAAGGCTTATTATTATTACTATTATTATAGGTATATCAGCCTAGTTCAGTACTCTCATTCTTGGGTCAGGATGTAGGTTCACGTTCCAAGGGTGCTGGCTACCCTCCAGTCTCTCAGCCAAATGGCAATTGTATGAAAGCTCTAACGAACGACCTAAAATGTTAACTCATTTTCCTCTCTCCATAAATACCACCTGACCTGCGAGTGTTCCCAGTGACTTCTGCTTTTATTGGTAAATGTATTGGTTTTTTTCTGTTCTGTTATAATCCCATTTTCAATCGTCTGTCAACGAAACAGTGCTGCAGATAGCTTCCCAATTTGTCTGCCTATCAATAATAATACTTAGTTTCTTGAAAAGTTCAAGAAGTCCTACAATTAAGCAACACTGAACTCGGTCATATCGTGACATGGTTCTGAATTACTGCAATTACTTCCTTTGTTCTCTAGTCTTTCATATCACATTAATAATTTTTAAAAAAGTGTATCCCAAAATGTTGAACCTATGTGTGTTGTGCTTCTTGTGATCCTATTCCCTCATGCACTTGATTGCTTCTTTCAGTTTTTCATTGCCCTCCAGCCTGGCCTCCCTGACCAATAAAAAGGGATTTCACACACTTGACTGCTGTGTTTTGTGCTGTCTGCCTGATATAGCCAAACATTTATCTGATCAATGTCTCCCTCATTTTCTGCTGTGTAAAGACTTCTACAAATTGACAGCGCTGTACTGTGCTGCAGGGGAGGGCGTTAAGAACATAGCATTTCTAATCTGTCAGGAGATGCACCAAAAGATCTTCTGAGACGAGGAACATTACCTTTGTAACAAACTTCAACTGGGCTGCCAACTTAACCTAACTAATTCTTACTCAGCTCTCTGAGATGTTATTCTACTTGCAGGGCACTAAACAAATTGTTGTTGTTATTCAGGCGTGGAGATAGAACTAGATCCAAATTGCTACTAGGGATGAATTCAGTTGATCAGTTTACAAAGTACTGTAAATGTATTTTTAGCAAATTTCTACTTCAGTCAGATTTACCACTGAGAAAGCACAATTAATGTTCATATATTTATTCAACAGCAGTATTCAGAGACTAGAACCCGACCCATTTTCTACATTCTCGTTTTCATAATATTATGCTCATCCTTTTAGATAGTCAAAAGAGAATAAATAACCCATGATGAGGAAAGTGACTTATTGGTAATGATATCCAGATCAATGAACAGCAAATGATCAATGGATTGTTCAACCTCACCCAACATCCACACTCACAAACTTTCTGGTAGGAGTCATTGGTTAGCGATAACAGTAGGAGATCAGGCAGACTTTCTCTCTGTGATACCCAGAGGCAGAGAAGTTAATTGTAGCACCCAATAGCACAGCACTGCAGTAATTAGCTAACTTTGTGGAGTCCTGCAGCTCAGTGATTAGAGCACTCGCCTCGCAAGCGAGAGACCGGGGTTCGATTCCCGGCAGGGCAAAACCTTGGGCAAGTTTCATTACTCCACACGCCTGATAATAATCCCTCAAGAAAGAAAACAATAATAATTTGGTTACTCAATCCACGACTATTTGTGGGACACTGCTGTTTGCAATTGGCTGCCGTGTTTCACCTACAAATATACGGTCCATTCACTCTACAGTATATCCTGTGAAGCGCTTTGAGAAGTCTGGAAGACGTAAAAAGCACTATATCAAATACAAGGATTATTATTATAATAACGCAATAAGATTTGAAGACAGGACCTTCCTGATTTGTTTGGGTCAATACCACATCTGGTATATTTAATGGTCAACTTTTGCAAAGTGTTAACTTTGGAGATTTACCCAAGTACAGTTCTATCCATGGTACTCTGGTATTAATAATCAGCAACTTCTGGGAACGGAAAAAAAATCTAGTCAACAATAATAATCCTTGCATTTGATACAGCACCTTATCACATTATTGAGATGTCTCAAAGCACTTGATTTAATATATTTTGAAGTGGATTGACTTTGTATTTGTAGGTGAAATGCTAATTTTAATTTAATTTGTTTAATGATAAACAAACTAATCAACAGCAAGCTCACTGGAGATGACACTCTCACCAAGCAGAGAGGTAGAATACATACTAAGAATATTACAAATGTAATAATTTGTCAAATAATACTTTTACCGTAAGCTAATGTGTAACGGATTTCATGAGACTTACAATAACCAAGTAGTTGTTAATATTAATAGGTTTTAATAATTAGTGAGCAGCAAAATGTTGACTGTACAAAAGGGTCGTGAGAGTAATCATTCCTCTACATGATGTGTCACTAATTCAACCAGAAAGTGATATAGAAATTAGAGAAATTCCTGAATTTGAAGAATATAAATGTCTAAATAAAACTTTTACCCACTCCTTACGCACTGCAAGTGGAGGTGCGAGGGCTAGGATTACATATTGCTGGGTGAGCATTTAAGTTGCAATTTGCTCTGTATTTTGGTGCCTATCTGACTATTTCTAAATAAAAATGTCAATTGATTTAATCTGTTTATTCGTGTCAATCAGTTTTGGTTGCACACGATCAGTAATGATAGAGAAAGGTCAGGGATTTCATCAGCCGCCTTCTGTCCCTCTCTGAACATCTTTTTGTAAAACCGGAATCACCACATGGTTCTGAAACCTCCCAAAGGCAAGCAACAAAATATTATATAACCTCAGGGACAGAGCAGGTCAGCGTACTTCCCCAGAGTGAAGCATGTCACATTCTAGCTTACTACAAACAGATGGTGAACTGATTCTCTCGGGAAAGCTCTCTAACTTATATACATAACGGTGAGACTGGCTTGATCATACGTAGTGTTTATTATCTCTTCCAGATGTGGGAGCATTTTTAATAATAATAATCCTTGCATTTGATATAGCGCCTTATCACATCTACGAGACATCTCAAAGAGCATCACAGAATATATTGTAAAGTGGATTGACTGTGTATTTTGTGGGCGAAATGTATCTTTAGCACTGTTTATGATTTGAGGTTCCAGTCTTGAGTGTTTTTTTTAATTCACTTCAATATTTGTTAAAGCACCATTTCTTGTTCAATGAAAAGCGCCAAGTACTGTTCTTTGGTCGAGTATTGCAGCTTCAGTGACACCACAGATCTGGGATTTACATTTTATTTGCTTACGTTGGGTACTTAACATCTATAATTCTGTCTGGGCACATTAGCCTAGAGTGCACTTCCTAGATCTCAGCAGAAATCCTGGGAATGCTTGTCTTTTTAGAGCTGACTGGGAATGACGCAGTGAAGGAATTGACCCCTGTCTGATCAGTTCTTCCTTGTCCAGTGATTCCAAGTCCCAACGTGGGACTTGAACCCACAACCTTCTGACTCAGAGACGAGAGCACTACCACTGAGCCTGGCTGGTACACCTTACTCCCACAGCTCCACATCAATACTGGCTTGCCTCGCTCCCGCGATCCCGAATATCTAAGGTGAGGCAGTGCCTCACTTGCCTGATTGACAGAACCACCACTGGAATTAACTAAATATCAATATCAAAGTTATAGTGTGCACCATATATGTTTCAGCGAAGACATGCAATTATTAGGATGAAACAGCTTCAATGGGAGTCTGACAGATTTTTCTTAGAATATCAGTGGAATGGCATGATTACAGGTCAGAGGTATAATTTAAGAGACAGTTATATTTTGCTCTTCAAAAATAGACAAAACTTACTACTAATAGTCACAAAGACATTACTCATAAAATGTACGAATGCTTCATCTAATCACAAGGTTCCTGGCAGAATTTTCAGATTCTACATTGCAGTGCTCCTGAAGCTCATGCTTGCGGATAAGTTGTAACATTCAGAATTTCTTAGCAAAAAAGAAATTTTGTTGAATCGGGTTCCATCACTTCCAGATCTGCTCATACCAAAAAAATACCAAAATCCTTCCTGGAAATCTAATAATGAATACCAACTATTGAGGTAGAAAGTCAATCGGAGAAGGTAGAGAATGAATCAAACCACATTCTCTTGCGCAATAATTGTCCCAAATATATCTTTATATATTTCTCTAAAAAAAGCACAATATATAAACTTGCTTCTTTATAAAAGCAAGACACCTAACAAACGTTTGAGTAAAATATGAAGAAGCTGACTTAATGTTCCAGGGAAAAAATAATATTATTCGTTGATTTTGATATAGCCCTTTACTTCAGGTTGATATCTCCAAGAGAACTCCCTTCTCTTTTTGTACAGTGCTGTAGAACCTTTAACATTCACCTGAACAGGCAGAGAGGACTTTGGTTTAACTTCAAACCTTACTCGGATACAAGATACACCCAGCACCGTATTGGAGTGTCCCACAGACTACAACACAACCTTCTGACTCAAAGTGTTACAAACTGACACCAAACCTACACTTCCAGATTCATATGTGAATGATTCATTTTGTCTAGTTGTGTGTAGTGAGAGGCACAGAGCTTTGTCTCTTTAAACCTGGGGAAAGTGTTCTTACATTACTAGACCTATCAAGTGTTTATGGACAGACAGATAAAATGTCAACACTGAGTCTCTGTCAGGTTAGAAGTTTACCTACAATAAGAGTAAGTCATTTGCCATGATAACTTCACTGTAACTATCGCTGTAATTGATGGTGGAACCATCTTCCATTTGGCAAGTGTTATGATCAGCCATTGACTAAATAGGGTTCATCTTTTATCCTATGTGTTTGTTGAGATTTAGCTCATGTTAGTATAAATTATTAATAGAACATAATTAAACAGTTCATACTGTCTAACACAGAGAGAATATTACAAACATTGTGCATATTGAGCAGTAGTTAGGCTTGACAGTTAAGGGAAAAAAATAAAGGCTACATATAAGAATACAAGAAAAGGCAATCACTGCAATATTTATCAGAGCAACTAGCAGGCCATAGAAATTTATGGCAATTTTGGCAACAGTGCTCTCTGAGCTGACTGCTGAATAGGGTGGCCTAAAGTGGCTCGCATCCCTTTCTTCAGCTGCATTGGCATTACCAAGATCATCCTCCATGATCAATTTCCCCATTTTGTCATTATATAAGGTCTGACTCAACATCTTTGAGCTTGCCATCTCTGATCAGGCCATTTCTGACCACATCCCCATTGCATTTCCTCTTCTCGCCCCACCTCCCCCATCACCACATGACTATATAATGACAATTTGGAACTTAAGGTAAATTACTATGCATCTTATAGAAGCAAAATGTATATATCGACATGAACATTATTAGACAGAACAAGTCATTGCTAGAAGTCATTTATATTAAGAATTGCCAAACCAATATTCTTGAGATTGGGGTACCTCCAAATCAGTTTATATTTTATACTTTACCAAGGGAAGGCATTCTGTTGCTACAGGATTATGTTTGTTTTACTGTTGATACGTAAACATGTGTTGTCACTGATTTAAAAAAAAGTTTCATGCATCAGTGGGACAGAAACAAGCTGTTTATTCAGATACATCATTTTAAAAATTACCTTAAAACCCAATTGTTTGGTACAGAAACTGGGGATACACGTCTTCTCTATGGCCTTGCTGCTAGGCAGTCACTTATCGTCTGAACATTTATCTGCTTTTTACAACTAGAATATTGATGGAATGAAAGCAAAGAAGGCAATGTTTCATCCGTAAACAGCCAACCCATAACTTATAACAACACAAGTAGTCAACACAAAACATTATTTGGTTAGCACATGCTCATGCTTTGAGCAATTTTGATACAAATCTATGCTTTATTGATGGAGATAAGAAAATGAGGACAGCTAAAGTTACAACAGTTTCCCATTCAAATAAACAAAATTGTTTTTTTAATTAAAGGTATAAAGCAGGCTACTTTTGTTTCAAGTGTTGGATCACTGACTATTTAGAGCTCACTGATTATAACAGGGGGTCATTTATGCTTCTCCCCAATTTAATAGGGGAGATAAAGGTAGAATTGTTCAAAGGAGGTTCATTCCTATTTCTACCATTCAAGTGCATTCAAATAGTGGAGGCACTATTACCCACGAATATTCATTCAGGCTAAATGGTATAAGTCGCATTTTGCTAGCTCAGCCAAGGGATAATACAACTAGGAGTTCAAAACACATTGAACATTATCCAATTTTGGCTTTAACGTTTAGAAAGGTTTGCAGGGGACATGGGCCACTTTGATCAAAAACATTACCAATCAGCAGATTTTTACAAAAAGAAGTGACTTTGGGTATAGCCACAGTACAATTTATTTACCGTAAAAGTACTATTTTGTGCAGTTATGTTAGATCAGAGATGTTATCAAATGCAATGTAGTAAAGTTAAACCGTACCACTTCTAAATTAGCCAGAGTAAAAGATCAAATAAGATCAGATAATTGAAGTGATTAAAAAGACACTCCGTCACCTCACATCAGTCTTTTCTCAGTGTGGCAGATACTTTTGACATCCTGTTCAGTGTAGCATTCTACTACTTACGAGAGACAGAAATCCTGGAAGGATGACAGAAGAGTTCTTGGACACAGACCTCAATGTTCCTCTTAAATCACTTTCATGCATCAATCAGAAATAGATTGTATTTGACAGTTAGGGCTTAATACCATAATAATTTTTCACATCAACAATGATTCACAAGAACACAGTGAAGCAGCCACACTCCCCAAAGAATTAGACTGCAATCTCTCAAATCAACATTTTCCACTGCTCAAAAATGTAAGATTTTGTTTAAATTCTCCCTTTTTTAAAAAAAAGATGGTCTGCACCATTTTTCTCCAATCTCTTCCTCCACTTCCTCTCCTGAAGATGCCCAATTAATACTGGAGTATGGTTCTATGATGGTCCATCATCCTTCCATTACCTAGCATAGGTGGGCATTATTCAATGGTGTAGGCAAGCTACTGAAACACGTGGATGCATTACAAGCTGAGGTCAATCCCGTCCTCACCTGAACACATCCCAGCAGTTTTTAAGACAGTGATCAGGAGAGAGCATCTTGGCTGAATTGTCCCTCCATGGCACTGAGACAAGTTGTACCATTCCAGCTAAGATCATGTACAGAGTGAATAAACTGACTGAAGAGAATTCTAGTTTGTTAAATGGCCACTTGGTAAACACAAGAATGTATCGAAATAATGTGTAAGAATGTGTAGCATTTATTGCAATTTGTTTTTAATACTGTTACACACATACAAGATAAATTAATTTTAAAATCTAAGCAAATGTTTCACCACACAATACCGCAAGCATGAAGAAAGCCTGGGTTTACAAAAAAAAGTGTAGACAGCTTTCTGCAACCAAGGTAACACCATGTTGCACTCAGCACGTCTAAAAAGGACTTGCTATAATTCCAATAGTAGTTCAAACTGCTTCAGCTACATTCAACTGTGAGCGACAAACAAAAGAGTAGAAAAACTATTAGGCAGTCCTTTTTAAAACAACAACCGTGGCAAAATATGCAATAATAATAGTTACAATTATGTGGGGAAAATAAAGAGGGGTTAAAACTGATACCTAGACATGACGTACGTGATTGTTTTTTTAAAAAAGTATACATATCATTAAGAGGCAAAAAAAAAAAATCAAATAGTGATGTATCTTTGAGATGCTGGTTTGTTTGCCTTTCCCTACAACTCAGTGGATATATAATGGGCTCCACACAACTGAGGGTAACTTTCAAGGTGACACCTGAGGTGAGATGTATTGGATGCAAGAACTGATAGGCGTTATGAAAACTTCTCCTTGAGCTTGTTGTGAAGTAACACGGGGAGAAGGGAGAGGACAGCCAGGATCATGAGAACAAGGACCGAATTCCAGGAAACTGCCTCTCCTGCTGCTGAAAGCTGGTAAAGAGTTGTGCCAGCTTTAATTGCCACAAACGATGGAGGTGCTACGCCTGAGAGGAAAGCAAAAAATGCTGATTATTAAGGATTTCATCACACGGTAAACTATCTCAAGTCATTAGCTAGATAATTTAAACTTTGACATTAAGAACCTGTTCGTTTTTATTTAATTTTATTCTGATGGCTCAGCAGACAAATGCATAAAATGTTGTAGTGATGATGAACCAGAAAAGGTATCAGGTTTGATCAATGGTTTCTGCTATTCTCAGTAGGGGAAGAATAAAACCAACAGTTAGCAGCTGTTACCGGCACTATCTGGTAGGCCCTTCTGCAAAGTGCATGGGAGATGACATTGGATAAAGGTAGGACCAGTATATCCTGTGAAGCGCTTTGAGGGGTCTCGATCGTGGGATAAGGCGCTAAATCAAATGCAAGGATTATTATTATAAATGAGGCGGCAATAATATTCTCCACTTATGAAGGACCTTGCCACCTAGTGGTTCAAATGAGAACAAACCCTCTCATAAGCAATGACTAGAAATTTAGAGTCTCTGAGCCCACTACCCTATTCAACCAAGGACGCACTGCAGCAGAGCTTTATTCACTTCACATTCTTGCACAGTCCAGCAGGAATCACTACAGAGTGATTGGGAATGGGATTCTTCATTTATTTTCTTCCTCCTACCCCCATGTAAATCACCATATTTCACATCCCTAATGCAAAACTCATTTACCAAAATGAACACGTTATTGTTTAAGTTATAAAATAGGATTGATAATTCGATGTCTATTTGTAACACCATATAATTTAATTTACATTGATATAAGCCCTTTAACATTGAGAGGATGTCACAAAGCACTCGATAATGCCGACTGGGCATTGGCTAATACCAAGGAGATGGTGTTAGTCATTTTACAAGATATGGGGCGAGTAACCATATGTTCTCTCTGCAGATAATGCACTTGACTCGTTCCAAGAAATATTTATAATGGTCATCTATTATATTACAAGCAGCTATTTATAGGCTTCCCAAAAGAACACACAACACAGAAAATTGATGTTTGAACCCAGTTCCATAAAGTATCCTCAGCTTTAAACTGACTACACTTCACTTAAACAGCAGTTTTGGTGTTTTCATATAAAAATAGATTCAGAGGATCCAATGGTTAAACCTGAACGAAGTTAGCTGATCTCAGACTCATTGGCACAATTGGCCTAAGTATCCTGAATTTTCCATGGCTCATGAAATGCATTTTATCTCCTGACCACTAAATAGCTGCTTGTAGTATAATCAATGACAATTATAAATATCTCTATGAATGTGCCAAGTTCATATCTCAAAAAGTAACACAAAAACCATGGAGGCCAGTCCATGAGAAGAGACAACATCTTCTCTTTGAGGTTGTAGCGTGAGTCTATCTGCTAAGTAGAACCCAAAAGTGGAAGAAAGCGTTACTAAGTGTTAAAATGTGTCAGCCTGGCTCTGTTGGTAGCCATGCTCATCTCCAAGTCAGATGGGTGGTGGTGGTGGGGGGTGTTAAACCAAGAACAGATTGGTCATTCACTTCATGGACGTTTATGGCACGTTGCTATGCGCAAATTCGCTACTGCATTTGCCAATAAATACTCAGCCACTACTTTACAGTAAATTCCTGTAAAGTGCTTTAAGGCAATGTGAGAAGGTGGTATATCAAATGGAAGGATTGTTCTTGTTTATTACTGCTAACTTTAGATACAAGGATCAGTTGTATCTTTGCACCAACAGGAGGAGCTATTTTAAGTACAGTATGTTTTTCACTCCCAACAGATTTTCATCTTAAAATAAAAAATGACCAGATTTGAACATGTATAAGTTTCTTCTGTAGTTTACTTTTGTTAATAATGTTGATTGAGATAGAACAAACCATCTGACTTTACACTAATGAACATACATTAAAATTTAAAGGACATACAGTAAAATTTGTATATTTTCTAGTTCCATCTTTACAATGTAACATCTCCATCCCACAAGAGAAACACACAATTTTAATGTTTCTCTGAATCAGGCAATAATGAAACCAATACGAAGTCTTACCCTGTCACCCACCCCTACAAATACACAGTCACTACTTTACAGTAAATTCCTGTAAATGTATCTTACCTAGGAATGTGCCAATGAAAAAGACTCCCAAGGGAACGTTTATTACAGGACTGGTAATGTTAATGAACCAATTTGGCAGGAAAGGAGTTATTCTCAAGAAGATAATATAATTAATAAGATGCTGTCTGTGCTTGTCAACCTGAAACATGGAATTAAAAAAACGTCAAGCACAATATGAATGTTTAAAATCACTGCATTGCATTCAGACATTGATAGTACTGTACCAATCCTATTTTTTACACAACAAATGTTCACGTTGGGAGGACACAATGTATTCAGTGGGTGACATTTGAGGTGAAGCAAATCTGACAAATAAACACAGTAGTCACTCAATATGTTTCTCAGCACTCTTTTTCTTCTTACATACTGAACAAAAACTGCACAAAGATTCATTCTGCTTGTCACAGTATGTCGCCGGTGTAAGAAACGTGGAGAATAGTTGCAGCCTTACCTGTTCTGACCATTTCACTGCTCTCTCTGTCAAATATTTGTAGACAATTGGTCGACCAACTAGATATGACAGCATATAACAGAAGGATGCCCCGAGACCAGAACACTGTAATGGCAGACTAAAAAAATCAGCATTCACGGGTATATAATATTGGAAAAACATCACTAACAGTAATTTTGGCTACTTTTAATTTGGTGTAGTTAACCGTTTCTTCATCCCAGGTATTGTTGCCCATTTTTCCCTCCCTGTCCAACATGTAAACAGTGAAAGGAGTCCCACTCCCAAGTTCCTATTCCACAATAGCAAAAACAAGAGCCGTATGAATGGAAAACGTTGCTGCGAGAGCATTTCACACGCGTTCCTACGACTAATCCTTCCGTGGAATTGAAAGCCATTGGGTATCCTGTCTGCCAAGCAGAATCTCTGCTGCTCTGCATCAAACGTAGGAAAGCAGGCTGGTTTAAGGGAACTGGAGTTGATCTTGGCACATGGGGAAATAAATGCCCAATTCTTTCCTCCCAGAAAGAAAACATTTCTAATTATAGACAATTTACAAATTAGTCAAAGTTTCTAGCCAACTTACCAGACAGACAAGGAACAGGGCGAGTGGGAACGGGTACAGGAATCCTGAGAGGATGCTAAGAAATATGGAGCCTGGTATAGCAAAGGTTTGTAAACTGGAAATAATGAGGTTAAGGATCATTTGAATTAAAAGCATTTAACAGGAAGAGATTTAATGCAACACTCAGATCTTTTCTCACAAATCCTTCAGCGTCCATTAATTAGCCAGTATGATTCTAGATTAAAAAGTTAATGAAATTACAATTTTTTTAAAAAAATTCTCAAACCATTCCCAACATCTTTTTCACAATCCATTTCTTCCCTTCCCCCCATCCCCCACACTTCCCACCGTAACAGATCACTTACTGAAAACAAACTGACTCTCCTCCACCCTCCCCCCAACACAAACTGAACTGTCTGGTAAGAGGACAGTCAACTGACCAGCGCCAGCCTTTGCAACACCACTAAGGCCAGAAACTAAAGAGATTTGGGCCTTCGGGTTGTTCAAAGCAGCACTCCTCCACCAATGCTCTGAAGAACAGATTGTTCCTGTGTGTTTGCAACCCTCTGCTATTGCATTGGACATCAAGTTGGATAAAAACACACTATGCTTTCCCACAAGAAGCCAGTTAATAGATTAAAGTAGATGGCCCACCCTACCTTACTCAAACCAGGTGTTAATCACATATAAGAGGATACAAGATATAAGTAGTAAAATATGCCACTAATACTTGTACATAGTAGGTGTCCTTATATTTGGAAAGAACTTTTCCCAATGCTTTGGCATCATCCATGTTCTTCGGGATCGTAACTGTCTTTCGCTCCTCTCTAATTCAAATTCAGGAAACAAAAGAATTATAAGCATTAAGATGCAAGAATTTTGCAAATAACTAATTGACTTTGAAATTAACTTTACTGCGGTAATGATGATTATATTTTCTACATAAATAAACCAATATTTCTTACTCCAAGCTACTATTTGTTTATTCTGTGGTTACAGATCTCATTGCACTATTTGAAAGGAGAAGGAAACTTTTCCTGGTGTTAAAGCCAATAATCCTCCAAATAAATTGGTCATTTACTTCACATGGAACACTGTTGTACAGAAATTGCTGCATTCGCCTAAGGACACAAAGTCACTGCATTTCATAAGAGTTTTGAAACACTCAAGATTAAATGAAAGGATTGTTATTATTATTAAAAATACAACCTACGTAGAACTGAAACACATGTTGCAAATTGCACAGAAACATCATTCATAATTCAGTGCATTTTATATTCTACACATTAAAAGTGGAATGTCTCATGACTCTACAGTAATAGCAATGCTTCTTAATGTCATGAGATTTAGAATAATTAACTTTTCCAGTCAGATCTTGACATTCAAAGTCCGTTTTACTTGTGCAGAGTTAATTATTGCAGGGAACGTAACATTTCAAGAAGATTCTTTATATTAAATACAAATGTTTTTAAACCTGTGGTTTTTATTTTGAATTTGAAAGGTTATCGTACTTACTCATTTAGCTCTGGGAAATTTGCGTACACGAGGTACATAACCGAAGCAGCAGACAGGAAAATGCAAAGAAGAATGAGGAGAGACTTCCGGGCTGACCCTGCTTCCAGTAGCTTTACCTCTAAAAATACAGAACTAGAATCACTGGTGGAAAAATTCAGTCATTGCCATCAAATAACTCAAAAATTCTGAATCTCTCTTAATGGCCCAGTGGGCAAAAACACGACCAGGTGCAGGAAGAGGATACAAAGGATAAAAGTTAAGACCACTGGACTAAATAATCTCAGACTTCACAACAAAGGGCTACTGTGTGAGATATTTTTTAAAAAATCAGGCTCACTATCTAGTGATTTTTGATAGAATGTTTCTGCACTGAATAATAATAATAATAAGGTCTCAATTGAGATTTCTCTTCCCCAACTCCCCCCACCATCAAATACCCTCCCAACATTTAGTAAAAGCTCACATGAGAATAATTAATACTTGGCCAAGTTACTGGAAGGCATCAGGCTCCGACGGAACTGTACACCAGTACAACAAGCAAAGGAGTCTTCAAGAAAGGAGAGAAAAATTGGAGGAAAATCCAATCCCCAAAAAAGCAAAAGCATGCTTTTGGATATACCACAAATGGTGCACGACTACTGTGCCAAATTGTTCGGATTGTTTCAGGGGTTTTGAGACATCCGATGTGAAATTATTACTATTATAAATGTAAATCGTACTGTGAATACAACAACAAATAAGGGGCAGACGGGTGTCTTGACCCATCACCATCCTTAAGAGCATCCAAACCAAACCGAGGATGTCACGGTTCCCACCTACACATGGAAATTCCAGCGATTATATATAGGAACAAGTGTAGGCCATTCAGCCCCTCGAGTGTGTTCCAACATTCTACAAGATCACGGCTGATCTATTCCTCAACTCCAATGACCCACCCTTGCCCCATGTCCCTGAAACCCTTCCCTAACCCTAACCTGAACAAATACCTATCCACCTCAGTTTTGAAAATTTAAACGGACCCAGCATCCACAGCCTTTTGAGGGAGAGAATTCCAGATTTCCACTCTCCTTCGGGTGAAAAACTGTTGGGATGGAGTGCGGACTCTCTCCCTCAGAGGACGCATTCTTCTTGCCTAGTTCTGGAAAGTATTAGGCGCGGGTCGGCAAGAGCCAGTTCAGCTCCAGGGGAGATCCCCCTTACCTCCCACCCCAGGAAGATAATCACCAGTGGGCCATTTGACATCTGACATCTGACAAGCGTGTGTTTGAGCCCTGAATAGATGGGATGGCAGGAAGCAGGAACTCCCTGTGAGCGACCGAATGTGATGACACAGCCCCCCCCCCCCCACACACACTGACACAGCCCCCCCGCCCCCCCCCCCACACACACATAGACCCCCTACACACAGAGACACAGCAACCCCCCCCCCCCCTACACACACTGACACAGCCCCCCCCACACACACTGACACAGCACCCCCCGCCCCCCCCCCACACACACACATAGACCCCCTACACACAGAGACACAGCAACCCCCCCCACACAGACACAGGCCCCCTACACACACTGACACAGCCCCCCCCCCACACACACTGAGCCCCCCCCCCACACACACACATAGACCCCCTACACACAGAGACACAGCAAACCCCCCCACACAGACACAGGCCCCCTACACACACTGACACAGCCCCCCCCCACACACAGAGCCCCCCACACACACAGCCCCCCCCCCCCCCACACACACACACAGACACACACCGGCCCGAGGCGCCACGGCCAGCGACTGGAAGCGCCTCTCCGACCGGGTGCGCGGTCGGTCGGTCGGTCGGTCTCCCCTTGTACCTTGGACGCTCTCTGCCGTATCCCTTGCGTCGTCCCTCGCTACCTCATGCCGGGCCGTGTCATTGGGAAGCGGCGCCGAGACCCCGCGGCCCTCCTCGCTTCGCTTCCTCGCCATTCTCCGCAGCCGGTCAGGGCACAGGCAGCGGGAGGGAGGGCGGGAGGGAGGGCGGGCGGCGTGACCTTTCACCCCTCGCAAAACAAGGAGCCACGACAGGGTGCAAGAAGAGACGTCCGCTCAGCGCGGCAGTGGTGACTCGGAGGTCCAGCGCCCCAGCCGGCTGGAGGAGGAACTGCTGTTCTACTCTCTCCTCTGCAATTACAGTACTTCTTCACTATTTTGAAATAATAATGATAATAATAATAATCCTTGCATTTTGATACAGCGCTTTTCACGTCGGGAGGACGTCCCAAAGCGCTTCACAGAACACACTGCGAAGTGAATTGACTGTGTATTTGGGGGCGAACGCGGCAGCCAATTGCGCACAGCAATGTCCCACAAACAGTCGTAGATTGAAAATGACCCTTTATTATTGTTTTTGGTTTTGGAGGGATTATTATTAGGTGTGTGGAGTAAGGAAACTTGCCCAAGGTTTCGCCCTCTGCCTGGAATTGAACTCAGGTCTCTCGCTTGCAAAGCGAGTGCTCTTACTACTGAGCTACAGGACTCCACCTGACTCCCCTGAAATTTGACAGAACCCCTTTTAATATCTGAAAGACATCACACGGTCTGGAAGACTCTCAAAGCTCATCACAGGATTTACACTGAAGTGTAATGACTATTTCCTGACTTGTGTTGTAATAAAGCACTCCTGAACTAAACTGGTATTATGAGATTCAGATTTCCCCCTTTACATCATAGACCTCCATACATTGCAAAATAATCAGGCATCTTTTCAGCTATACAATTTTACTTTGTTTGAAAAACATCTAAATGAATAAAAAACACTACTTGCATAGTTACTTCTTCTTTCCGACGTGAAAGGTGCTATACAAATGTAATTTTGTTCTTCTTCTTCCCGATGGAGTAACAGGACCTTGTGAACACCTTCTGCTTATGCCACTGCAGTGCTCATTCTTATTTTATGTCAACAGTGTAGTCAACTGTGGAAGGCATCATAACCAGTGGACAGTCAACTGAGGAGGGCATTATTGTCCTCATCCAAAATTCACTTTTCCAGCTGGAGTCAATGGTTAATAATCAGGAACAAGAAATCCTGAATCCCTCCCCACTAGCCCTAGCTGAGAGCCTCTGCTGCTGATTATAATGAACCAAGTGCTGCTTGCAGGAAGACATTCAATTAAGTGCTGGATTGGGTGTGAAATGTTGTTCATATTTCTCAATAACAAGAAAATATCTTGAAGGCTTTTTTAAAGCTGTGTTGTACATGAGTACTGAACTGTAGATTTATGGAATTCAAGTTCCCGCATGACATCATAGTTCTGCATACTACAAACTCCATCACAACATACTCTATCCTCGTTTCAGGTACAATATTTTACTGTGCTCGACCTTTTCACTTTGTCTGACAAAAGTCTTCTTTGAAAAGCTTGGAGCCAGCAGTTAATCCCTGTCTGCCATGCGCATTATGATATGTATTGTGTCCCTGGTGCTAATCTGTATCTGAATAGAAGAGCTTTGAGGAAAAGCTTTCAGTGACTGATCCCGTTTTAAAAAAAAGTCATTCAAAAATAAAGCATTGTATGATGGTTTCTCCGATGGCCTAGTGGGAAAAGACAAAGTTTGACATGGCACTAATTAATGTTGCATTTAGCTTTTAACGGCTGATGCTATGAGTGTTAGATAAGGAAGGTAGTCTATATTGCAGTCTATACTCTGTAGTCTATACTCTAATATCTGCATTCTTCAGTAACTTCAGCACTTGGAGGCAAGTGACCTCTCTGCTGTTCAGCCAGCTTCATGCAATGACTCTCTATTCTGACAGCATTATCACATTGCTGGCCTTTTCATAGCTCACCAAAAGGTACAGCATATAAAATAGAACTGCCTCCCTGATGACAAGACAGTGGAGTCGAATCAATTCAGTGAGGGGATATGGTCATTGAATAGTTGACTTATTAGTGGATTAAAGGCACCTGAAGATTCAGAAATGTCACAGAGGTAGGGGGCAAGGGCTGAGGCACTTCCCTCTTAGCTCCCAATACCCTACAAGACAAGACAATGGCATTGTTCCCCATACTTCTGTAAACAGGCAGCTATCTGTAACAATGGCAGGCATGTAATCCCATTGTGATAAAAATGTTAAACTGTCCCAAATCAGTTGTGATTTTTCACAATGTTTAAAATTATTAAAAAAAACATTGTCTCATTAGGAATTCAGATCGACACACATTAAAAGGTAAATGTTCCTTCTGTTTGTTTTTTATCATAGCTTTTATGTATTTCATTTCTGATTTAATTTCCCCCCTTTCTCCCCTGAAGGCACTGCCTCATCCTGAGGTATGGTTCCACCAGGACAAGGGACCATGCAGGGAATTTTTATGCATTTCTATCCAAAGTGTAAACAAACAACATGTATATGAGATTTCAAATATAGCGGAAAAGAAAAACAGATGGGATTTTTATTGACAGTTACACTGGTCCCCACCCACCATGTTTTGATTTCAAAGAATGTGAGTGGGCTACCCAGAATATTTGTATAATTTGTAATATTTATAATATTTTAAGATGGACAAAAAAGTCTATTTTTAAATATATATCAAGTTAGCCTTTTCCACTAATTCGGAGTGTTAACAGACTCTACAACCGTTGGGGTTATCATAGTAATTACCAACAGCGCTAAAAAAAAGTGGCCATTGGTTGTGTTAGACAGACGGTTGCTGAATTGAGGTGGCTTATTATGGGAAATCGGTTGGCACCGTTCTAGTGTGGTTGTTGACAGCAGGTGGTTGTTGAATAAAAGTATTTGCTTAGGTTTGACTGTACATATTTATATTCCCCAGTGGATAGTAGTACCACTTGGCATGCAGCAGTACAGAAGGTTACATGTTTGGTTTCCTGTCTTTGCTGAATTGGCTCATCTTAGACAGCACAGCGGCTCATCTAATTTTCACACAGGCACACTTTCTAGCAGTGGCTAGAATAGTGTTTAGGAGCTGATTTTTTTCAGCCTGGCTGATTTATTTTCCGAAGCCTGGAAGAGGTTGAGCCGTAACCAATTGGAACACCTGCTGCACTGCCCCAACTGAGATCAGCTAATGAGGTCAGGGGATGGAGTCTGATCTTCTCAGTTTCACTCCAAGATTTACCAACTGGTCCACTGAGGGAGTCTATTTGAATCTTATTTGATTTTAAATTTGCACATTTTCTTCCTGACTTCCCTCATAGAAACTGACTTATGGTGGGACAGTTGGCCTTAGGGGTGTTACAGCCAATTATTGTGTCTGAACCGCTGTGCTGTCTAAGATGAGCCAATTCAGCAGAGACAGGGAACCAAACATATGACCTTGCATGCCAAGTGGTACTGCTATCCACTGGGAATATAAATATGTACAGTCAAACCTAAGCAATTACCTTTATTCAGCAACCACCTGCTGTCAACAACCACCCTGGAACAGTCCTGACCGATTTTCCATAATAAACCACCTCAATTCAGCAACCGTCTGTCTAACACAACCAATGGCCGCTTTTTTTTTTAGCGCTGTTGGTAAAGATACCCTTTTCAGTGGCCGATTTTAAGTGAGTTTAAGGGTACTTACCAGTAATGCAGTACCAATTTCCACAGGCCCATGTGTGGATTCCCACTAGACTTCTAGCTAACTTGCCAACGCCGCGCTGAACAGCCCACATGATGCCTACAGCTTTCTGCCTCATTGGCGTAGCGGTATTGATAAATGTTCTTGGAATCTAGCAGGAGTCTTCACTCGAAAATATATGGCCTGCAGGTTTTTTTTTAAAAAAAATAGAGGTACAGGCCCGGTGAATGAACCAACATACCCATACTCAAGAGGCCACCCGCTTACAACAGCAACAACTTTCATTTTCAGGGTAGTGTCCCAGAGTGCTTACTGGGCCAAAGTGACCTTTACATAAAGGCCACTCTGCCCCAGTTCCATGAATGATGGCTGAAAACACGTTTGACTGTATTTCTGGGTAGGCTGACAGACAGCTTTCGCTTCCACATAGACGACGAACCGAATGAGGTTCGATTCAGAACGCATTCCTTTTCTTTCCCCTCCCCGTCCCGACTTCTCGTTCGGTAACTACACACACGAATCATTCTTCTTCACTTCCTCCCTCCGAACGCAAGAGAAAGGTCGGCCAACGACGACAACAAGATTCCACTTATAGAGCGCCTTTCCACGTCGGGAGGGCGTCCCGAGGCGCTGGACAGTTGGGCCGGGGCCCGAGCAGCGGGGGAAATGGTCAGGGGGAGGGAGCGAGGAGGAGGGGGAAGAGAGTCGAGAGGGGGGGAGTGAAGGCACAGCTGAAGAACACACACATCAGTCAGTTTCACGACCAACAACAAACACCTTCAGACAGTGTGTGAGGGGGGGGGGGTCAACCCTGAGTGAGTGATGCGTGTCTGCGCTTGCGCACACGAGGAGCTGGACTACACTTCCCGTGGGGCCGAGGGGGTGCGCACTTGCGGATGCGCGGTGCGCGAGCTGGTGAATAGGAATAGGGCGGACGGGCGGAGGGAGGGGGGGGAGGAGGAACTACATTTCCCGGCACGCCACGGGCGGAGGACCGCGGCCGGCAGCGGAAGCGCCGGCGGGCTCGGTGGCTGATGTATCCGGGCTCCGCGCGACGCTCTTCCTTTGGCGCCGGCGGCTGTCGAGCGCGTCTCCATGTGCGCAGCGGCCGGGACTCGGTAACGCGAGTTCGCGGGAAGAACCGGGACTTTTATTTATTGCTCGTTCGTTCGGGGTGGGGGGGAGAGAGAGAGAGGAGGAGGGGAAGGAAAGGAAGGAAGGACAGAGTCGGTGTTATTTTTAAAAGATTATATAAATATATATAAATAATAAAAAAAACCGCGCGCGCGCGCGCCATTCTCCTCGAGAGTAACTTCCAATGGATCCCAACAAGATCATCGAGGCCCTGAGGGGCACCATGGACCCCGCGCTCAGGGAGGCGGCCGAGCGACAACTCAATGAGGTGAGGAAAGTACGGGGGGGGGGAAGCCGTCGAGGCCTCTCATCGCCAGTCGGCTGTGCGCCGCGGCCGGCGAGGGAGGGCCCCGTTAGGCCCCGTGCTTCGCGGTTTGGTAGTCGCGCCGTGTGCCCGGTCTGCGGGCGGGCGGGCGGACAGGCGGGCGGGCGGACAGGCGGGCGGGGCGGATTGTGCGCAAGGCCTCCGCGGTCAGTGTGTGGAGGGAGGGAGGGAGGGAAGGAAGGGCAGCAACGTGGTTTGGTTGGCAGGACGCGGGCCGCGCCGTAAGCCCCGGCTCTGGGTACTGCTGTCCAACTGGAGAGCGGGTTAACGGGATAGCCCTGCACTTGGGGTTAACGGTTCTACCACCCGCCGACTCCTGGAAACCGCGATGATTAATCTCTCCGGTTAACTTTGAGCTGTTCGTGGGGGGTGGGGGGAGACTTCGGAAACGTGTTGGCGTCTGGTAAGCCTTGACTTGGGTTCATTTCAATTGATGAGAGTGATTATTTTTTTTAAACCCCCCCCGAAGCTTGTGAGCGCAGATCGTTCTGCTGCCCGTGGAAATCAAATTATTTCCACGATGTCTCGAGCCTCGCATTCCGCAGAGTAAATTTTCTGCATTGGGACGTAATCGCTTAGTAAAAATAATTACCAGCGACCCATTGGCCAGGTAGGGTTTTTTTTTTTGATTTCCAGGTTTTAACACTGCTTTTAAAATGTTGTGCAATGGGATGATCTGCGGTGTATTTTTTAGAACTTACAGTGTCTATAATACTTGGTGGTTTCTTAAGACTTGTGGCTAAAATTAATACCTGTAGCCGATTTGAATTCCCGATGAAAGCCCAAAAGAGTGTTGACGAATAACCTACACACGTAAACTGTTCAATAGCCTATGTGGCAGTTTTGTTCTGGTATCCCAAACGCTAATAGAGTACAACCCGTTCAATTAGCATTAACTAAGTGACAGTTTCATATGGTATGGAGTTTGAAACTTGGAATGGGATGTAAATGTCGTACTTGGTCGCCACTACGGTTATCGTTGGCAAAAGATATAACTTTCGTGTACAACAGCAAATAAAACGGCCTTAATCTCGATTTAGAATCCAAAGTATGGTTTCTGCTGTTATCTCTGACTTAAATGTTCCATTTTTAGAAATGAGAAAAGGGGGGTGAATGAGATTTTATTTGGACAGTTTTTCCTTTGTATTCTTGCAGTGTTTCCATCCCCAGATCTCCCAATACCTGAAATCAGCTAACCATTAAATGAGGTTACCACTAGGGCAGGGTTTCCCTCCTTAGTATTCCCTTGCAGAAGACATCAGTGTATCTTGTTGGCATTGCTCAGATTTCAAACTGAGGGAAGCGAAGAAGTGAAACGGTCTATTTTAACTGATTAATGCTTAGTGGCACCATGTTGCTCTCTGGCTGTTCCAAGTTTAATGGGGAAGTGCCACTATACCCTATATTTTATTTAGTTAACAGACTTTCATATTTACTTTTTACAGTTGGTGTAAATTTTTAATTGTTTCTGTGTATTTTTTGTGAAAAATGTAAATTGACTTTTGCTCAAATGCTATCAGTTAAAACAAATAATTTTCTAAATACTGTACAGCTTGATTGACAGAAACCAAGACAGTGGACACGTAGAGTGTACTTTCTGCTTGATGTTTCATTCTGTGTTGAAGGACAGCATTCCTCAGCTGATTCTGATAACATGCACTGGGTAGAATTGCCTGAATTCCTAGCCTGTGATGCATTCAAAAGAAAAGTAATGCTGTCTGCTGGTTAATTGTTCCTAGAAAAGGCATTCAAGTTCTGTAGTTGCAGTATTGCAGTGTATTTTCGATGTTGAAATTCTTGGATAACAGTAAGTTGTGCTTAATTTAAAAAAAAATATTTTATGGTAATTTAATTTAAAAAATTGAAATTTACCAAAGTCGCTTCCATTTTCTTCAAGACATTTAAATGTTTGACCAGTAAGAATCCAGTAGTACAACTAATAGTTTAGTGCCAAAAAGCGTAAGTGAAGCAGAAGGAATATCAATCTAGATCTAAGCTTTACGTAGTCTTCATAGGGTGTTGCATGCTATTAACATTGTTATGTTTTGATAGTTTGGATCCTGGTCCTCACCTCCAAAGCCCTCCACGGCCTTGCTACCCCCTATCATCCTGTTTGCTCACTCCGCACAGCGAGCTCCGGCCTGCTTCACATCCCCCGTCTTGCTCGCCCCACTATTGGCGGGTGGGCATTCCGCCACTCTGCTCCCACCCTCTGGAACTCCATTCCGCAGACCCTCCACTCCGCCCCCTTCCTTGCCACCTTCGAAACCCTCCTCTTCAATGGTGCTTTCGATCTCCCTGCTTCTCCCCCTGCCCTCCATCCTCCCCCACCCTGACCCCTAGCTCAGGTCCATAACTCTGTCTGTCCAGCACCCTGGGATGTCCTCCCGACGTGAAAGGCGCTATACAAATGTAATTTTGCTGTTGTTGTTGTTTATTGGCTGAGATGGTTTGTGAATGTATAGGTGATTACTTCTGTTAAACTCACTATTGGTTCATTCACATCTTTGTGGTATAGTATTACGTTTTTGGCATTCTGAGCACATATAAAAAAATTTGCAGCTGATGTATTGGTGTGTTCAATTGGTGATAGGTTAGCAGAAGTTATTACACGTTTGAATGCTGGTTTCAATATCAACAAAGGAATTTTGAGCAAATTGGATTGCATAACAGAAATGTATATTTTGCACAAAAGTCCATGACAGTTCATTGTATAATACGGGTAGAGATCGAGGTATGGATTGACACTGTTGTTGAATTTGTATTGTAGAAATGTTTGAAACTTCTTGTAGGCCAGAATTGTATTGCAATTTCTAGAAAAACTATAAATTTGGGTTGTTGGACTTTCCAAATTGTTTGCAGTGGCCTATGATCTTTCAGTTATGTGCTTTGTAGATTTCATCTCAATGTGACACTTCTACTCTATGCTAAGTTATATTCAGTGTCTACCAATGGTCGTTATTGGCATTGGGTTACAATGTATGCCAACAGTGGCTCTATCATGAATGAGAGTAAGGTTGAAAAACACAAATTTTAACTAACTGGAAATAAAACATTAAGTTTTTAAGACTAGTTTGTGTGATTAAAAAGCAGTTGTTGCAGTATAAATTGGACTTTTTACATCTTGTTCTTCCAGAGGTGTTCTTTGTATAAGCAATCCGTTTTGTGCCGTTTGCAGTTCTTTATCCCTTTCTCAGAACTTTTCACTCGCAAGTTTCCCATCGTGGTTACAAACTTGGCTCAGGCAGTCCTGTTGACTCTCTATTCCTATTTTTGCATATGTTACAGCAAGTTAAACTTTAGCAAAGTGCAAAGTACCGATTTTGGGGAAATTATACTCACAGGAATATTGCAGCTCTATGAAATATAGCTGATTTTGCAGTATTTTGGGAATCTGTTAAAGTTCAACTATATGGCTAATGGGTTAATCTGTACCTACTCCGATCAGATCTTTTGAAAATAGAAAAATGTTATTTTCATATTTCAATTTCTTTAAAACTAAAGATTTGCAATGCAGTAGACTGAGGATTTTCTTCATAACACTGGATATGAGTACTATAGTTTTTTTTCTTATCAAACTTTCTTCCATCCAGCTTGAACCATTCTAACTTTTAATGGAGTACAGTTCAACAGGTTTCTTTTTAACACCTTGCCCAAATGATCAATGTTTTTGTGTGTGCATTCTTGTGTATGTGTTGTCAACAGGCAAGTGCTGCAGGTGGAAGAATATTTGTAGGTATTCACAGTCTTATCCCAAAAGCACCTTCAATAGGGTGCTGCTGGATAATTATCAAGAGTGGGAACTTCACTCTTTTTTTTTCTCTCTCTCTTTCCATCCCCTCCTTATATATTTCAGGTTATCGTGGCTAAAATAGTGTTCTAAATCCTACCTACATTGAGTCATTGAATCAGGTGACACATAATTGGAGGAGGTGTTGCTGCTCTGTCATTAGATCCAAAGGAGATGGGTTGGTGATGTATTCAGTTGTATTTCTAATATCCTGGTTCAGATCCAGCTGGGATTTATTTGAAAGCTTCTGTACTGTAAGGGTCATATGTGAAATGTGCAGTGTCGACATAGTTCCCAGCTCGTACAACGCTGCCCACAATACAGCAAAGAACCACAGACTCACTCGGGGGCCAGAAAGACTATGGTTCCTTTTGTTTGTACTAATTTGGTAGGGGATGCTCATTTGAGCTACGGTTACTCTCTGGAGTTCTAAATGCTGACTGGAAAAGCTGTTCCATCCCCAGCATGGGGTTCCATTATCTTGATATAAAATGTAAATTTCTAATTTGATTTTGAAAGTGTGTTAGCAGGAATTCATGTTTTTAATATTGTTCTTTAACTTTGCAGGCCAACAAAGCTGTCACCTTTGTGTCAACACTTCTACAAATCACAATGTCAGACCAACTGGATTTACCTGTACGACAAGCAGGTAAGGAATTAAAGACCTCAAAATTGCGTAAGACTAATAGGCCTAGGATTGTACAACTGGATGCGAGTTGAACATTAATTCACTGTTAGCACATATATTTCTTCCTAAATATTTGTTAATATTCCTTCATTTAGTACAGCACCATCCACGTCGCAAGGATGTTTCAATGTGCTTTACAGGATTTACTGTAAAGTGTAGGGCCTATACATTTGTGTGGGCAAATATCGAAACAACAGCACTTTTCTCTTCTTGTTGAGCCATTGTTTGCAGTGTCAGCAGAATTAAACATGACCTGAAGTGTCAGGTTTTGATCTCTGTCATTCCAGGAAAGTAACACGGCAAAGTTGCAGTGAGTTTTCTGATTTTCTACTGTAATATACTTTAAACAGTTTAGACAGATAGATTTTCTTCCGATGGTGATGATTCAAGCCGTCAATACATTATCACTGAAGGTATAAAATAAATGTACTTATTGTTTGTGTTTACTGAGACCAAACTAGCTTAACATTGTTGCTTTATGTTAGCTAGGCAGTGCTAGGTGTGCAGGTGAATGCATCATAAAATTCTCACTGTGAATTAAGCACTTGCAACAGTAAAATCTCATTTTTAATCGCATCTTGTCCTATGTGACAGAATGTGTCAATACTTGAAAAACAGTCAATTTTGGGGATGGGTTTACTTACATTGTGGCTTATTTGCATCACCAGAAAAAGTCAATTTGACCCAGGTCCTGTTTGTAATTTTTCTATATTGCAGACAATCCCTTGAATAATAAATGCTCCAATGTTTCTTATTTAGAAATTTTTCAACCTATCAGAAATGAGATTCCATGGACGATTGAAGCCCCATAAGTATGTGTGTGGATTGTTACAACAAAATTACACTTGTAAAGCGGTGGGGATGTCCCAAAGCACTGGACAGACAGTTACGGACCTGAGCTGGGGGTCAGGGAGGGTGGAGGGCAGGTGGGGAAGCAGGGAGTTTGAAGGCATGGTCAAAGAAGAGCGTCTTGAGATGGGTCTTAAAGGTGGCAAGGGAAGGGGGGAGGTGGAGGGACTGTGGGATTGAGTTCCAGAGAGTGGGGGCAGAGTGGCAGAAAACCCGTCCAACAGTGGGGCGAGCGAGGCAGGGGATTAGGAGGAGGAGGATTTTCTGTAAAGTTAGCTTTTGTTTTGTCAGATTGACAATGAGACAAGTATTCCTGATTGGTTCTTTTCTTGAAATAAAACTCAAAAACAATTTAAACACTGTCTACTAATAATCTTAAATGATTGTGTTGGGGCAGTGGCTGCACAAGTTATGTTTGAATGCTTTAGCAGTTTATGTTCGTTATTAGAAAGATCGTTATTAAGGAATATGAAACTGCTGTTAAAAGTATTTAAAAGATCTAACATTGTATCAGGTAATGCTTTTAAATCTCTGTAATCTTCTCTCCTACTTCACTCCCCACCACCAGTCATTCTTTCTGTTATTGAGTAAACGCAGAGACCTCAAGTCTGCTTGAGTTAGCTTATCTCGGAACGGGGAGCTACAATTGGCTTTGGTGGCAAGGCTAGGAAATTGTTCTACCCTGTTGGAATATGTATGTTTGGATGTTGGGTGAGAACAGAACCTGACTAGGTTGTGGTGCCCTTAAAGATCAAATAAGATAAATAAATATTTACAGTGTTAGCTCACACATGAGTACAGTACAGAGGCTTTCAAATAAATCCCAGCTGGATCTGACTTCTTGGATAAAGTTTCAGAGGGTTGCTGGCATCTATGGAAATGTATCCCAGGATCAACAGTTTGCTGGTATAGGGGGTGGGAAGAAATAGCGAACCACTGAGTCATACAGATTAGAAAGGTTGCAGGTTTGATTCCCCAGTCTTTGCTGAGTTAGCTGATCTCAGATAGGGCAGCATTACAATTGGTCAGTAACCCCGTTGGGGTGTACAGTTGTTGTTGTTTAGTGAGGATGCAATCAGCTGTGACCCCCGGAAGGGGAGGGAAATGTTCAGTAAAACATTGTTTTTGCTCAGATTAATTGATAATTATATTGATGCTTTATCCGATTAATTTTGGTAATTGCGATGCTAGCACTAATCTGAGGAAAGGATTGATTAATCATTGCAAATATCTTTATTCTGTGTACCTCCTGCAATTCTTTTACTATTAAAAGTGACCAATGAGGATGTTTCAATTACAATCGTCTTGTCTTATAAGCAGCTTGAACCTGAATTATGGTTGTAAAATGGTAGAGAATGTCGGCTGTGTCAGCATTTTGATATCTGTTCATACCACTGACCCATGATGTGTGGCATTGCTGAAAATATTTGAGTTAATAGAGCAATGTGAAATGAAATGCAGCTGCTTAAATCAAAATATTCTCATTAATATTTTGATCTGAAGGAATATATCCAGCTGGGTTCATATATATTGAACGGCCTAATTATCGAACTAGAATTATTTAGGTATAAATGGGCATGGATTGGAAATTAGATTTTAACTTGAATTTACGGTCTCATTTCTTTATAAGGGTGACGACTACACTGTTAATCAAGGCAAACATTAGTTATATAAAAACTTCAAGGAATATTTCTCAGATGATGCATTTCACTCAAAAGAGTTGTAAGATGAGAATTCTTTAAACTTTTTGTATTAATGTATGGTACATTTTAGTTTTTGTGGCTTTACATTTGATACCCTTTATGTTGCATGACTGCTCAGTTTTTCATCTAAGCATTCTTTTAAGACCTGTTTGTACATGATAGTTACAGTGTTCAACCAGACGTTCTAGAGAAGGCAGTTTCTTTACATTGCCATATAACTAATCCACATTGTTTTCAGCATTGTGTCTAATAATATTTTTCAGGTGTAATTTACTTGAAAAACACAATAACGCAGTTCTGGGCTGAGCGTGAAGCTACTTCAGGTGACATGCAGCCATTTACCATCCCAGAAGACGATCGCCAGTTCATCCGCGACAACATAATAGAGGCTATTATCCAGTCACCTGAGCTGATCAGGTACTTACAATGGAAAAGAATGCTTATAGATTTTGCAGAAAAGGCTGGTCAGATACCAGTGTCTCTTGTTAGTGAGATCCAATGGGATTCCCCAATAAAGGAACCCAAATGAAACTCCGTCCTGTAGCTTGCAGTATATTGCTCTGACCTGCTGCAATATGACCCTAAATCCTGTCAGACTGGAGTTCGAGTGAGATTCTGTGAGGCACTTCTGGATTCCAGTTTAAGGTATTTTGTTAGAAAATAGTACACATTGGCTCCCCTAATTTTTTCTTTCATTTAGAGGACGATAAAATTAGAACTTCTCTAGCCTTTAGCAAAATTGTGGCAATATTTTAACCTTCACAACAAAGTTAGAAAATTGGATAGTGGATTGAAATTCTTTCATCTTTAATTTCTCTATCTTTAACCTCCTTAATTTGTTTGTATGTTAGTCTTGCCTGACTCCACTGGCTCCCTATCCTTCAGAGGAACCAATTCAAGATCCTGGTCCTCAAATACAAAGCCCTCCATGGCCTCACCCCACCCTATCTATGCGACCTCCTAACCCTCTACCAAACCCGCCTGTTCCCTCGGCTCAGCCAGCTCTGGCCTGCTCCATGTCCCCCGACCCACCTGCCCCACCATTGGCGGGAGAGCCTTCAGCCAATCTGCCCCCAACCTCTGGAATTCCATCCCCCGGGCACTCCGCCTCACCCCCTCCTTGGCTTCCTTCAAGTCCCGCCTCAAGACCCTCCTCTTCGACCATGCCATCGGCCACCCTCTTTCCCCACCCCTCCCATACCCCCCCAACCCCAGCTTGGGTCTGAAATGCTGTACTCTGTGCAGCGCCTTGGGATGTCCTCCCGACGTGAAAGGAGCTATACAAATGTAATGTTGTTATTGCTTCACTACCTTTAATTTTTGACTGCAAAGAAAAATTATATTGTCCTTTTCATTAGAGTGCAGCTTACAACTTGCATTCACCAAATAATCAAGCATGACTATCCAGGCCGATGGACTGCTGTGGTGGATAAAATTGGATTTTATTTGCAGTCGGACAACAGTGCCTGTTGGCTTGGAATCCTCCTCTGCCTCTACCAACTGGTGAAGAACTATGAGTAAGCTGCTTCTAGATTTGGGTTAATTTAGCCTCGATAAAACAACTATTGATTTTGTTGAAATCTTTGTACCAATTATGTTTAGATTTGTAATCTTGTTTTACGTACACACGTATCTATCAGGTGTGTTGTGACGAAGTAAAAGGGATTTAGAGGTAATTTGTGGTGGATAGAGAATATTTTAAGGGAACAAAATCCCCAAATACATCAACAGTACAGTCGGTGGCATCACCCAAAAGTGCAATCCTAGAACTCTAAAATGCTAATGTTCAGGTTAACATGTACACTATGTGCAGGCATTGTCTCTGCCTCTGAGAGATTAGACCCAGGTGCCAGTGGTATGATGAGTGTCTAGATTGCATTGCAGTTTGACTGAGATAATTGGGCGGGAAAGGAAGGTAATGGTTTCTCACTTGATTTACTTCCCCCTCCTAAAAAAAAATATTTTATCAATTTCTTAGAAGCAATGACGAATTGTAAATCTTTTGTATCTTTGCTGTGGGTGGCTTAATTTTCCTAGTTTGAAGGTAGAAATATTTTAGGCGATGTTCTACATATCTTTTGATGTACAATCTTGCATATTTTGTGTAAACAGGTACAAGAAACCAGAGGAGCGTAGCCCATTAATAGCAGCTATGCAACACTTTCTGCCAATGATGAAGGATCGATTTGTCCAGCTTTTCTCCGACCCTTCAGATCACTCTGTCCTCATACAGAAACAGATCTTCAAAATTTTCTATGCACTTGTTCAGGTACTATTAATGTGACATGAACCTTCTGATTGCCACCTATAGATCCTTTTCACCATTTCCTTGCTTGTTTCTCTATCCTAGCAATATTCCTTCTAACCATCTAATTGTTTCTGCACTAAGGAATGTATAGTTTTCTGTGCAAGGGCAAAGTTGTCTTGCCTTTCTATAACATTATGCATTGGAGTGAGCCAACCAGGAGCCAGTTTTGTTACTGTTCATGAATTAAGAAGTTTTAGTTTTAAGATGTAAATGTTTAATATAGTTAACAAAATCTCATTTCATTTGAAGTAAATATTGCATGAAGTATCTTTACTAAAACAATTAAGCCATCTTTATTTATAAGATAGTTTTAATTATAATCTGAATAAATGTTATGAATGTAGACTGAAATTTTTGATTTCTAATTTGTGCCAACAGTACACTCTGCCATTGGAGCTGATACACCAACAAAACCTAACCGAATGGATGGAAATACTCAAAACTGTTGTTAATAGAGATGTCCCTCCAGTAAGTTATTAATCATAGAATCGTACAGCACAAAAAGAGGGCGTTCAGCCCATCAAGTCTGTGCCGGCTCTTTGAATAGAGCAATTAATGTCAATCCCACTCCCCAGGCCTTCCCCCATAACCCTGCAAACCCGTCCTCCTCAAATACCCATCCAGCGCGTTTTTAAAAGTAGTTATCGAATCGGCCTCGACCACCCTTTCAGGCAATGAGTTCCATTGCCTGAAAGGGTGGTCGAGGCAATCATCACTACCCCAAGAATTTTATTCTAAATGTGGTACCAAAATGGTTAAATCTATTTTTAATCAAATTCTATAAGAACTTTCTCATTGAACACCTTTGTTCAATGGTTCCCGTTGGCAAATATTTGAACTATTTGCGTAATTACTCGAGGCCATGAGTATGTAACTTGAAATCCCATTAAACATAAATGAATGTATCACTGTCATACAATTTTAATATATTAAATGGATTTTTTTCTATTTTGAAGGAAACTCTTCAAGTAGATGAAGATGATCGGCCTGAGCTCCCTTGGTGGAAGTGCAAGAAATGGGCTTTACACATCTTGGCCAGATTGTTTGAAAGGTGATGCCTTTAAATGTTTAAAATTGAGATTCTGTAATCCTTTCCGATAGTACAAATTAAGAAGCTTTTAAATGTATTTATTTGGTGACTAGATGTTAAATTGTATTTATATCTAATAGGTATGGAAGTCCGGGTAATGTTTCCAAAGAATATAATGAATTTGCTGAAGTGTTCCTCAAGGGTTATGCTGTTAGCATCCAGCAGGTACAGTATTCCTTTCTATAAAATCCTCCCAAAAAGGCACTTTAAATTACAAAATACTACTGTGATTTGAAGCCAAGAAGTAGGGATCTGGGGCTACAGATTTCACTTGTTGCCATTCCTCACTGTTGTTGATTGCCTGCCCAGAGATTTGCTTCTTGGGTTGTATTTGATTTTGCTCCTCATACCCCACACCTTGGAATCCTCTTAGTTTATTGCCATCTCTGCATGATGGTTGCGGAGTTTAGATTTCAGTTAAAGCTTGGGATTCAGGTGGAAGATCTGTGTAAATCCACTAGATGTGTGTGCTGCATTTACAAGTCTATTTATTATTTGCACTTTTTCTTGGTATACAAGACTTTCTTTAGATATTTAAGATCCATGTCATAATGGAGGCTATTTTTATCTGTGCCAGGTGTTATTATTAATATCCTAGCTCTTTATTTACTTCCTGTGCTCTCTTATTCCAGGTGCTGTTTAAAGTGTTGTATCAATACAAAGAAAAACAGTATGTGGCTCCACGTGTATTGCAGCAAACTCTGAATTACATTAACCAGGGTGTTGCTCATGCTGTTACCTGGAAGAATCTAAAGCCTCATATCCAGGTAAGGGTTTGCAGCTACTATATCTCTATAACGTGAGACATCTCCTGCTGTGAAAGGCGCTATATAAATGTAAATTCATGTTGTTGTACTAGCTTGTTTCAACATCCAACTTAGCATGGCTTGCATAACTTTGCAGCAATTTGGTCAATAATTTAGATATTCACAAAATAATGCTAATGAAGATTGTTAAGTGTTTATGTTTAATCTGGCTATTTTTATTTGTTGGTTTAGTAATGAGTACCAATGACGGTCAGGTCATACCTGCTGCCATGGTCCATCCTTGGAGGGGCTAACAAGCAAGCATCAGCCAGTACTACTTGAGTGAATCTTCCAGCTGTTTATAGAATGGCCAAGGGAAGAGAGCAAATCTTATGCCCTCAGGGCCATGTCTACCTAATGCAAAGTCTTAATGGAGATGATGAGCTAACAAGTCACTGATTGTTGGATGTCCACTGCAGTCCACTTTGATTTCAGGCATTGATATTTGACGTTTACAAACTGAAATTGATAAGAAATGTAAAGTGCCATGGTTTCCAACAGCCAGTCAGTACCTTGAAGACTTGGGTAACTGACCACCTGGTGCAGTGATCCATCGGGACTAGGAAGGGCCCAGATTCAACCCTTTTTTCTGATGCATTCACTGTGGCTGAGTGATTTGTGACTTTTTGTGGCTCTTAATGCCAGGTGAAGAGAAAGTAGCTGCTGATTTTAAAGGTGTGAATTTTACTTTATAAATTTAAATTCTAATTTAAAGGATTTTTTTACTGTCTGTAGGGTATTATCCAAGATGTTGTCTTCCCCTTGATGTGCTACACTGATGCAGATGAGGAACTCTGGCAGGAAGATCCATATGAGTATATTCGCATGAAATTTGGTACGGCTGCCTTTTTTGCTCTTTCTTCCCTTTGAGGTGCTTTTCTGTTTTTTTTTGCTCACATAATTTGTGCATGTAAATTCAACAAGCTTCTGTAAAATTTACCATTGGTGAAGAATGTTCATTTCTTTAAATAATGCGTTGTGTGAAAATTTAAATTTTCTGTCCACTTTGAAATTTATGGTCGTTGAAGTTTTCCTGCCATAAAATAGTTTTCTTTTGGGAACAATATGGTTTGTCTACATGGGATCCTGGCCTGGTTTTACTGCATCTTTTTACAGTTTAAATGTAACCTACTTTAAATGCAGTAAATGTGCAATTGGAGAATGTGGATGGGACTCCTTTATTGTGGTTAATTTCTGAGTTTTCTGTACAGATGTGTTTGAAGACTTCATTTCTCCGACGACAGCTGCTCAAACATTACTTTATACAGCTTGCAGTAAGAGGAAAGAAGTAAGTATTACTTTGCAATGGTCTTTAGGTTTTCTGGGGTCCTTTTCAAATTGCACGTGTGTTTTGCAACTAACTTTAGGCAATAGGCACTGTGTGCATAGCATCCATCTATGTTTAGTGCTGTTTTCCAACTGTGTTTTACAGCTGGATTGCAGTGCTCACACAAGACCCGTTGGCCACAGAGAAACATGAGATCATAGTACTGGCCTAGTAGTGTCATAAAATGTTAATTGCTGGCCAGCCTCCAAATTCTCAAACAATGCATTTGTTTAAGATGCCTGGGAGTTTCCGTGCCGTTGGTTGGATATCTATTTCTGGACCAGAAACCTATTGGGAGGGGGGAGGGGGGGCAAACCACTGTAACCCAATAGAGGAAAACCTGATTTTTAGCAATTGCTTTACCAATTACGTAAGGTGTAGAATTAAAAATTGCCGACCTTTTGCCACTGACGTTACTTATGTGTAGGAAGAGTTGAGAACTTCACTTCCTCGTCAGCAGTAATACAAAAACAGAATTATATTTGTATAGCGCCTTTCACATCGGGAGGACGTCCCAAGGTGCTAATTCCTGCATATTACGCAGCGCATATTACGCATATTACCTGCCAACCCGTAAATTGGTCAGTTTGAGCATTCAAAGTTGACTATTCACTGCCAGAAGCCACAATTGACCTGTGAGACAGTGCACCATTAAAGAGCACTATAACAGCATTCCCATGCATAGTAAATAATTGCATGTAATATGTTTGGGGCATTTCTTATTTAAATAAACAGCGGGGGAGCAAAATGCTCATAATTGAAAACTGGTCACTAATGAAGGGAAGGTGTATTAGAGCACCACCTCATGGTATTGAGTGGTCGGCTTGGCTTTGTGCCAGAAAATCTCTTGTTTCTTGAGTTGGTGACTAATTAGTAATCAAACGATTCCCCATGAAAAAAGTCTGTGCTTTCTCAAGCTCTTACATACATCTGAGCAACTGATTCAGAATGACACAAGAGGAAGTTGCAGTAATGCAGTTCTGAAGAATAACCATTGGATTTGTTTAAGCTTTATTTGTTGGAATAGATTGAACTCTGGCATTATCAGTTTTTCTGGTTCAACTTTCCAATGTTCATTCCGCCTCTTATATTTCCACTCATTTTGCTTTAATTTAACATGTACAGTATTGGAGTAAATGTTAATCTTGCAAATATAACTGATTTTTGATGCAGGTGTTGCAGAAAACTATGGGGTTCTGTTACCAAATTCTTACAGAACCAACTGTTGATCCTCGGAAGAAAGATGGAGCTTTGCATATGATTGGATCGTTAGCAGAAGTACTATTAAAGGTGGGTGATGTCGAAATTACTTAAGTACCTGCCACTTAAGGAAACAATCTTATTTGTTTATGGCTCCTGGTGACTAAAATGTCAACCCCCCACTTATACCTCAAATTTATCCTTTACAATTTTTCCTCTGGTTATTGCTTCTGCAAACCATAATTTCCTTTTAGCCTGATTGCAGGCAAATTAATTCCATAATAATAATAACAATAATCCTTGCATTTGGTACAGTGCCTAATAAAGTCTTCAAGACATCTCAAAAAATACATAAAACAATTATCTTTCCTCTCTTTTCCACCGTCTACCCTCCTTTACTTCTCCCCTCCCCCCACCACGCAAATAACACCCAGAAATGAGATTTACATTTAACTCTCGAGTGCAGGGTTGCAGAACTCATGTTGCCAACACTCATTCTAGGTTGTAGATGCCTATTTTGTTTTCCTCCATTGCCAGGTTGACCTGGATGACAATTTTCTAAATTTAAGTTTCCAGTTGGCTGGAAAAGATGCTTTTCACAAACCGTAACTTTTTAATTTAAAAAAATCGCCTTGCTCCTGCCTCCAAATGGGAATGCTTAGAGAAAGAAGGAAAAGCTTAGATCGCTCACAAAATACACAGTCAATCCACTTTATAAGTATATTCCGTGGAGTGCTTTAAGACATCTCAACAATGTGAAAGGTACTATATCAATAGCAAGGGTTATTATTATAAAAAAAAGTGTTACTTTTTTAATAAAGAGACAGCAGAATAGATCTCCACATATAATTTTATTATCAAATTGTGCTTTCCATATTTCCTTTATTGTTACACGTTTAACGAGTTTAAGCCATTTTCACTTCTCCTTCTGAAACAGAAAAAGATCTACAAGGATCAGATGGAATTTATGTTACAGAACCATGTCTTCCCATTATTCAGCAGTGACCTGGGGTACATGAGAGCAAGGGTGAGTATGTGTACTTCATACGTTGCATCTTGAGCATTATCTGAGGCTTTTTTTTCCTAGACATTTTTTTCCTCTTTTGAAGGTATTGAATCATTTTTCCTTCTACTGGAAAGAGATAGCATTATAAACGTAATTCTTAATCTGTACAGTTTTTGAAGGTTGCAGTTACTATGACAGAGATGCTGTTAATTGGAATACAGTTGTTGAGAGCCTGTTAGTAGATTTTTATGTAAACCGCACCCTTTTTAAACCCATTTCTAATTACATCATTCAATAAATTCTGATGAGTGTAATGCTGTTATGGTTTCTTTGTTGTCGAAGGCTATTTTGGTTAACTGCATGTCATTTTTAAAAAGCAGTATTTCTATGAATTTGCAGATATTTCTTAGAACATTTTGCCATCACGTTGTTTCTGCGAGGCAGTGTTTGGCAGCTGGATTTATGTGCTCACACACAACCTTCTGACCATAGTGGAGTAAAATAAGCAAGGTCCTTTGATTAAACCAACCTTAAACATTGATTTTGAACAATTCACAAATTTGGTTTGTGACTTGTGATGGGTGATTATCTAGGAATAGACTAATGGGTGCAATTGGTTGACTAATCTGTGAAACAATTAATTGGAATGTCTATAGAATTACTTTTTTGCATCCCATGTAAATCTTTTATCAGAAAAAGGATAAAGGGGCAGTGGGTGTGGTAGGAGAGAGGAAAGTGTCTTGCTTATGCCTTTTCTGACGTGCTGCAATCTATTCTGATGCTAGCGCTTGCACACAAACATGATCCAGAGCTTTCAGGAGAGAGGGGGAAGTTGGCAAGCAGTTTATTTGTAGACTTCAAGAACGATATTCAATTAGTCTTTCTGTTTGCAAACCTCTAGCTCTGACCATAGAACTCGTTGACTTGTCAATTTTAGGCCTGTTGGGTCCTTCATTATTTCTGTGAAGTTAAGTTTAAAATTGACCAGAACCTGCAGACTGCTCTGGAGCTGACTCGGCGATGCCTAATTGAAGATAAGGAAATGCCTGTGAAAGTAGAGGCTGCTATAGCTCTTCAGGTCCTCATCAGTAACCAAGAGAAAGGTAACCAATGCCACGAAAAAAGCTTTAAATGTGTTTTTCTTATTTTACCTTTTTTTATATAAAAGGCTGCTTCCATAGTCAAGGGATTGCTTGACTCGCAAATGTCATTGAGCAGCAATTTAAAGAGTGAAAAAGACGCTGCTGCCAGTGAAGGCATCTTTATTCTCCATTAGCCTTCATGGGAGTAGCCTGGCAATTTATTTGCTGTGTTTTCCCTCTACTGGCATTGTACCCTTTCCACTTGCTTGTGGATATGGTGGCAGCTTTCCACTGCAAATAGTCTCCTTGGAGGTATAAGAGCTCTTAACTTTTGTTTGTGCCATAGACAGTACTGAAATGTGTTGTGATATAGTTCCATCCGTTGAGACCATGGTGTCCTTGTTTTAGAATTGGTCTGAACTTTAACTGTTAACCAACCAAACCAACTAAACTTGGACTGAAGAGGATGCTGAATTTCTGGGTTGTCCCATTGGCATCTAATCAGATAGGATTTTACCGGCCATAGCAGTCAAGTTAATTTTTTTTAAATTGGGAATCTGGCTCAGATCTGCCATACTTAAAATACTTCCCCTTTGGGTCGCCAATGTGATACCAATTATTTTTTATTAGAATTATCTGGGGTCTGATTTTGACGATCTTGTTGCAACTGCACCTAGTAAAGTAATTGCAAGTCTGATAATGCTGAATACATGCCATACTATAAAATGTTCCAAAAGGTAAAGAAACATGGTAGTTTGCTACTATGTTTGTGGTGGACATTAAACCTTGTAAGCATTTTTCATTCTATAACTGTTTTTTTTGTGTATAAATAACCTTTTTGATTAGTTATCTGCAATTGTCTCCATTCTACACCTTTTTTTGTGTTATTCTGTCAGTTCAGAGTCTCCTTGTACTTATCCGCATAAAACAATTAACGCAGTCTATTACCAGTTCATTGTAACCCAGTGCTACAATCAGAAATGCCACCTTATGCTATTCAGTGTTCTTAAGTGTGTGTGTCTATATGTATATATATATTAATATTTAATTATCAATGAAAGTTCCTTGAAGTTCTTCTAATTTACAACTGGTACTCTGTAAGGTGCTATTAAGAAGACGTTGAGCAATTGGCCCCTTGATTATTATTCACCTGTCCTATCAGACGTTCGCTAAAAGTTGCTTCACTGTCTCGCAGAATGTTAGCTGAGGCAGCTTCTGGACAATTATGATCTCCCCATTTTGGTGCAGAGAACTTGTCTTGAAGTTTAAAGCCTGCAGTTGGTTAGTTAATTTGGAGTGTTTTAAAGCCCAAATGTGCTGGACGAGGGGGTGGGGGAGAAAAATCATCTGGGCTGCAATTCAACACCTAACAATTTGTATAAAGGGCCTGGGACTAGCTTTCAGATCTGCCCTCTGACTTGACAATGCCCGTCACCGGTAGCCCTACAAGAAAAAAAGGACAAAGACATTTTAAGATGAAGTCTTGCTTTATGTAAGCAGTTAGTCCATGTGAACTGATTGTGTAATATGTTTCCCTTTCAGCTAAGGACTACATCAAACCTTTTATTAGACCTGTGATGCAGGCCTTACTACACATTGTGAGAGAGACTGAGAATGATGACTTAACTAACGTGATTCAAAAAATGATCTGTGAATATAGTGAAGAGGTGACCCCTATTGCTGTGGAGATGACTCAGCATTTGGTAAGTGGTTTAATTGTTAGATCTGCTTGTGAATAATCGTGCCTATAACTATTGTATAGCTCATAATTACAATCTTGTGACTGTATTGTGTTGGTTAGATCCACTGATTAGTTGTCTTTGTACTCATGCACATTTGAGGTGTCGTAAAGTTGAGCTAAAAGTTTATTGCTGAAGTGAAATAACTTCTAATAAAATTTGAGCCTTTGGTTTTTATTTTAGGCAATGACCTTTAACCAAGTAATCCAAACGGGTCCGGATGAAGAAGGCAGTGATGACAAAGCAGTTACAGCCATGGGAATCCTTAACACAATAGATACACTCCTTAGTGTTGTGGAGGATCACAAGGAGGTTAGTGTTGTACATATGTCAAAATTGCAACCCTAAAATGATTAAATAAGCGATTTGTTTTATGTATTTTCATTCATGTGCTGAATATTAGTGGTGTGAAATAGTTTGATGATGTCTATCTTGGTTTTGAATGGCTGATAAATATATTCATTGTTTTGAAGGAAATAGTTTGCAATGATGCACTAGATTTTTCTAACTTGTTCTCGGAATCTAATTGTACAAACTTGTCTTCATTATGGAGGGCTAAGATTGGTCATTCTCTGTCGTGACGAATGTTTCTTTGTTGCATTGAGAAGCTGACATTTTTAATATTGTGGGGTTAAATTCTTTGGTTGGCAGGCAGGCTGTGTGCAAGGTATCTGTCCCTGTTTAGTGCTGTTTTCTGACTGTGTTTTGCAGCTGGTTTGCAGTGCTCACACATACCCTGCTGACCACAGAGAAAAACGAGATCATAGTACTGGTCCAGTGACGTCGCAAGACAGTTTGCCACTGATCAGCCTCCAAACTCTCATACAACAGTTTAATAGCTCAGTGCATTGATCCGTGTGCATGGATCAAAATGCTCTTTAAATGGAAGTGTGTAGTTACCTAAAATATATATTATTTTAAATGGACACGTGATGATCGCTGTGGTTGCTGCCACTTTCACAGTAGTGTAGCTGATATTTGACAAAATGATGTGGATGAGTATTTCACCATTGAAAGGAGTTGATTGTGATGATGAGCAATATTGGTGAATACTATAGATAGTTATTGGTATGACTTGAAGAACCTGATAGTTTATTTGATTCTGAAATCAGATCCACTCGAAGACTAAGTGAAACATTTCTCTTTTAGATCACCCAGCAGCTTGAAGGCATCTGTTTACAGGTTATTGGAACAGTCTTGCAACAACATGTGTTGGGTATGTGGTTTCTTGCTTCCCTGTATCATTGTACTGTAGTTGGATCATATTTAGTGAATTAATTAGTTTTTTTTCTGGCAGAATTTTATGAAGAAATCTTGTCCTTGGCACACAGTCTGACCTGTCAGCAGGTCTCACCACAGATGTGGCAGCTCTTGCCTCTTGTCTTTGAGGTGTTTCAGCAAGATGGTTTTGACTATTTTACTGGTAAGCAGAAAAATTGTTATTATTTGATTTGTACAATGCATCTGTGCCAGCTAAAACTGAGTCTCCTATATAATGTACACAAAATACTTTTGATTATACTCAGCAATGTAGATTCAAAGAATCCAACACTGAACAATTGGAGCAGAGATCTGGATCTTGACTTCAATAGGTGTTAGTATAGATATGTTCTCATTGGGTAAAATGTGTTAGGTCTAGACCAAAGTATTATTTCTGTAACGTGTGATAATCACAGAATAACCCAGCCTGCCTCACCTTGGTTGTGAAGTTTAGAAAGAGCTGGTGCCTAGTGAGCTCAAGTTGCTCAGTGAAAAGAGGTAATTTTTGCAGTTTGGTAAGATGCTCTGGGGAGAAAATTTGATCTGAACTGACTTACTCCATTTTGCCAGTGTATGGTGATGTATAGTTGACTAGAGTAACCAAAGTAGACTCTAGTTTGACTGTGATATATTCTGCAGTAGAGTAGCTAGCCAAAAAAGCAGGCTTGCTGTAATTTATAAGATTACATTGCCATCTTAATACACTACCTTGGGAAGAGGAGGAACTGAACTAGAATGAAGGATAAAAAGAAATTTAACCGTCAAGAGTGCTTGGTATAGTTGAGCAGGTTTGCTCTTTTCCCCCTAAAATATGGCAATTAAAGTGTGTTTAACAAGTAAGGTGAAGATACATTATTTCTTATCTCTTATTAAACCCCAGAAACCATATGTTGATGGATCTTTGGTAGATGTAATCTATTTAACACAATTAATCCATAATTGGTATAATAACTCCAGCAGCTATACTTTGCTTCACTGACTTTGAATATGCTGATGTACAATTCATTGAGAACACATCACTGTTGGAGGTGATCTGAAGCATTTCTATTTTCTACAAACTTTATTTCTTGGTTTTTGGTGTATTGATTAGGCTAAGAATGTGTTTGGAAACTTCCCTCGTTGACAAGATTAGAGGTGCTGTTTTTTTTTAAACACAACCTATCCCAAATTGCGGTATTTGTGCCTTGCAATTATGATATTTTGAATTCTAATATGTGATATTGTGAGTTTTCCAAAATGTTTTTTAATGATATTTTTGTAAAACCAAAGTTTGAAGGCAACAAAACTTGGTGAAATTGCACCTTCAGTACGGTACAGGCCACATCATTTAAAAAGTTCTTTTGAATTGCAGATATGATGCCTCTCTTACACAATTATGTAACGGTTGACACCGACACGCTATTGTCTGACACCAAATATCTGGAAATGATCTACAGCATGTGCAAAAAGGTGAGTCGGTTAGCCGTGCAGTGGTAAAATAATGATGGCCCGTTCCCATGCTAACTCAGTATTCAGCCAGCAACCTGAATTTTCTTATCAAAGCAGTTTTTGAGTCCGCATTTATTGTTCTGCCACACATTGAGAGCGAGTGCTGAAACTGGCATTGAATCAAAATTTAGTTCAAATCTAGATTTGATAGAAAAATTATAATATTACTGGCTAAATTCTGCTTTTCTGCATTCTTTCATCATTGTATGAAAGTGTTCTTCCATAATTTTCTGGCCTGCTGTAAATTCACAAGGTCAACTACATTTGCAGGAAGAGCTTCAGGTGGAACTTTAGTGGAATGGATGGTAAATAGAGTATCTTGGACCACTAATGCATACCTCCTTTAATGCAACATTGATAGGTAGCTGGAGAGCAGCTAGCTTGGGCCCTCCACCCCTGAATTAGGGAATGGTGTGCAGTGCTAAGAGACCTAAAGAGGGATGAATAACAGATAAAGCTGAATGAGTATAACCAATACAGCTTGATGAGCCCTTGAAGCTTCCTTTGTTGTTCTGGGTTCCTAATGTTAAGGTGTCCATTCTCCATTGTGAGCACTTCTCACTTTCCCAAAATCTTTTCGCTTAATTTCTATTCTGTTTTATAGCTAGAAAATCGATTCTTTCTTTTAGGTATTAACAGGGGATGCAGGAGAGGATGCAGAATGCCATGCAGCTAAACTGCTAGAAGTCGTTATTCTACAGTGTAAGGGCCGAGGCATTGACCAGGTTGGTATGAGATTGATGTAGATAATAGCTCAATTTTATTTTATGTAATCACAAACGTAAATACAAATATGAAGTAAAACATTTTGAAAATGGTTGTCCTTTTCCATTCTATTGCTGTTAATTAGAGCCTGCATGCAAATGTTCTGTAATGGGATTTGAATTTATCGCTTTGGTAATTTGATGTTTTGCTGGATTTTGACCATAAATTGATGTGGGATATTCTTTCAAATGCACTTAATATACTTTTATTTTCTCCTTAGTGTATACCGCTGTTTGTAGAAGCAGCACTTGAGAGGCTGACCAGGGAAGTAAAGACCAGTGAATTAAGGACTATGTGTCTGCAAGTTGCCATTGCTGCATTGTACTACAGCCCCCATCTCCTGTTGAGCACCTTGGAAAATCTGCACTTCCCCAACAACACAGAGCCAATCACCACACAATTTGTTAACCAGTGGCTTAATGATGTAGATTGCTTTTTAGGGTAAGTGAATCGGCTCAATGTCTAAAGGAAAAATATCCAATTTTGAGGCTGTTTGAGATTGTGAAAACTATCTTACTGTACTGTTTTTGGATTTAAAGCATCTATTATTATTGGTCTGTGGGTGATGATGTGGCATAGCAATAGAACTGTGACATTCAGTGATGAGCTTGCTGCATTTCTGTATATTGTGGCATAGTGTGGTGATCCAGTGAGTGAATCTAAAACCTGTTTCCATAACAGCTTTGACTACCATCTTGTGTGTACCATGTCATGCCTGGGAAGTGGGACCTGGGGACCTATATGCATTGGGATGGTGATAGGCACGGAAACAGACCTACATAGTCCATGCCTGATTTACACTTCACAAGAACCCCCACCTTCAAAATCCCCGCTATTGCCATCTCACTCATGTATACATCAAGTTTTCTCTTAAATATATGAAGGCGATTTGCTAATAATCACAGCTTCCTATAATGGGTTCCACATTGTTACCATGCTCTCTAGACCTACCACTGACTAGTTTACATTTATGTCCTGTAGTTACGGACTCGCCAACAAGTGGAAATATCTTTATCCACATCCACCTTATCAAATCCTTTCATAGTCTTGAACATCTCTATCAGGTCCTTCCCTCTTAATGTAAGCAAAGAAATTCTGTTTATGCAGAGGGGTGGATTATAAAGTCTTTTTCTATTGTCAAGTCAATCTGGCTGGTTTTGTGAGAATGCCATGTAATTCTATTACCTGTCAGTTTTTATACAGCTAATGTGCTTATTTGTATCCATTTTGTATATATGCATCTAATTAATTGTGCTGCTTTTTCTTACAGTTTACATGACCGGAAAATGTGTGTGTTGGGTCTATGTGCCCTGATTGAGCTAGAACAGAGGCCACAGATTTTGAACCAGGTTTCAGGGCAAATCCTACCAGCTCTGACCCTCCTCTTCGGTGGATTGAAGAGAGCCTATGCTTGCCGTGCAGAGCATGAAAACGATAGTGACGATGATGAGGATGGAGATGAAGATGATGAAAATGGTACGACTCCAGTGTGATTAGAAAACCTATGTCAGGAGCCAAAATTTAATTTTCAATCACTAAACTTGAGTAATTTGTCCCTAAATATGTGTTATGGAAAGTTGTTAAGTTTTTTTGGAGCAAAAAGAAATCCAGAGTATGATTTTATCTGATACTGAGGGGTCAGTGTACCAAGTGTATTTTGGTAGATTTAAGGGTGCCCTAGCTCAGCCTGACCATATCATAATCAAACGTTCAAATGTGCACTTCTGCAAAATGATTTTCCTTTTATTTATTTATTTATTTAAATATAGTATATATTGTTAATGTGTACGTTTATCCAACGCATGAACTATGGAATTTGCTATTTTTTTAAAAAGGTGTCAAAACCGGGCACAACACAGACTAGCTTTGCAATGTGTAAAAGATTCATCAGTTGGCAAAACAGGTAGTAACTAATTTATTTTGACAGAATTGGGAAGTGATGAAGATGATATTGATGAGGATGGACAAGAGTATCTGGAAATGCTGGCGAAGCAGGCGGGGGAAGATGGTGATGACGAGGAATGGGAGGATGATGATGCAGAGGAGACTGCTCTGGAGGGATACTGCACCATTGTTGATGATGAAGATAGCAATATAGACGAATATCAAATATTCAAAACTGTACTCCAAAGTATGAAGCTGTTCAAGCATTTTTTAATTAAACTTAAGATGTCCCTGGATTTGTGTCTTTTGAGGAATTCAGTGTTACGAACTTAAAGCTGTAAATCCATTCTAGGCTATATTTGAAACTTACTTTCCCAAAATAATTATTAATTCATAACATAAGATAGCTCTACAGAGCAGCACACTATCCTGTTACACAGAATAATGGTGGGATGTGTAGAACAATATGCTGCAACTGTATTTTGGTTAAACATCTGGTCAACGCGGACTATATTTTTTATCTGTAATTATTATGTTCACTGTTTATTAATAGTTTTGTAAAATATGAAAATGATATTTGAGTTGAAACACGATTTAGTCTGAAATTGTACAGTCATATTAATTCGCCATTTCCATTTATTTCAGTGATGTTGCAGTGTATTACAGATTGGCTGCAGCATAGCTTTCATATTCTAGTAAAACTTAATTTTGGTGATTACTTTGAAACAATACTTCATTAGATTAGGTTATTTTAATAATCTTTGCATTTGATATAATGCCTTATAACATTGTCAAAACTTTGCAGTACTTCACATGATGTATTGTATAGCGACCGTATTTGTAGGCATTTGCAGGTGGTAATAATAATAATACAGTAGGTCAATTTAAAGTATAACTAGTCTTAGTCCATTTGTTTCTTTTTCAGCTACTCAAAACCGCGATCCAACCTGGTACCAAGCCCTAACGTGTAATCTCACTGATGAGCATAGGAAGCAGTTACAAGATATTGGAACTCTTGCAGACCAGAGAAGAGCTGCTCTAGGTGCTTACGTAACCTTTTCTCAGTTTGGGTGGGGAAGTGGAGGTCCAAAAACTGTTGCAAAATACTGAAAAATGGCTGCTTGGTCCTCATAAAGGGCAGTGGTATTCTACAGAATTGAACTGTGAAATGGTCAGCAGTTTGGGTATTGGCTGTATGCTTTTAACCTTGCTTTTTCCACATAATCCTGATCATTGATGTTTCTAGTATGTAGAATGCTTGTTTTGAATGCAACTGTCATTGTTACAATTTCCTTTCATGGTGCAATCAGATTAAAAGCTTGGGGCTGTTAATTTCCTAAAGAAAACTAATAAGACTTTTTCTATTTTATTTCAGAGTCCAAAATGATTGAAAAACATGGTGGATACAAGTTCAATACTCCTGTAGTGCCAACTTCATTCAATTTTGGTGGTTCTGCCCCAGGAATGAATTGAGTTTGCTTTTGATTCATTGTACTGTGTGACTGATTGTAGTGAAAGCTTGTGTTGTTCCTTCCAGTAGTGGTTCCAAAAAATAATAAAATAAATCCGTTCTCATCCACAAAATTCACTCAACTTCCTACTACTGTACGTGGAATGGACAAAATGCCCAGAGAAGTGGGATTTTGATCATGAGAGCCCTCTGGAAAAGAAAAAACAGGTTTCAGAGGAACATCGGCCTGAGAGAGAGACTAGTGTAAACAAATCTCCAAACCTATTGCATCATGGGAACCTGAAAGGCGAGGGGGAATGTCATGTTGACAGCTTTTTTTTCTTGGTTACATTTCAGGCTAGGAAATCATTGGCTTCTGGGACAATTTCAGCACATCTGTAGTTTAGGCTAGCAGGCTCCTCCAATGTTTACATCCATAAGAGTGTTGGTATTAGTCTGGTTTTCCACATTTCAAGTTCATTTTTAATGTAAATATGCCATGGCACGTGGATAACTTGCAAAATTGTCTCCAAATTTTCCTGTTCACCCAGGATTAAAAATGATTGTATTCAGATGTAGAGTATCGGACACGGATCATAACACTACATAATGGCAGATGTGTATTTGTAAATGCATAAATAGCACTTTGATATTATGAAAGCCTTCTAGCCTTCTGTATTGAATAGCAAGTTTATTTGCTATTCTATTACAAATTTAAGGGACATGTGGTCTAAATATAAGTGGAGTCATTAAGTTTAAAAATTGTGCTCTTTGACCAGAGGTGTCTTGCCTGTAGCCACCACCTCTGGTTTTGATTGGGATTTTGGCTGTAAAAGAGTCAATGATATTCCATTGCTGCTGAAAATGGAAATGCCCTCAGTGCCCTTTTTTAAGCTCTCTATTTACAAGTCTTTAAAAATGAAATTTGGATACAGTGAAATTGTTGTAAGCACTGATGAGACTAATTCAGTAAACAAAGTCTATATAGAAGCATGTAAAATTGGACCTGAACATGAAGCTCTAATATTAAGAGCAAAAAAAACAAAAGTACTGTAATTGGTTGATGTGTGTATGGATGATCCATCTGTATATGCAACAAACTATTAAAAAAAAATTGGGTTGAACTTTGTTGTAAAAAGTCATTTGTGTAAATTACATACCTTTTTTTGTTTTTTCTAAAAAAAAGGGCTTTCGAGGTTAGGAGTAAAATACACTGGTTACCCTTTAAAGGCGAGTGTTTCTTCATGAGTAACCCGTTTTGTCATTCTCAACACACAATCCAAATTGAGATGTGCACAGTAAACAGATTATGGTTACACTTGTGCTTATAAAATGCGGTGCAGTGTCACTTAGTGACTAAAATAAGTGTTTTTAAAAAGTGAATTGGTTATCTGTTCATTGAGGTTGCAAACCAGTTTTGGCTGCGCTGGCTAGTTATCATTTGAACAGATCTACCTTGTCTTTAAGATAACGCTTAAAAAAAAATCACTATTGCATTATGCTGCACTTTTTTAACACAGGCTGTGATCAGGAGGTGCCAAAGTTGAGAAATGGTGATTTTGGAATTCACTGCAGTATTGTGGCAGATGATTAAAGGTTGGAAGATGGAGTGTTTGAAGTGCAGAAAATCACGCTGGAAGGCTGGGGAATTGGACAGGAGCACCAAAGTGGCTGAAGTTGGCACAGAAGCTATTATATATCGGATCAGAATGACAATATACAAGACCAAGGATGATGAAGTTGGGACGTTTGAGTATCTACCAATAAAACCAGGCAGTGATGTCGCAGAAGAACGAACATTAATCATTTTTGCAGATTGCTGTAACCCTGTGGTGATATTCAGTTACAAAACTTTATTTAAAAAAAATTGAGCGCTCAGTACTGAACATGAAAAGCTAATTAAATTTAACACGCAACCAGTTGGGTTGAGGATGTTGCCAGAGTACATTGTTGTCTCTGAGAAGTGTATTTTGAATGTAGCTCTTAAAATATCAACTGCATTAAATTGACCTTTTCACTTTGTGTCTGTGATGTCCATACCACTCTTAAACATGTAGTTTCATGTGTGAGCAAAATATTTCTTGTACTCTGCTTAAGTACAAGAGAAATCCAACAATAGGGGGAATGTCAAATTGTAATGATTTAATTTCCCATTTCCATTGGATAATTGTATAGGAACTCTTGTAAAGACTTAGCACTAACGCAAAAAAGCAAGGTTAGTTATTTACTGTTTGCCTGTTGTCATTATGCTTTCATTGACATTTTTTTCCATTTTCACTGCATAATTTGAGATTATTTTACATCAGCAAAAATATCCTGGAAAGTTTTCTGGAGTTATGATGGTGTTGGACTTTGAGTTTGGTTTACTTGCTTTTTTTAAAAAAAAACAGAATGCTATCAACAAGTTTAACTCTTCACATGCTGTGGATAAATTCAATAACTGGGTAACTTAAATATTGATCCTTTGGTTTGACTTCTTTCTTTGAAATCTGCCACTTCTTCCAAAGTGCGCAATGAATGTTGGGAAGATGTTGTATAAACAAAATATTTTAGATTTAAAACATTAGATTACAAAAAGTTGACAAATTGGAGAATTGTTGAAAAATAAATTAAAATTGGATATCAGATGTGTTGGGTTATTGTATAAAGTTGATTGCTGTATAATTGGTTCTCATTTCAGCATCAGTGTAGGGATTTAAAAAAGTTAACTAATCTCATAAAATGATTAATTGTAACAAAATTGCATCTGTATTTTCTTAAAACCTAAGTTTGTTTACCTCAATTCGTAACTTAAATTTGGACAAAAATGAAAGGACCAGTTTTTTATTGGGAATTCCTCTATATAGCATAGTTCAGAGAGAGAAATTCCAAGCTTGATCCCAATAAGAAAACTAAATTGATTTCAATATCCCTTAGTTTGAAGGGAATCTGATTCATGTTGTGGGTCTGAGTCCTGCACTAGGACTTCAGTTTGTAATTTTGGCTGATACTCAAGTGCAGAACTTAATGAATGCTGCAGCATTAATGCAACTTGGTTGGAGATGCCATGCAGATGTTAAATTGATATCCAGACTGTCTCTGACGGTTCACACCACAAGACATTTCTAAGAGAAGGGAGTACTGCATCATCCAACTTCACCAAAATGTATTATAATTTCCTTAGAACTTTTGTAAAGTACATATATCTTGACACAATCCTGTTTTAAAAAAAAGCAAATACTGTATATTTGGATTTGACATGGCTTATTACATTAAAATGGCTCAAGGTGCTTCACACAATGAATGTTTGGAAGTGCGTTGGCATGTTATGTAGGTAAATACGGCATTGGAGGTATAAAGGAAGGTATAAGAACGGCCAGTTGCAATTTTCTTAGCCCATTCCATAGAAAATGGTCAAGGGGAGAGAAATGCCTTTCCTTAAATCTTAATAGAGAATACTACTGTTGTAAAAGGGGAAATTATTGCAAAACACTGTCCTTTGTAGTATGTAGTTCCCCTTTTTAAAATAAAATTATTTCATTTCCCTATCCAAATTTTCTGTTTTTCCAAGGCCATGCGGGATGAGGGAACGGTTTCTGTCTGGCATACTATCAATTAGGACTAGGAGTCTTCCATTCGATCATGGCTGATCTCCATTTACCTGCCTTTTCTCCATATCCCTTTGAATGCTCTTACTCAAATATCTATTTGCCTTTCTGAATTCACTGTCTGGTTTCTAACCACAATTGTGGGTAAACTTCTAAATTATAATATGGGATTGAATAGATCCCATAGATCTGTAAGTGGTCATTATATCAAGCAACTAGGAAGGCTAATGCCATGTTGGCGTTCGTTGCAAAAGGATTAGAGTACAAGAGTAGGGAAGTCTTGCTGTAGTTGCGTAAGGCCTTGGTGAGATCGCACCTTGAATATTGTGTGCAGTTTTGATCTCCTTATTTAAGAAAAGACATACTTCCCTTAGAGGGGGTGCAGCGTAGATTCACTAGGTTGGTTCCTGGGATGAGGGGGTTGACCTATGAGGATAGGTTGAGTAAACTAGGCCTATATTCTCTTGAATATAGAAGAATTAGAGGTGATCTTATAAAAACCTATAAGATTCTTAAGAGTCTTGAGAGAGTAAATGCCGTGAGACTGTTTCCTTTGGTTGGAGTCTAAAACTAGAGGTCATAATCTCAAGATTCAGGGTCAGCCTTTTCAAACTGAGTTGAGGAAAGATTTCTTCACTCAGAGGGTAGTGAATTTGTGGAATTCTCTACCCCAGAAGGCTGTGGTGCTCAGTCCTTGAACATATTCAAGACTGAGGTTGATAGATTTCTAAAGGTTAGAGGGATTAAGGGATATGGGGAGAGGGAGGGTAAATGGAATTAGGTTAGAAGATCAGCCATGATCTCATTAAATGGCTGGGAAGGCTCGAGGAGCCGAATGGCCTACTCCTGTTCCTATGTCTTATGGTCTTAAATAGATGGGTGTGGAGAGGTACGGCTCAAAACTTCCAAGACAGAATGAATATTCGTTGTGGATTTCCCAAATAAGCTGGTTATGGTGAACAAAATTCCCCAGACATGTTCTCATATTTTTTATTGGTATTGACGATGTGATAATGCACTATATTTAATTCAAGGTTTATTATTATATTCATGATTTGGAGAAAGGCAGGTTTCTAAGTTTGCCTATTATACTAAATTAGTAAAGGTTTAGGAATGACTGCTTAAACAGGAACAAAGGTTTGACAACGAGTCTACTTTGGGAAATCAGAGAGAATGCTGAAGCATATACTCCACTTTTTTTTCAGATATAAAAAGATTATTTGACACACAGAAAACTTTGCTGAAAATCACTGCACTTTACATATGTATAGTTTCCATTTGTCTGGTTTTGTATGCATTAGCTCTAGAAGGATGTACCCAGTTTACCAAATTCTAGAGAATTTTAAGTGTGGGTTGGCAAATGCAAAGGTTTAGGGACTCACTCCATGATGTACATTAGGGGTATTAGGCGCTTTGAGACGCCTCACCAATGTGATAGGATGCTATATCAAATGCAAGGATTATATTATACAACACAAAATTACATTTGTATAAGCGTTTTTCACGTCCAGAGGACGTCCCAACGTTATTGTTGGGGTTCGGTGTCAGATGTGGTATGTTGCGAAATGTGAAATATGTTGTGTTATGAAGTATATCCTAAACGATGGTTTGGCCCACAAAATACAGTCACTACACTTTACACTTTACAGTGTGAAGCACTGAGACGTCTCGAAGACGTGATGAGGCGCTATGTCAAATGCAAGTATTATTATTATCAACACCTAAGTATCTTAACTGCACACAGTTATGGGTACCCCAGTTGTAGAAAGGAGAGCATCCGTTGCAGAAGGGAGAAGAGCTGGTTTTTATTATAGCGCAGTAATAATAATAATAATCCTTGCATTTGATACAGCGCTTTTCACGTCAGGAGGACGTCCCAAAGCGCTTCACAGAACACACTAAAGTGAATTGACTGTATATTTGTGGGCGAACGCGGCAGCCAATTGCGCACAGCAATGTCCCACAAACAGTCGTAGATTGAAAATGACCAATTTATTATTGTTTTGGAGGGATTATTATTAGGCTCTGTGTGGAGTAAGGAAACTTGCCCAAGGTTTCGCCCTGACCTGCCTGGAATTGAACTCAGGTCTCTCGCTTGCAAAGCGAGTGCTCTAACCACTGAGCTACAGGACTCCAAATTTGTGAATTACAAGTGGTGGTGGAAGTGGTGATACTTTCGCAACTTTTAAAAAAAAATTTTTTTTTTTTGGGGGGGGAATGGTGTGAAGTGTGGGGTGTGGTTACTGCGCTAATTACACGTTCCACATTACTAACGGGTTAATAGTGGAAGTGGAGTGCGTCGCCTCTAACGGCGGGCACACACCATGCACCTCCCATTTATTTATCCGCCCTGACCTTGGCTGCGCTCCCTAACATGGCGTCGTGCGTAATACTTGAGCCCGACAACAACCGCCAGGGTGCAGGGAACGGCAGACGGGAGCTGCGGGACACACACACAAACACACACACACACGCACACAGACACTTTGTTTCAACCCGACCCTTGCCAAAGCAATCACATTCCCAGAAACATTCCCCAAGGTTTTAAAACAGGAAGAAATTTCAAATGATTCACGTCGACCTGTGCTGCTCGGCAACTGACAAAATGGCGTCCGGCGGTACCTGAACATCACCAGTGACCGCGTCCTCCCTTCCTGCGCTCACCGCGGGGCGGGGCCGGCCTGGCCACCTTTTGATTGACATCGGACTCGACCAATGGACGAAGGCGACGGGCAGCGCGGCTGTCCAATGGGAGCGAGGGAGGGGCAGTCCGGGAGGAGGAAAACCCGGAGCCGTCAATCAATTGAGAGCCAGGCGCTCGGGGAGGGGGGGTGCGGGTGGCGCGCGCGGAGGGCGGGGTAAAGGCGGAGCCGGCAGTGTGCCCTCTGGATTGACGGCAAACTCGGCCAATGGGCGAACGCGAGCGTGACGGGCAGCCCGGCCGTCCAAATGGAAGCGAGAGGAAGGCGGTTGGAGAAGCCGAAGCCGTCAATCAAGAGGGGGGGGGGGGGGAAACAGGGCTGGGACGGAACGGGGGCGGGCGGGGCGGGGCGCCGCGAGCGTGACGCGCGCGTGCGCGGGGAAGCGGTTGGTGGCGAGGCGGGAGAGTGAGTGCGAGGCAGGGAGGGTTGGGGGAGGGGGGGAAGGGGGGGCGGCGGCCTGGCCTAACCGACAACGGCAGTGAGTGAGTTTCCGCTCCTGGTGCATGGCGGTCGACCGGAGGAATTGTTGGAAAAAAAGGAGGTTAGTCAGTGGGCTGTTTTTTTTACCCAGTATGCCCTATTTCTTTTACCCAGATCGGCCGGGCTCTGTTTTTTTTTTGGTTTGGTGTGAGGGGAAGGAAGGAAGGAGGGAGGGAGGGAGGGAGTGAGGGTAAAGTGTCGGGCGAGCTGGGGCCCGGCCGCTCGTCGGTCGGTCGGTGATGGTTTGTTTGGAAGTTGCTCTCCCTCTCCTCTCTCTCTCTCTCTCTCTCGCTCTATCCCTCCCTCTCTCTCTCTCTCTCTCGCTGTCCCTCCCGCACCGCCGGTTCGGTGGGGTTGGGGGTTAAGGGGAGGGGGGGGTTTCTCCAGTTGATTTGCAACTCGTCCCAGTGCCCTCCTCCTGCAGGAAACCTCACCCCCTCACAAGCCCCTCTTGTTTTGTTTCATTTCTTTTTACACGTTTGATGATGATCGTCGCGCACACACACACACACACACACACGCACGCACACAAGAAAAATACAAAGATCCGACTGGATTGTACGTCTTGGAAGGTTGTTTACAGGCAGGAGAAGGGAGGGAGGGAGGGAGAGAGGGGAGGGCTCACCTGATGTTGACAACATAACACCACACAGCAGACGATTAAGACACGAGTTGGATTTACAAGTTCATTTTTTTCCTTCCCCCCCCACTCCCTCCCTTTCCCCTTCCCCACCACCACCACCACCACCAACCTCACTTAACTTCTGTTTCAGAGCGACTCCGAACTGTGGGCGTCCTACATTTCATTTTTATTTTGTTGCTGCTTTCTACCAAAAGTGCGCACCCGGGGCTGTGGGGCACAAGGAATAGGGGGGGTTCGTTTCCCAACCGTTGGAAGGGTCGCTGCACTCACTCACTCACTCACTCAATCGCTCGCTCAGCAAACTAGTTTTTAAAATCATCCCCTGGCGAGAATAGTCACCCAAACCTCGGGAGTACAGTGCTTTTTGTTAAATTCCCACCCACCTCCCCCCCCAACCCAAAAAAAAAGTATTTTGAAGAGGAATTGATGGTTTGCGCTTTAGCTGAGTTTTCATATTCTGCCAAATCTTAACTTGCAATTTCTTTCTCTTCCCTCCCTCCCTCCCTGTCCATACCCATCAGGTTTTTTTTAAAAAAATACGATGTTGCTATCTGCACCTGTGGTACTTTGGATTATTACTAATGGTTCTTCAATTTTTTTTAATGCTTAAAAACTACAGCAGGTTAATCAGCAGCTAAAAGCATGTGATAATAATGGATAATATGAACCTTCTGCTGAAGTTGTACCTGAAGTTAATCTTATCCATTCTTCCATCTTTCAGACGCTGAGTTGCCTGCTGTAGATTTCCAACATTTGCTTTTTTCGAGATTTATTAATTGCATTGTTCCACAATACTTTCTTCAAGGTTCACTGTCTGATCGCTTATTAAAGATATATAGAATACAAGCCAACAGCAGTGCTGTTTTGTGAAGATTATGTGATGTAGTCATATTCTCATGCTTGAAGCCCGAAACTAAGAAGTAGGATTGCAGATATTTCAATCCTTTCACTATTTTATCAGAACCACTTGTGTCGATTGCAAATTCCTCAGGCTTAGTGAAGATTACCAAGTTGTAACCTATAAATTATTTAAAATCCTGATTGATTAATGATGTGTACTACCATAATGTTATTTCAAATCATTTAGGTTTGTTGACGTTTCTGTATCCCATGACCATGATAGTAATGATGATAATAATAATACTTGCATTTGGTATAACTCCTTGACACATCATTGAGACATCTCAAAGAGCTTCACAGAATATATCCAACAACAAAATTACATTTGTATAGCGCCTTTCACGTCGGGAGGACGTCCCAAGGCACTGGACAATCAGTGTATTGGACCCGAGCTGGGGTGGTCAGAGTGAGAACTGTGTTGATTTCACAATATTGAGCCCAATTGTATGACTCCCAAGCACTTTACATCAACTAACTTGGCACAGAATAAACATGGTACCTTCTTCGTCTATGGTTCAGTTGTACATTCAGCAGTGGCTTTACCCATCAAGCTATATCAGTTGAATCAAGCATTTCAGTTTCATTTCTCAGAACATTGTTAATGTCAACTCAGAACTTATGCATATTGTAGCATTCAATCAACAGGATATTTCCAAACCATCATCATTGTCTTCATGAATAGTTGTTGCATTCAGTACAATATTTAAAAGCAGTTCAGTGCCAAAAGGTGGAGCATTTCAACTGCCTAGCCTGTCCCATACGCCTCAAGATCAGAAGGTCGAGAATTTCAAAACAATGTTGACTTACTTGGCAACTTTTCAGTATTACAGTTAATAAGTGGAGTCCTGACAATGCCTACCAAGTAACTGCATCCGTTTTTCGTCACACTACTTGTCTTTTTAGATGGAGGTGCTAAGAAGACACAAAGAGCTTTCTATGGAGCGGGAAGCAGTGGCTGATAAATAGGCTGTTTGCAAACATTGCAAGCGTGTTTTGGAAGCAAGCTGATATATGTTTACACTTGTATGCTACCAGCACTAGGGAGTAGTGCTGAAAACGTATAAATAAATGTATTCCAGTAGATCAGATTCAATATCATTGTCAACATAAATTCACAGCAGTAAAATGCTCAGAACCGTAGACATTTACCACACAGAAGGATGCCAGGTTCACTCAATGTCTAAGGTTGCAACATGAAACCGCAACCATTTAATCTGACTCTTCCTTTTCCCCATGCTTTTTTAAAAAATGTTTAAATATTTATCTAATTCCCTTTTAAAATTCAAATTCTGCCCGAACCAAAGTTATAGGCAGGGCAATCTAATATCCCAACAACCTTCTGTAAATAATAGTTCTGCTAACTACTTCCTTCACTCTTTGGTAATTACCTTAAATCTATCCTCTCCAGTTACTGCTCAGTGATCCTAGTGAGTCTCCTTTCCTCCCTTGACATCCTTCTTACAGTGGAGTTCCCAAAACTAGATACAGTTTTTTGACAGCAGCTAAGTAATTTATATATGTTTAGTATTACCCATTTGCTTTAATATTCTATTTATAAAACCTACTTTTTTTTGGTGTACATTAACCCCAAAGTCCCTCTGCTCTTCCACTTCTTAAAATATTTCCATTTTATGTATCTTCTTATTCTACCTTGTTTATTTGCCTTCCAATACACAATCACTACATTTTACAAGGAAAACCCTGAAGTCCAAGGCGTGATTAGGTACTATATTAAATGCAAGGATCAGTTATTAAATATTGCTCTCCTGTGTTATATAAAAGCAGAATAATATTTTAAATATAGTAGAAACAAATGATAGGTTGTGCCTGGTACATTTCATATTAGCATTTCTCTTAACATTTGAAAAACCCATAACACATCAAGACCTTGGACGGCTCTCTGTAAATGAGATTTTATGAGCTTCATGTTTTACAGAAATATTTGTTGTGTGAAGGAATTAATATTTTTAAGATTCTTTTCAGATAAGGGATTCAACATTTCGGGACAGGAGCAAAGATTTTTCTTTGTAACATTTCCACCAATTTTCTCTACTTTTACTGATATGTTATTATTATTATGTTTTGTTTAATTGATTATCAATATTTTTTTTATGTTGCTAGTATCCTGCACTCTGGTAAAAAGTTGTGCAGAACTCCTGGATGTTTCTATAATTTTCCCCAGGAAGAAACAGTGTGACATCTCAATCTGGTTACAAACAATATTTACAAAACAATCTATGGTTGTTTATTCAGTAAAATAGACCACTTTGAAATACGTTTATTTGTTGTATTTTGTTTGTAGCGGGAGCCAAATGATCAAAGACATTTCAAAACATTCCCCATTTGCAATCTAAGTGTTTTACATTGGGAGAATTCACAATAAACAAAACCCTCATAATTAGATTTTGTTCTACAATGTTGCCAGTATGGAAATCTCACCAATATAGATGTTGATGTGTACATGTGTCCGCTGCTTTTGTGTTACAAGTTGGCCTGCGAGGCAGGTGCCACTGACAACCCAGAATTTCCTGAACCCTGCTTTGTCCATCAAGTTGTCTGCAAAATTGGCTGTGCGGTTTTGCTAACTGGAATCCATGTTTCTGACTGTTAGGAGTCACATCTATAAAAGCAGCTCCGAGAGCAAATGAGGTATAACATTGCTGGTAACTAAATGACGAAAGCAAGTATACGCAGCCATCTCAGGAATTGATATTTCATAAGCAGTTGCACACCTAAATAAATGGTAGGCAATCTCTGAAACAATGCTGCCATCTTACTGGATATATGAGCAGTTTTTCATCTGTTAAATGAAAGTTTTTAATTAGTGCATTCTTCATAAATTTGTAAGAGGTTGATTAATCCAATATCCCAATCACAAATATAATTGTCCAGACAATTTTACCCTTTGCATTTGTGTGCACTTGTAATTATAAATGTACAGTTTTTCACACTATACCACATGGAGTAGTAACACATGGCAATTGAATGTTTCTCATCTGTCTCTGAGTCTGATGAGACATTACATAATGGAATGACATTGTATGTAATACAAACAGTAGCTTTAGGAATGTACTGGTCTGGAAAAAACACTTTCAATCCAATCTGCTGTTCAGAGTAAAAATAATCCTACACTGCTCCATGTCTCATACCTCTGAAATGATTTTTTTAACCAAAATATCTAACTCCCACTTGAATTTTTTTTTACATAATTTGACAACTCTACCTCCCTGGACCACCTCCCTTAAAATATATTGGGCATTGGATGTAAATTAATAATAAAATTTAGCATTCGTAGTTGTGGTACTACAATTGTTTTCAGTAGCTCCCCTACTGCTTACTGCCTTCCCCACTGATAGCTCATTCGGACTGGGATTCAGTGTGAGATCTTCCTAATTATGAATGTCTCAGGTTCACCTTGCTGCACAATGATATTCTGATTGGGAATTTCAAGCTATGTATTTTCACTTCATGGTCATGTGATTTAGGATTCCACAGTGCATTAAATTCATGAACTTCTAAAAATGGATTCTGACTCCCTTTTGCAGAATGGATCGATTTCAAGATCCTCACACTTATATACACTTCATGCCCTGGCACCTTCCTACCACTCAGACTTGCCCCCATAACACTACCCACCTCCTTCGCTCAGCTGGCCTCCCACACGTCCCTCACCCACTCCGTTTCACCATCAGCCAAACCACCCAAAACTATGAAACTCTCTGCCTTGTCTCCTCCTTGCCCGTCTTCAGATCACACCTGAAGACCTTCCTCTTCGACTTTGCCTATGGTTGCCTCACCATCTCTCTGGCAAGCTCCGGCACAGTTAAGCGCTCAGAGGCATTACCCCACGTGAAGGGTACTTTGTAAATGTATATAAGTTTTATATTAAAGTTCCATTTTATTGCTACCAACATTTTTACAATAAGGGAACAAAACTAATTGAGATCAGTGTTTACTGTAATTTACACAGCAATCTTCAGTTATTTGTTATGAAATTTCTTATAATTTGGAGATGCCTCTGGTGTAATTTAGATATGTTGTTAGATATGTTACTGGCACAGATGAACAGAGACGCCCAAAGCATGGCAGAGTTTCAAGGAGGGGGAGATGGTCAGCACGTCACACTTTGCCTAACGGAAACGGTTGCCGTTACAGGTAAATCACAACTCTTGTTGCCTTTTTAGAACTGTGTTGCTTGTTTCCTACTATTTTCTCAAAAGTTTTCAAATTGTGCAAGATGTGAACTTCAAAGAAACGTAGCATTGCTAAGTTTGCACTAAGGTGTCAGCTGCCTCATTTATTTGTTATTTATTTATTTGTTGTTGTATTTATTTCACCTTTGAGTTAGACGGGTTGGTCGAACCTTTTGGCTGCTAAGGGCCGGATACCCTATTTGAGAAACATCCGCAGACCGCATTAGCATAATTTTGGTGTTTCCCTTCCAGAAACATAAAATTTACGGTGAATAGAGGGAGTGGGTGAGCCAGATGAAATGAAGGTGATGGGGGGCACAGGTGAAGCCACCCTGAGTTAGAAGGTTACGGGTTCAAGCCCCATGTTGGGACTTTGAACTCAGTCTTGGGTGATCCTCCGGTATAGTGCTGGTGAATTGTTGCATTTTGGTGGTATTATCCTTCGAATTACTCATTAAATGGAGGTTCCATTTTTATTTAGATGGTGAACGACTTGAAAATATGGATGGTGTGAGTTTGCAAGCTGTTACTCTTGCAGACGGTTCTACAGCATATTTTCAACACAGCTCTAAAGGTATGGACTTTGTAATAACTTGCTGATTATAGAAGGATTCTAATTATTTAACACCATATTTTGCTAAATTTGTTCATTTGACTTTTATTTATGCTTTTGGATCATGTAATACATTATAAAGGAAATGTGAACTTTTCTTTCAGTTTGTTCAGAATAGCTCAGAAATCTATAATCTCTGGAATTCATCACAATGCATAGATGAACAATAAATTTAGTCTATTTCTTCCCCATAATGATATTGTTGCACTTCTCATGTTTTAGATGGGAAGTTGGTGGACGGTCAAGTGATTCAACTGGAGGATGGGTCTACAGCCTATGTCCAAAATGTTGCAGTAACAAAAGGTGAGTGATGTTATTGCTATAAATTGGTATCTTGGTGAATGGCCCTTACCTTCTCTGTAAAATGTTTCCCTGCCAGTAGTGAATGCTTGTCTGCATAGTTATGTCAATCGCAAATTCAGACAGCTTTATGCTGTAGGCTCATACCTATTTGAGATATGGTTGATTACTTTTCCACATTATAAATTTACTTACCCCTCCCTCTCTTCACGAAGGCATTTGACTCATTTTTCTTTCACTGGTATATGGCTGAATTAGCTCAGTTTGTCTTGTGGTTTTTGTCTGCAGCAGTTTTATCAGTGTTCTTTTTGATATGGAGATTGCTTTACTGTCTACAAATAAAAAAAATACATTTCTGCGCTGATCTCACATGTTTAATATGCTGCGCTAATCTCACATGTTTAATATGCATAAGGCAAAGTGTATTTTATTTATAATCCAGATTTTCAAAGATCCTCCATACTTGTTTTTAGGAGATTGTTTGCGTTTTGAAGATGGCCAGGCAGTTCAACTGGAGGATGGATCGACCGCGTATATTCATCATACACCAAAAGGTAAACTATTAGACACTAGTTTATAGTAAAGTTAATTAGGAAACTAACAATCATTTATTCACAAATTTGTCTCTTTTGCCCACGTAAGATGGTTATGATCCGAATGCTGTACAGGCTGTCCAGCTGGAAGATGGCACAACTGCCTACATTCACCATACAATACAGGTTCCCCAGACTGACACCATCCTTGCTGTTCAAGCTGATAGTACCCTGACAGGATTGCATACGGGAGAAACCACAGTAGATCCAGAAACCATCAGTGCACTAGAACAGTACGCCACCAAGGTAAATATATTCACTTAAATGTCGCCTTCACAAATCATTGTTGCTTCCAAATTACAAGTGGTGGGCTTTGACCAATTTTTACCAAAGTTTTGATATTTTGATTAAAGTTAGTATTGTGTCCTAAAATGCATCTGCTTTTGCGAATACTGATCCTAATGAGCATTCTTAAAATGCATGACCCTGTTGAGAGACATTGGTACTAGAATAGTCCACTTGAATCAATTGAATGTAATGCTTTCCCCAGTGAGTTTATGAAGGGGAGAAAACTACAGTGCAGGAAAATTCTGGCTATCCCAATCCCAAGTATCTGGAATTCGGAATTAGCCGGGTCTGGGGAAAAAAAATTGCCATTCAAAAATCCATCCTGCGTTTTCAAACTCACGTAATGCTCACGTTTGACGCTGATTGGTTTAGCCGAGGACATAAACCGAGTTGCATCGCATCAGTGGTGATTATAAACTATTGTTATTTTTGTTTAATTATTTCAAATTAACTTTAAATGTTAGGGAGTATTTATTTTTACTTACTTTCAATGCCAGGGATTAGGATTTGCAGTTATCTGGAAAATCCGTCTTGCCACACTGGATCTCCCCCCTATTAGTCTGGGTAGCCAGGGGTTAGTGTACTTGAAGATCAAGTTGTGAATAATAATGAACTGGCACCAGTTTAAAAAAATCTTTCTCTGCAGTTTCTCCTATTTCATCTAACTCTCTTTTACTGCAGGTGACTACTGATAGAAGTGACAGTACAGTTCTAGTGACTGAGAGTGACAGTGAGAAAAAGATGCAGGTAAGAACATTAATATTCTGCAGCCATAGTGGGAGAAAATAAATTTACAAATTTCATTATAGTTTCAAACTTACAGAGATAAGGGGCAGAAAAGCTCTGGGAGAGGGATGTAGAAATTTGGTAACATTTATTAAACGGGATCCCAGAAGTGCGAAGAGGACCTGAGAAATGAATGGAACTGTTCTCCACCAAGAGCCAGAGTTTTCAAAGGAGAAGATACAACTTGAGAAAAATATAAAGAGTTATGTTTATTCTGCTGATTCCTTTGAGCCGTATAGTTGAGGAAGGTCACAGATTCGGTCCCTGTTCTATGCTGAGTTAGCTGATCTCAGCAAGACAGTAGTAGAGTTCTAAGGAGGAGGAAATCAGGCAGGGTCCTCACAAATTAAATGGTATCCACCCTCTGGAAATGTAGATGAATAGATGTTGACTAAGAAAGAACACAATCAGCCTAGACTTTTAGATTCATGGTTCATTCAAATTCATCAACGCAAATAAATAACAATAATTTGGTCACGCATTCCATGACTATTTGTGGGATACTGCTATGCGCAATTGCCTGCCACGTTTCGCCCACAAAATATAGTCAACTGTATATTCTGTGAAGCACTTTGAGATGTCTCAACAACACGATAAGGCACTATATCAAATGCAAGGATTATTATTATAATATTATCATTACTTATTGCTGTTTGTACGCCATAATGGCATTTTTGCCTAAATAAAAGCAGTAGCATATTTCGAAATAACTTTTTGAGTGAATCACTTTGAAATATTTTGACCTGATAGAGTACTATATCAAATACAAAATTATTATTTTTGACAATAAATTCTGAAAAGTTGGCAAATTTCTCCAGCAAGAGTGAACGATTTACAAAGAGAGAAGTGTTAGAGATCAGCACAGGGAGGGCAGCTCCAAATTCAGTTGTTCTTTATTTCTCAGTAACTGAATATGTTATTTCTTAAGATTGTTATTCAGGGTCATGGGCCAATACGGATGAGTGCCAAGGCACAGCCGGGAGAAAAGGGTTTCCGCTGCGAGTATGAGGGCTGTGGGAGACTATACACAACCGCTCACCATCTCAAGGTACAGGCACAAGTAATCTGGGATTTAGTATCGTTTTTAGAAATTTGTATTTAAGTTCTAAACAAATCTTCATTAAGTTGATGAGAAAGAGAATATTTTACAAGTTGCTGACATCTTACCTATTTCCTGAGCGCTGCAGTGGTGAAGTTCCTACCTGCTGCCTAGTGAAGTTGTTTTTTTAATGCTCGCTGTTCTTACATATTGGTTTGCTGGTCTCAGCTTTGCTCTCAAGGTGAAACAGTGAGAAAAGGCAGACTCTCTTAGAAGGGAGTGAATGAATGAGGGAAGAGTGCCACTTTCATTTTCTTGTGGCTAGTTGCATACCCTCTCTCTATGGGGGTTGGTGCAAGGAATTGGTAAAAAGGAAGACTGAGTGGATCTTGCCTATTATCCTAATGGAGGGTCAGATTTGGCGTCCTTCCATACAAAATATCCAGTTGACAGGCTGGCAGTTTAATGGTTCTAGATCTTAGAGAAGGATCTTTCAGTGGTGAAAGGATTTCTAGGGTGCAACAATCAGCAATCTAAAGTTGAAGTTTGGACCCTAGTCCCATAAGTGTGCAGTTGCAGCCATAAGATTGTTCCACTATTCCATCAGCAGCAGATTCCTCAGGGACCATCCAGATGCTTCAGATGCTTTGAATCTCTAGGGCTTTAATCTGCATATCAGCACATGATGAAGTGTCTTCTGATCTTTCGCTGCCTTGCCATTAGGGAGAATCACTAAAGAGACCAGGTGCTTACATGGAAGACAATTGCTGAGCAGGGTCAGAACAGGTGATAGGTTTTGTTCATGAAGTTAAGCAACAAAAACTTTCTAAGCACAAAATACTGCAGATGCTGGAAATCTGAAAACAAAAACAGAAGTCGCTGGGAACACTCAGCAGATCAGGCAGCATCTGTGGAGAAAGGAAAGTGAGTCAACGTTTTGGGTCCACAACCCTTCATCAGACTCTTTGTTAAAACTTTCTAAAGTTATTTCACAAAGAAGCAGCAGTTTGATTCTGGCATTGGGTTATTTGGTAACTTGACCATTTAGATATTTTTAATCTTTTATTATGTTACAGGTACATGAGAGAGCGCATACAGGAGACCGCCCGTATCGATGTGAACATCCAGGCTGTGGAAAGGCTTTTGCTACCGGTAACTGATAACATTTCACATTTTTTTTATTGTCCTTTTATTGGAGAGCAGATATACAAACTAAAATGTGTAGGAGAAATAATATGTACCTTGCCATTTATGTATTCTCAAAACGTAAATATTGACATTTTGATTTAGTTTGGAACCATTAAATAATGAAAGGACTTTGAAGTTTGTGTTGTCTACTATTCAACATGGTTATTAAAATAAGAAAGATTGAGTGTTCTAGGTATAAATATAATAATAATTTAAATAATAATCCTTGCATTTGATAAAGCGCTTCACAGAATACACTGTGAAGTGAATTGGCTATACATTTTGTTGGGGAAATATGAACATCTTGTTCCATGTACAGCACAAAGTTTTTGCAATGAAAATGCTGTAACTTCACTATGAATATGATACGATGGAGATGACAAATCAGCTTTTGCATTGGTTGCACCACTTTAACAAAAGGGCTGGCTCAGGCCTGGCAGTGGAGGAATATTGCATGTCTCCAGAATTAAACCTGGAACCAGCACAATGCACCTTTTATCCAGTCTATTGTTGTGCATTAAAGTACTGGCGTGGGTATAATGTGTCAGCTCGGCACAGTGCTAGTACTCTCGCCCCTGAGTCAGAAGAGTTCAAAAGATTTTCCAACATTTCGTTTTTCTTCCCCACTAATGTTTCTATTTTGTTCAGGATATGGATTGAAAAGCCATACAAGGACCCACACAGGAGAAAAGCCATATAGATGCCCAGAAGAGAGTTGTGACAAAGCTTTTAAAACCTCAGGGGACCTACAGAAACATATTCGAACTCACACAGGTAATTTTAGTTTGATAAAAATGTCAGAAACCATCCAATGAGAAAGGGACATTTGACCTGCTGACTTGGGAAGAAGAACATTTGTGGGCGTTTCCACTTGTGGGGGAGACCAAAACCAGGGCCATAAGTATATGATACTCACCAATAAATCAAAGAGGGAAGTCAGAAGAAACTTCTTTACCCAGAGAGTGGTGGGAATGTGGAACCTGCTACCACAAGGAGTAGTTGAAGTGATAGCATAGATGCATTTCAGGGAAAGCTAGATAAGTACATGACAGAAAGGAATAGAAGGTTATGCTGATAGGCTTAGCTGAGGAAGGGCAAGAGGAGGCTCCGGTGGAGCATAAACACCCCTGGATCAGTTGGGCCGAATGGCCTGTTTCTGTGCTGTATATTCCATGTAATTTGGACTCCTGAGTTGGTGAAGGGGTAAAATCAAAGTCATCAAAGCAACTATGAAACCAGAAAAAAAAGAAGAAAGAGGAGGGTAACCACTGTTGTCTGAGGTCAGGGAAAATAGGTATGAAAAAGATAAAGAAAGAAAGGCTAAAGGAAATAATAGTGTGTAATAAAAATACTGGACATGACTGCCTATGGGTTCAAAGTAAAATGGGAGAATTTGGATAATTGATGACTGCAGAGGCGTTCGATACGATTTCCTTAACAGAAACTTGACTGCAGTCAGAATATAACTGGAAACTCAATTTAAATCTTTGGGAGATAAAAAGGAGAGAAAGGTGATGGTTATGGCCCTGCTTATTTATAAAAGACTTGTATCACAGTGATGGAGAGCAGTGATATTGAAGATGAGAATACAAAGCCAGAGTCTCTTTGGATAGAAATAACGAAAGTATTCTTATAGGGTATCTATTAGAGACATCTGAATTGGGGTAAGGAAATTTCAGTAGAATGTATGAACAACTTAAGAAGACTTGCAGGAATAATAGGATCATAATATTGGGCAACTTTAATTATCCAAATATAGACTGGAAAAAGACAAACGCTTGTGATTTGACAGACTGTTGGGAGGTGAGGGCAGGCAGGTTCAAATGTAAGTGAATCAAAAAAAACAATACAGCTTGTATGGCTTGATAGACTCTTTGTACTGCAGCTGTTGTTTTGATGATCACAGTTTTTGTGCATAACCACTGAGAACCCCCATAATGTCACTTGATGCCCAATTATAATTGCTTCTTTTGATTCTATTATGCTCATTTTTGGACTGAAATCTTTTTGCATTTGTTTCACAGGTGAGAGACCATTCAAATGCCCCTTTGAAGGATGTGGCAGATCATTCACCACATCGAATATTCGTAAGGTGCACATTAGGACACACACAGGTGAACGCCCTTATTTCTGTACAGAGGCAGCCTGTGGACGTGCCTTTGCAAGTGCAACTAATTATAAAAACCACATGAGAATACACACAGGTACGTCGTTCATTATTGCTCCCTCACTCAGACCAAGATACTGCTGGTAATTTCCTGCAATGCATACTGTTGAAATCAAGTATAAGGGAATTTAGTTATCGTCCATGAGAATGCAAAACTAACTTAAAGATTTATATTTTTAAACTTGTAAGTTATAACCAAAATGTTCAGTTGTTTCTAATAAGTCAACAAAATATGCAGCAAGTCTGTCATTTTACATTTGCAGCTCAGTGGGAACAGGATTGTGTGTGAAGGTGTCGCTCAGATTTACTGCCCTTCAAAACAATCTGCCAGACAGACAAATTAATTTCATCAATTCCTTTTACTTCAAATGGGCTAAATTAGGCTGCATTTATGGCTCACATGTTTTAAGCTGTTCAGAATTCATTTGAAGGCGATTTGTTTTTAATTTAAAATTCAAGGTCTGATGTTTTGTTGCTGCTTTTTGTTGTATAATTGACATATTCCTTTTGTAATGTGCAGGAGAGAAACCTTATCTGTGCCCTGTACCTGGTTGTGACAAACGTTTCACTGAGTACTCCAGTTTATACAAACATCATGTGGTTCATACGCATTCCAAACCATATAACTGTAACCACTGTGGCAAAACATATAAACAGACTTCTACACTGGCAATGCATAAACGAACCGCACATGGGGACAGTGAGCCAACTGAAGAAGAGGAAGCATTCTTTGACTCACAAGATGGTAAGTATAGTTTTGATCGTCTTGCTGTAATCGCCATTCCCTCCTCAGCAATTCCGGACACTATATACCGAGTAACACAAGAGTACCAACATTTCTAGAATGTGAAGATTGTGCACAAATTTGTAAAATTTGTAATGTGCCTTAATTTGAAAGCGATGAGTGAGTTCCTGGCTGACGTTTTGCCGCTTCTCTAAGCCACTAACTCTAAGGCCGACTGCAGCCCCCAATTTCTGCAATGCCCCAATGGCCTAGCTGAGATTGGCTAACTTTGCACAGAATGGGTGTAAACTTGCTGCATCTGGCTTAGTGTATACCGGATATTGCTCTTACCCACTGGGTCACTGGGGAAATCATGCTTTTGATCTGGCTTAAGCGAAGAATTGCCTTCAGAATTGAGAATTTCTAATGTTTTATTTATCTCCTGATTGGTTTCAAGTTACTCCTGGGGATGAAGTCCTGAAGGCAGAACCAATTACTTATGTAACAGGTGTTGAAGAAGACGATGGGATGTCTGCACATGTTACTACTGTGACACAAGTAAATGTAGGCCAACATATGGCTCTTATTACACAAGATGGTACCCAACAGGTAAAAACAAGGTTTATTTTAAATATACATGAACTTAAATTAGCTTCTAAGTACTTTTGATTTCTATTGGTTAGTCTTTTAAGGCGTATGCCTTAATCCCGATATAATGACCCTTATTTCTCTCAGGTCAGTATATCTCAGGCAGATGTGCAAGCAATTGGCAACACCATCACTATGGTAACACAGGATGGCACTACCATCACTGTCCCTACACATGAGGCAGTGATTTCTGCACAAGAGACTCGCTCTGTTACTATGGTGACAGCGGATGGCTCCGATGGACAACAGGCAAGAAACCTTCCTTTTGGTATATAGCAATGAAATGAAAACTCCTTGCTGAACATTATATAATATTTATTTTGTAATGCGTTTCTCCTTTATCCAAAGCAAAATAAACGCAGTTTCCATGCATCGCTAGGGATTTCTCCTTATGCTGTTGTAAATCAGTTAGCCTCCAGGTGTATTTGAGAGTTATAGGGAACAACCCTTTCCCTCGCCTGTCATCCTTTCCATCCATCAGCTGATGCAGCTGCAGCTGACAAACTCCCTACAACAAAGCTAAAGAGGGAATATCAATTCAGGTCGTAATATGCAGGATAAAACTCTCGTGCATTGTGGCTGTATGCCATGTGTATTTTAATTTTTTTAAAAATTGCTTAGAAATGTGTTCCAATGGGGCCAAAACTGATAGTGGAACACCAAAGAAGTAATTATGTTGGCTAAAATTGCAAAAATTACACAGAGATCAACCTTGAGGCGTGGAGATGCTTTCATTCTCCTGCAAAGAGACTGTAGACAAAAAGAGGATAAGTTAGCCCATTGTGACAATAATAAACCTTGAAACTTATTTTATCTGCACCCTTTATATAGATCAAATATGTTTTACTCCCAAAAATGTAAATAGAACATAGATCCTGCTAAGAGAACATTCTGGAACATTAACCCTCAGATGTATCCTTCCTCATCTCCCTCTCTTCCATCATCCATTCCTCTGTCTCATCATCTTTTCCTTCCCATTCTCCTCAAAGTGAATCTTTTGCTGAGTTCCAAAAATGTTCTCAGTGTGATGAAAGCACAATCTGTTGTTTTGAGTTGCAACACACAACCATCAACCCACCTAGTTCAGTTACTGTAATAACTGAATATGCTAAATTCATTTGAGCTCCATACACATAAAACAACAAGTGTGTGTTTCCTGAGGCCACAGAGAAAGAGCCTTAGATCATTCGGATTGCAATTTTCATTACTGCATTTCACCGTATACTAGTTAAGCCAGAAATACATAGGAGTGTTTTGTGTTTTATTGTAACATTGTCAACAGTCATGTGGGGAACAGATTTGAAATGACCAGAACAAATGAATATGACAGATGTCTCTGGCAAGTCTTTTAATCTGTTTCTGGAATCTCTGTTGAAATGTAATCAACTATAATTGATTTAATTAACAGTTCTGTTCACTATAACTTACTAAGTGGGTCAGAATTGAATCCACAAATTAACTCAAATTAAATTAATTAAAATGTTTTACATAATAGTAACCAATTTGAATCTGAGTGCATGTGGTTTCTAAATTGCATCTGTTTTCCTGAAGGTTGCTATAGTGACTCCAGATTGTGTGATGAGAGGCGAGGCCACTATAGCTGCATTACAGGCAGCATCAACTGAAGTGGAAAAGATAGTGGCCCATGAGCATCATTTGGTGACTGGAACAGCGCGACCAGTTACATTACTAGCTACAGCAAACGGCACTCAGATTGCAGTGCAGGTGCGTTAACTACTTTATAATCAAATAAAGTACATCTAATTGCATGATTGACAAAGATTTTAAGCAGGTAATGTACAAACCCCAAATCGAGTTTTTTTAAAAGAAAAGAATTGAGTGCTCACCGTGACATACAATAATCGATGTGCTCAGAAAGTAATTTTGAATACAGGTAGGACACATTTATAATCGTGAAAAGCCAACAAACTATCACTGTTACCTGCTAAAGAGAAATTATCTTGGGAGATGGGAGTAATCCCTGTCATTCTGGGGTGCAGCTCACTATGGAGTTTCTAAAAGAACAGAAGAGACTGGCAGGCTTGCTTTATGCAACTGATGCCTAAAGATCAGCCCTGTAGGTGAAGCGCACCACTCGTGTCTTTGTTCACTTGCTGCTGCCCATCCTCCTTTGATGTTTTATCTTTAAAGCTAATGGTGATTGAATGATTTGTCTGTATTTTGTCCTTGGGAGAAAACCTAACTAAATATAGAACAGGTTATTAAACATCAATAAAGTTTGATATCTCTTATCTGTTTATTGCTTGCAATAAATCAAAGCACTTGTATCTGAATAACAGTACAGCTAATTTCCGTAGTGTATTTGTTGACATTGCATTCTAGTGTAAGGAAAACTACTGTATTTTAAATATGCAGTTAACTTCAATGAATTCTAATAGTTGTACATAATTTTTTTTAAAAATGTTTAGGTTTCCATTTTGTCCACAGAAGTTTTTAAGACACTTTCCTGCTAGTGGCTGTCCATTAATATTTCTATAGCCAATGTTTACATGTTTCCAAGGGATTTTTTGTACAGTATTCATAGAATGTAAGCAATTTTACTGTAATACCTCATTCCATTTTAAGATTTTCACGTACCTAATGCATCTTGATGCACATCGATAATTACACTGCTGCCAAATGCAAACTACATTTGTCATTGTGTGCTTTTAGATCACCACTGATATTAAATGTGGTTAGATTCAATTAATTTATGGCTAAAAATCATTGTTACAATTCGAAGAGTTCAGCAATGCTGTTTTGTTCAGACTTAAGCCTCATGACCTGCCAAATGTAAATTATTTTTTTCCTTTCAGCTTGGTGAACAGCAAACATTGGAGGAAGCGATCAGAATAGCATCCAGAATACAACATGGTGAAACCCCGGGGGTGGATGAACATCAATAAAGTAGCAATTGAAAGCAATAAAAAGGAGCTGAAGTTCTGCCTGTATAGCGTGCAGTCTGTATTCACAGGCAAATTCAGCCACAAATGGAGCTTTAAAATGACAACATTAAAGCTGCAATATATTACACTTAACATCATGAATTTCTTAGTTTTGTTTAGGGTACTAGTTGAAGATATGTTAATGAAACAAAAATGTGCCGTACCGCACAGAATACTCTGATTTGGGTAAGTATTCTTTTGTTTCTTTTAATAATCCTTGCAGTTCGATTGCATCCTATTCTTCCCATATAACCTGTAGTGTAACCATCATAATTTATTTCATGACTGCTCAGGAGCACCAGATGAACCGCAGAAAGATAGTACCTGTGCAAACCACAGCATTAGAGATGCATGCATAAGTGGAAAATATTACTATACTACTGATGTCTAGTTTAATGATGCTGATCCTGAAGTTGATTAATTTTACCAAATGCATATGTACATTTTCTTAATATGATTTTGCTAAAGCCTGTATAAATTGAATTGGATTTTTTTTTACTTTCCATGGTATGTTGCAGCTTTAGAGTATAAATCAATGCCGTACCTGTAGATTTTGTACAGTTTTGACTAGACAAATCAGGTTCTTGATATTATGGTACTTGAACTGTAGGCCCAAAAATGTTGAGTGCCTGAACTTGCATTTAAAAACTGCATGTATTCCAACAGCTGAGAAGTGAAATGTTTAAATGTTATAATCTAGTTCAATATTAAACGTTAAACATTGCTCTCTAGGATAGCCTAGCAGGTAAAGGAAGTACCCAGCCTAGCACACCGTCATACAGACCGGAAAGTCGCAGGTTCGAATTTTGGTCTGTGTTATCTAATCTGACAAGACAATTTTGGGTGCTATGATTGGTCTCACCAATGCAAGGGAGGGAGAGGAAGTTTTTCCTGCGTTCCCGTTCCTGAGCTCTCCAATAATTCCTGCTGTGAAATATGGTGCTTCGACTTTGTGTGAGGACGTGGATGTGGTGCCTTCCACAGTCTACTAGTAAGTGGTTTAACAATCTAAACACTCACTCTGTAGGCTGAACACACGAAGAATGGTTGTCCTTACCCCAGCAAGAGAATCAGCTTTGGGGGTTGAGGGGAATTGGTTTAAAAAAAAGTTTTACATATTTGGAACTACAGTTTTACAATTTTACAAAAGTTTATTTCGTACTATTAAAAGTTTGATCTTCTGCTCTTGGCTTGTGACCAACTACCTGTAAATACATACCACTAATGCTACAGTTGTAACCTATATTTTACCTTTTACATATGATCATGTAAAAGTTTCAAAGGAAGAGCTTTTGGTTGTGCAATATTAAAAGACCTACAATTGAATCTTATTCTGCTTTATTCAAAAATAACATACGTTTTTCTTTTGCTTTGTTATTTTGAATTAACTTCTGGAAGCAAAAAAATATTGCCTGAACGACTTCCTGAACTTATGACAAAGGTGTATCCTGTGCAGAGGCTTTAGAATCATACATGCTTACATGTAAGCAATAACTCCTGACAAGAGCGCACAAGGCAATAGACGCTCCTGTGTTGATTTACTGTATCTGAATCATTTTATTATGGCATAAGGAGCCAATGTTGTCCTGAAGACTACAAAAAATAATTGCTATTATGCTATATTTTAATAAAAACAAAAATCGTGAAATAAGTTTAAAATGTTTGTTTACATTATAATTTTTTATGTGGAGTAGCAGCTTATCTTTTTTTTGTCAGCTGGTGTTGCTAGGGGATATTTTTAAAGTGTATTAAAAGAAAATATTTTGAAATGATCCCTCTTGTTAAGTTTTTATTTGTTTGCAATAAAGACACCAGGGTTTCCTTTTTTCAAAGTTTTATTCTTTTGTTAGTGGTTCTAAATTTTGTGAATTTCAGCATTTGACTAAAACGCCTGAGGTAAGCAATTTCTCTTTCCTTCTTTATTGGACAAGGGGCCTAAAGTTTTTATAGAGGTGTGAAGAATCGGATCCAATTACAGGGCAGAGAATTTAAAACTCCTTACAGACATCAAAGGATGAAGAAACAAAAGGGAAAAGGTGTCACCTGAAACTCCCATCTTATAATAATAATAATCCTTGCATTTGATATAGCGCTTTTCACAACTTCTAAACATCCCAAAGCACTTCACAGAATATACTGTAAAGTGAACTACAGGACTCCACATCTTATTCAATAAGCAAACCATTCCCTGCTAACGGAAACCAGGGATTTACTCAATAAACATGTATATCAACATTGATTTATGTTTAAGGTAAGGTGGGTTTGTGACGCTCTGTCAAATATAGTGTCTGAACTCTCAGTGGGAGAGGAGATTTTGAACGGGTGTCTGAAGAAAAAGGGGCAACTCCCAAATATTTGTAAAAGAGCACTGGGTTTTAATATGCATTTACAGTGAAACTTACTGCACTTTATTTTAAAGACGCAACTTAGACATTTATATGTAAGCAATAACTCCTGACAAGATTATCTGTATAATTGCCTTTCACGTTCTGTGATTGTAAATAAAATGACTACGGAATAAAATAAGAGTGATATTCTCTGCATTTGTGGCTCTACAAAGGTTTTAAAATACAAAACTCAAGCCAACCATTGGGTTGTCTTCATATTGAATGGTGTGGCAGAGAGCAAGGCATTAGAAACGAACCTGACAGTTAACATTGGGTAAGAAGCTGTGAAACAAGTGTCCCAGGAGGGTCCAGAGTCTTGGATATCTGATTAGAAGGATAATAGATCTGTTTATTGGATCACTTAACTGCCCTTCAATGATCTGGATTACCACTAACAATAGATCATATCAAAATATAACTTTAATGTAATTTCGGTTGCCCTGCTGTCTTCATGACAGTCCATTAAGACAGACTGTATTATATATATATAATATATATATATAAAACCTGATGATGGAAGCGTTATGCCAAATCTTTCAATACTTTTTTTTACAAATCTAAATATTCTGTACTCACAAACTAACAAAGTTTAAAAAGATGCATGTACATGATTTGCACTTGATACAGTTCTAGTAAATGAGGGAATTGATGCACGTAAAAAGCTTGTAAAAAGTCGTTTTCAGGAAGAGTGTTCCTTTGAAGCGAACGATGTCAGGAGAGATTAATGAAACCACATTGTGTATTCGCTAAACAGCGCCAGGCAATGGTAAATTGATAAGATCTTGCTTTTGACACCCCAATCAATCCGTTTAATGTTTCCCAATCAAGCTGTTTGATGTATTTTGTGAGTAAATCAACAGTTTTCCGCCTTACCTATACAGTATACGTCCAAACTCAGCCACATAAACATTAAAACATCAAGGCGTTTTTTTAAAAAAAATAGAATTGTATGGCATGTGATTTACAACAACAAAATGTAATGTGTTGTTAATTGCGTATTTCATTTCTAAATGTATTAGCAATTCAATACTGCAGGCATCTAGGTATTCCCTTCAATATTTTGAGCAAATTATTTGAGCAAAACTACACGGTAACCGCATTAGGAGCCAGCTCAATGTTACAAAATAACAGCAGGATATTACAAAACTCAATATTTTTTAAAAAAACTCCAAAAAAACGCAACATACAGTCAATCCACTTTACAGTATATTCTGTGAAGCGCTTTGAGACGTCTCGGAGACGTGATAAGGCGCTATATCAAATGCAAGAATTATTATCCCAATATTGTAAAGTGCATGTCAAAACAATATCTTTTTTATTGTTACATATTGAAATAAGTTATTGCCAACACCCGATGATTCAGGACATGCTGTAAAATGATAATAACTTGGTTGAATTTGTCTGTTATCGTGTATGACATTTGTTTGAGCGGCGCTTCAAAGTAATGTGGCACATTGTACGACAAGGAAGGTCTATCCATCTATCTATCTATCAGGTCAATGCTTATTAAGTGTTGGCATATTGTCAGAGGTTGGCTTCACGAAACCGCGGGTCATCACTTGTACAATGCCTCGGTTTGTGATGTTATTTTTTTTGTGTGTGTTGCTGCAGGTTGTTCTCTGGCGGAGAATGAGCGAGTGAGTCAGTCAATTGTTTTGGGGAAATTAATTCTTGGAAAACTGTGATTGCCACTGAAAGCTGGTCCGCGGCGGTGAGCAGCACGAATAAACGTTTCGGCGGAACAAGTAATAACTAATTTGACTGGAGGCTGTAGTGTACACTGGGGAGAGGAGAAAAAAAAGCTTGGATCAGGTTTGCATTTTGATGAAATCTCTTTGGAAAGGGATGTGGGGGCAACAGCTTTAAACCTTAAAACCAAAATGCATCACCAAAATTTATAACTTTTTTTTAACAAACTGAAATGCAATTTTACTCCTTTTTTGCACATTTAAGGCAAATTTGCAATACGCACAGGGAAGTACTGGAAAGTAGCAGTCGGGGGTGGGGTGGGGAGGGTGGGGGGGGGGGGTGAACAGACACACCCAAAGGCAGGGAGAAGGGAATCGTGCAAGAAAGAGGTCGAAAGAGGACAAGTTGGGAGCGGGGGGGGAGGGGCCGAGTTTGGCGCGAAAATGACGTCACGGGGCTGGCGGCGCGGGCAGCTCGGGGCCCGGAGCGGATCATGTGACTGGTGGGTTTGAAAACCCAGCGGCCGTTGGTGATTGGCGCGGCTCTGGCGCGTGACTAACGGTCGCGGGAAAGGGGCTGCGCGCGCGGCGTGTTGTGTGTGTGCGTGCGCGAGCGAGAGAGAGAGAGAGAGAGACGGAGCGGTTCGAGACGAGACGACAACCAAACACGACCACCACACGCCCCGGACCCCACCTCCTCACCTCCCTCCCCGGAGACGCGGACTCACCTGAAGCGGACGGACCCCCCCACACAGACACACACACACACCTCCTCTTTTTTTTGAGGGGGGTGGGGAGAGTGTGTTTTGCTCAACACGGCGATCGGTGTCAAAAGAGTGGCGGAAATCCTGTGAGTAAACGCAGGAGGAGGAGGAGGAGGAGGAGAGCGACAGGAGGAGTGGCGGCGGCGGCGGTGGAAGAAGAAGGAGGCGTTGACTCCTTTCGCGGCCCCGTCCCCCAAATTTGCGGCGCTTTTTTTTTCTCTCTCTCCCCCCCCGTCCCTCCCCCCCACCACCACCACCCACTCCTTCCCTCATCTCCCGTCTCGTCTTTTATTTACTTACTCCAGTGACGGGTTAATGAGCCGATTGCGTGGCGTGCGGTTCACTCACTCGCTCACGCTGTTGACTTTGTTTTGACTCTCTCTCCCTCCCGCCCCCGTGTTCACCGCGAACTGCACCGTACATTTATTTCCACGGACTCTCGTGGAACTCCCTCCCGCCCCCTTTTTTTTTCTCTCTCTCTCTCTCTCTCTCCCTCACTCCCCTCCCTCTTTTCCCCATGAGTTTTCGGCAGCTGTGTCCCACCCCCCGGCCGGGCCTGGGCCCGGGACCGGGCCGGGGCCGGGGCCAGTCACCGGTCCACCAGAAACTGTCCTTCACGGGCAGCGACGAGGAGGACGGCGACAGCACGGAGGAGGACTCGGCCTTTCAGGAGTCGCCGGACGCCGAGCGCAAGTACGGCGACCCCCCGGAGCTCGGTGGGCTGGTGGTGGTGGAGGAGGGCGAAGAGGAGTTGATGGGTAACCTCAGTTGGGAGGAAGGCTTCGGGGGCAGCCCGTCTCCCGTGAAGCCCCGTCGGGACTATCGTGACCGCCGCGACCTGGACGAGTCCAGCTCCCCGATGCGGGGGAGTGGGGAGCGCGAGGAATCCAGTTCCCCGACTCGGGAGAGCGGGGACCGCGAGGAGTTGAGTTCCCCGATGCGGGATCGGTACAAGGGAAACGGCATCGGGGAAGGTTCCAGCTCCCCGATCCCCGACCGTCCGGATACACCACCGCACAAAACCCTGAGGAAACTGCGGCTCTTCGATACCCCGCACACTCCCAAGGTAAGGGGGGGACTGCGGATAAACCACTTGTTGCATGGAAATACATCTACAAAAGCGAGCGGCCAATACCGGAATTACGAAATATAGACAAAACAGAATGCAACTTATATATATGCCCTTTCGTTCCTGAACATCTTTTGTTTTTAATTGTGAAAAGTTTGCCTTCGGTACAAACACCGTATGACTCGAGGGTTCAGGAATGTATAGGGGGTTTAAATTACATCTTTACTCAAGTTGCATGTAATGCTACTTGAGAGATGTTTTGCAGATTATGTGTGACTGAAGTGGTAATGGATGTTTTGGTGCTCCCGCTGGGCTACTGAGCGAGGATTGGACGTTCCCCCCCATGATGGTGTCAGTTTTTTAATCAAGTAATTGTGTTTTGTGTTCAGGATCTTCTGCAATAGCCAAGAATGTGGAGCAAAAGTTTTATTAGAGCTTCTATTTTTATGGAGCTTTGTCTCCATCTGTCAAAAGTGCTTTACAATAGCTGCCAAGTGTAGTGACTGTTTTTGTATAGAATATGTGAGCTGTTTTGCACACAACTTCATGTAGGGTGATGTCTCGGTTCCATAAGCATCCATGAGATGAACGAGCAATTTATCTGGACAATTTTGTCCAGGTCATTTGGAGAGAGGCCCTTGGGAGAGAATCATACCATGGGCTATTTAATGTCCAGCTGAAGGACTGCAGTTTGCCCTGTCTCTAACACTGTAGTGTACCACAATTTCTTTCTGCCTCTCATAGGACGGGGGTTTCAACCTACAATCTTCTGACCTCTGAAATGAATGCTACCAACAAAACCAAGCTGACAGTCACAAGTCTTTCTAGTGTTCAAAGTCACTGGGAATCATTTATCTTGTGGTGGACGTAGAGAAAGAAAATCATCATTTTGATTTAAACCGCTGAACTGCTTTAATACCATGTATAACTTATAGCCAGGTATACCAAGGATAACTTGGTATTGCTGTGTTGTCTTACTTGTGTTGAAAGGTGAAATCCAAGCATCACTGGGGATCACTATGCTTTCAATTTACTGTGCTAGAATTGGACATGCCATTTCCTACATAATGGACTTTTGTTAATGAAGATGTTTTTCTTGGACAATGGGGCATTTGATGACTAGTTGACGATTTTGCCTCCTACTTTGCTGGGGAGAGCCATAGTTTCAGGGTGGTTGAAACGGTGTATGACCAAAAGATCAACATTTCACTGATGTCTCCACTGAAGATTGGGAATTTCTGAAAATCCATATCAGCCCACAAAATATACAGTCATTTCACTTCACAGTATATGCTGTGAAGCACTTTGAGATGTCTCGAAGATGTGATAAGGTACTATATCAAATAGTACATCAATGGTTAGAGCACTCGCTTTGCAAGTGAGAGATCTGAGTTCCATTCCAGGCAGAGGGCGAAACCTTGGGCAAGTTTCCTTACTCCACACATCTAATAATACCTCCAAAAAAAAAACAATAATAAATTGGTCATTTTCAATCCACGACTGTTTGTGGGACATTGCTGTGCGCAATTGGCTGCCGCGTTCTCCCACAAATATAGTCAATTCACTTTACAGTATATTCTGTGAAGCGCTTTGGGACGTCTAGAAGACGTGAAAAGCGCTATATCAAATGCAAGTATTATAAATAGAAGGATTTTTTTGTATTTGTTAGCTGGTCTTAAGCAGATTGAGAGTCTTCAATGGGATGTATGGTCATGCACCTTCCCCTGCTTGGCCTCCATCACTAAAGCCTCAGACGTTGTTGCATAGTTGGTTTCTATAGTTAATCTCCACGTCCCTGATCCAGGGGGGATTCTGAGAGCATTTTTTTTTGTAATTATGTGCCTATAGGTAACTAAACAGCAATTTAATTTTAGACCTGATAACAGTTGATTCCACACAGGTTTAGAGTTTCTCACGGAATACACAACTGCTGTGTTGATTGCGTATTCTAAGGGAATGTTTCTTTTGACAGCAGAATAACTTAACAAACTGATCATCTGACTCAGTTTGGAGTGAGATCATATACAACAATGGTATTCTTTGGGGGAGGGGGAAGAGGAGTAACTGGTTGAAACTGGAATGACGGGTTTGCCGTGGTGATCCACAGGGGCGTCATCCGTACACTTTCTCGTTGCACCGCACAAAGAGGGTGAACCAGCCGTGTTATGTAATTGAATCTGCCCTTAAAATAGTTTATCTTCGTGAAATAACACGGTGTTCGTTGCCTTTTAATTGATCTCGACGCTTTCCCCCCCGGATACGCTCTGAATGGAGATGCCTTTCTGGGAATGCCGCCCATGTGCGGAGCGGTGCGGAGCCTCTGCTTTGTGCTTCCGCTATAGCGGCCTCTGTTCCACGTGTACACACACGTGACTTCGCTTCCTCCCGCACCACGTAACCGGAGAGGGTTTCGCCGATTTTATTCCTGTGGTTTCCCGCTGTATAAAGCTGTACCATTCGGTCATGTAATGCAGAAGAAGATTGTTTTGCGAATTCTTTTTTGATTCTGATTTTTTTTGTAAAATATGGATCTTTCAAAACTTTTATTTTTAACGTTAACCTCTAAATGCCCTTATAAGGAGTTGGAAGGTTCCGTGCAGGGATTTTGGGGGGAGGAGAGAACTTCTTTTTCCAAAAAAAAATCCGACTACGTTTGCTGACTCATTAGCTTTTCTTCCAGACACTTGTTGAACACTTATAGTGAGTAATGTTTGCATAGAACATGCCCTCACCTCCAGTTTGACTCATGGACGTTTAAGTGGTGTTGATGTACAAGTTGGAAGTTGTGAAACTGTTTTAATCGTTTTATGGAGAATTTTTAATAGCTGCAGTTGTTAGAAATCCAGTACTTTGAACTTTAAAACCAGAATGCTGCAGTAGTTTGTTGTTACAACAACAAAATTACATTTGTATAGCACCTTTCACATCGTCCCAAAGCATTTTGCAGATATACTATAAAGTGCATTGACTGTTGTAGTTGAAACTGATTATGCTAACTACATATTTGTGTCTATTGTAGCTCAAATCAAAATTGAGATTTTTTAAAAAACTTTTTTTTCACAGAGTTTGTTGTCGAAGGCAAGGGTCCCCAGTTGCTTGAGCTCCAGCTCAGTAAGACGTCGAGGAGGGGCTCTCTTCAGGAATGGTGAACAGACAGAGAGATTACCATGTGATTATAGCCGGAATAGGACTCCACATGTCAATGTTAATCCCTTTACCCCAGACTCTATCTACATCCATTCATCATCTGTACAGTGTCGGAGGAGGAAAAGGACACATCGAGATGGGTACGGTTTCAGATGGTTTCCTCCTGATAGTCCATTAAGTTAAAATGAATGAAGCTCTGTCAAACTTGATTGTTGAAAAATTAGATTTGTAGGTAAATGGGAACTGTTGATTTCATGTACATCATAAGAATTTTTGTCTCATTATTACTCTTCTGTGTAGGTTCCTTGTGTTTTGTAAGTGGTAAAGGAATACTGAGTTAAGTTAAAATCTTCAGTAAATGAATATTCATTCAGTATATGAATGAAGCTCCCAAGTTGTCACAAACCAAATACTCTATATCTATTTCATAACTCCCGAGATATTTTATTTGTCATTGCCAGCTATGGATAGCTATAAATCAAAATGAAATTACCACTATTGGAAAAACTATATTTATCTTGTCTTGACAGTTCTTCAAGCCTTCATTCCTATCTAATATTAGTTTGTTTAGGTACAAAGTACTTTCTGTTTATTTATATGAATTGTACCTGATAGGTTTCCATGCAGAGAAATGATGGACGGAAGTGATGGAGAGCTGGATGATGAAAGTATTCGACCAGCAAAGGTAACTTTTTAGTTTTAGCATGCTATTGGTTATATTTGTTGAAGGATGATCTTTGTTTAATCTCATTTGTGTTTTGTTCTCATTCCATACACTTTTGTTTTGTATATAGAGAATCCCAATTACTGAAAGTAATATGAAGTCCCGGTACACAACAGAATTCCATGAATTGGAGAAGATTGGTTCTGGAGAGTTTGGTTCTGTTTTTAAGTGTGTGAAAAGATTGGACGGCTGCATTTATGCGATAAAGCGCTCAAAGAAACCGTTAGCAGGTTCAGTTGATGAGTAAGTACGTTTGATTATTCTTATGATTAAATATATTGTTTTAAGTGCCCAAATTTGTGTTGCAGAATCTGAGAATGTAACTGTATTCCCAGGGACAGCTAGCTGGACTATAAAGGCATTTTGTTGATTTTATTTCATAAAATTTATTTCTTGAGAATCTAATGGACAGTGGCAATAAAGCATACAGACCTCAGTGTTGCAGGTTTAAATCCTGGCCTCTCTATTGAATTAATAGATCTCTTCTGGGGTAGAAATTATGTTGGAATGTCACGCTCAAAGGGGTGAGAAAGAATCTTATTTGATATGTTGTTATTCTTCAAAAATTAACTGCTCTTTCCCCACACCCCCTGTAGTTGAATCCTTCTAAGATATCAATCTAGTTTCCTCTTGAAGGCCAACTGGTATTCCTGGAAGGGCATTCCATATTTAACTACTGTGTGTGAAAAAAAATTCTCCTAACATTCTCAATTGATGCCCTCGGATCACAGTCCAGAGAAAATACCTTATCCAGTGGCGCCTGCACATGTAGCACATTTCTGTAAAGATTTGTGTAAAATATTTGCTCAACCCTAATGTGTTTAATTTTTTTATATTAGACAGAATGCTCTAAGGGAAGTGTATGCACACGCAGTACTAGGGCAGCATACGCACGTGGTTCGGTATTATTCAGCCTGGGCAGAAGACGACCATATGCTCATCCAAAACGAATATTGTAATGGTAAGTCTCTCCTCTTCAAAATATTGTACAAGTGACTTCTAATAAATGAAGTATTTAAATGAAACTTGCTGTGATACTACTGTGAAACTAAAATATTGATTGCTCATTAACATGTTTGTAGTAAGACTTAATAATCCTTACATTTGATATAGCGCTTTTCACGTCTTCTAGACATCTCAAAGCGCTTCACTGAATATACTGTAGAGTGAATTGATCGTATATGTGTGGGCGAAACGACTTGTAGTTAGATCTGATGCTTTAATGACCATACTGTTCTAATATTGTAATTTTCTCCTTTTTCTGGAAGGTGGAAGCTTATCTGATGCAGTTTCAGACAACTACAGGAATAGGCACTATTTAAATGAGCCAGAGCTAAAGGATTTACTATTACAGGTTGCCCGTGGTCTAAAATATATACACTCTATGTCACTTGTACACATGGATATAAAGCCTAGTAAGTATTAAATAGTCATATTATAATTAGTATTTAATAGTTGCATTGATCTCCTGCAATCATTTGAGGAACTTAATTTATGGCAGTTTCAACACTTGGCACAAGGATGAGTTTGGTTAAATAGTCCCAGAAATGTAAACTTTTAATTTTGTTCCTTTCTGTTCAATTCTTTTAAGCAGTCAATGCTTCTGTTGCCTCCTTTTGGATATAACAGATTGTTTGTGGTGGTCTTGATCGCCTGCATAAGACTCATGAACAAAATTGTTGCTCAAAGTTGATTGGTTTTAAGATATTGTGAGAATCTAGTTTCTGAGTTAATTAGCTTGTTGTGAAAGGTATAATCATTGACGGTGTCCTTCATTTCTGAGTTCTCTAAAGAGAATTACTATTGAGAGAAATAACCAAATGATGCTATTCTATCTAGTAAATCCTGGAATAATTTCACAAACTCTTATGTTTAACTCTCTTTTCAGGTAACATATTTATATCCAAAAAGTTAGTCACTAATTCAACAGCAGATGAGGGAGATGATGATGACTGTATATTGTCAACAAATATCATATATAAAATAGGTAAGCGGCATTGCTTCATAATTCATAATTCTTTTGCATTAATCTTTTAATGCCATGAATAACTTTCTTTTTCTGTAATATGTAGGTGACCTTGGACATGTTACTCGTGTATCGAATCCTCATGTAGAGGAAGGAGATAGTCGTTTCTTAGCCAACGAAGTATTACAAGAGGTACTGTCTTTAATTGTGGTTGATTTTGGGCACTTACATTTACTGGATTTAAACTGAAGGATGGCAAATCCAATTCTCGTCGACTGAAAGTGACTTTTATTGAGTTTCAGTAAATTTGCTGGTAAAGTTGGTGCTGAATCTTAGCTAAGCATTGATTTAAAAACAAATTCATACAAATTCATAGCAAAGAAAACTGAATGTAGTGGACGTCTAATTTGTTAATTCATTAAAGAGTGATGCCGTGTAAGGTACAAAAATATCCTCGTCTTAAGATTTGAGATCTTAGTGTACATAACTTACACAAATCAACAATTAGAATCAAAATACAGCCAATTAAGAGACATTAATTGATTTGCCAAGTTATCTATTGCATAACGTGGTTAATATTCATGGTTGTGAATTTGTGTTAGTAACTCACATATGTATACAACACCTATAAAACTACTGATTTCACTTGTTTAAATATTGCCTCTTAAATATTGTTTAATGGGAGGGTAAAAAAGCAGCCCTTTGGATCAGGGATTCTCATGGATTACTATCCATTGACACTTGCTGGCAAGTGGGTACAGATATTTCTGGATTTCAAGAATCAGCTCAGCCTCCCGTAGTTGTGCTTGCTAATGCTTTCTGTCTTCTCTATCTCATATGAATGGCCATTTTTAAAAAATTATGAGAGGGCTTCTATTAATGGAACTACCCTAGACAATTTGGCAGTGGGAAAATCCTGCATGTCTTCAGCAACTACATCAGTGATTGAATTAGCAGTTTAAGAGCCTTTTTTCTTTATTTGCACAAATGTCTGAACTCTTCCATTTCCTTTCTGCCAGTTATTTTTCTCCATACATATATTTTGGTATTCTTTGTTTCAGGATTACAGATACTTGCAAAAAGCAGACATTTTTGCTCTTGCACTAACTATTATATCTGCCAGTGGTGCTGAGCCATTGCCAACGAACGGTGATAAATGGCACGAGATTCGACGAGGAAAACTTCCCACAATTCCACAAACACTGTCGCAGGAATTTTTGGATTTATTGAAAGTAAGATTTCCATAATTATCTAATTTTCTGCAGGGGGTGGGGTTGCAGATGATCATGCACATCACAGTAAAATCCCATGAAGTCTCAATGACATGGTATTGTGCTACCATATTCAATGCCATATATTGAATTGCAAGGATTATTATTTTAATTTTCAGTTACATATATGATATTTGTCTCACCTGGGAATGCTGGATGAATGGGCTAATAAAATCAGTAAGAATTCCTTTGATCTTATTCAGGAACCTTGCACTGAATTCAAAATCATGCTGTCTGTGGTTAAGTAACTTGATGGCCCTTGCAGTCCAGGCTCACCCTTGGATGGGGCACTGTGAGGTGCAAAACTATATGACTGCAGTCATTAAAAGGAGAAAATTAAGTGTAATAGTACATTTGTGAAGAAATGTGTTCTGAACATTTGTTTTATTTCAGTTAATGCTGCATCCAGATTCAGAGAAGCGTCCCACTGCAGGTGCCCTAATCAGACATTCAGTGCTACTTCCAACTGCAAGAAAGAATGCAGAGCAACTTCGGTTGGAGTTGAATGCTGAGAAATTCAAAAATGCACTTTTGCAAAAGTAAGGTTTTTCTTTTCTTGCATTACAGGTTGTAATCTTATTCACCTGACTTCTTTGTGGCTCTTGAAGTTTTGATATATGAATAAGCTCTGAAATTGACTTATTTTATTTTTTCAGAGAGCTAAAGAAGGCACAAATGGCAAAAGCAGCTGCAGAAGAGAGAGTATTGTTCACAGCCCGAATGGCAACCAGGTCTACAACACAAAGCAACCGAAGTACACGGATCATTGGAAAGAAAATCAACCGATCAGTCAGCCTTACGATATATTGAAATTCTAGAATTAACTCATCCTCTTTAAGTGCAAGATGTCCTCTGTTAAATTGAACACCCAACCATAGAATCTACTGAATGTTTTGTGAAATATTGGGTTAGACTGAAGCACGACTATTGCTTCTCTGGTCTCATTTTACTTTTGACTTTAGAGTGCCTTATAAATAAAGACAGATTAACATTGGGAGCATTTTTATTGAGCGGCAGTTGTGCACCATAAATTGTAAAGTACCTGATTATAGGTTTACACTTGTATTTTGTACATCTCGAGGATGTACTTGAACTATGTTGATGTACATTATACTGGGAGCACTTTGTAGGCATTGGAGAAACCATAGCAATGTGCTATGGATATAATTGCTGCTATTTTAGACCATGTTGTACACTTGCTGTAAATTTCAGTTAGCATTATAAACAATCATTGCTTTATTAGGAAAGGCATTTTTGAGTACTTTTAATTGTGATTAAAAGAAAATAACAGTCGTTCACTGTTTACTGCTTATGGTTGAAGCAGTTATTTTGCATTAAGCTAGTGCATTGTCGGAAAGCATTGCACCTTTTTGTGTTCATGAAGCGTTACCATATTCTGTACTTTTTTTAAATGTCTGAATCGTGGTGGTCTGTCACTCGTGATTGTTGTCCAATAAATTGGGGTATGTTTGTAAACACTTACAGCAGCAATCTTTGTATATTTGGGAAAATAGTATAAGAACTCAGTATTGTGAAAGTTTGTGGCTTCAGCTCGCACACAAGCTCCATTTGGTCCTATTAAAAAAGGATGAAATTAATAATGTTTTTTAATAATTAAAAGGATAACCAGAACATTAAGCTTTTTAAGTATAGAATAACATTTTCCTAAATTAGTTTACTGCGTCTGCTTTATGTCTAAAATGAGCTCTCATCAACTTTATTTTGTACACTTGTTTCTGGAAGAACATGAAGGAAAATACTTCATAAGCTAAATCACGAAGTTTTTTTAAAAAAAAGTGAGTTAACTATCATCTGAGGCTTGGCAAATTGGTAAAAGTTGACATTGATGTGGAATACAATAATGCTTACATTTAGTGGAGCTACGGGAGGAAGTCTCAAAGCACTTCACAGGATATACTGTAAGATGGAGTGATGTTGTTTTGTGGGCAAAAATAGCAGTGAATTTGCACACACCAATGTTACACAAACCGTCATGGAGCGAGTGACTTGGAGTGGCTTGTTGGCCAGGTCACTGAGGGAAACTCCCGTCGCTTGAACAGTTTTATGGGCTCTTTAACATCCACTTGGACAAGCCGACAGGACTGCTGTTTAATATTTTATCTGAAGCATGGCACCTAACATTGCAGTGCATCCTCCCCGCTGTATTCAGTCAGCCTAGCATGTGAGGACCAAGTCCCAATGTGGGGCTTCAACCCACAACCTTCTGATTTGGAGGTGAGTGCTGCTGCTAATCGTGCTTTAGTCATAGCAAGGGTTCTGTAAGGGACATAAGGTCAGTGCAATTTGTTTAAGGCTCACAATGTCCCCAGGAAATCAGAATTATACAGGACAGAAAAAGGCCATTCGGCCCAATGTGTCTGTGCCAGCTCTGAAGAGAGCTATGCAAATCAATCACACTTCCCCCTGCTCTTGTCCTCCCCAAATAATTGTCTAGGAAAGTTGTGGGGTCTTGCTTTGTTCTGCTAAATTAAATCTACACTTTTTTTTAAACCCATTTGTCATTTTAAAAATCCATTTGAAATTTGTCATACAACCTTGCTGTTCTGTGTTTAGTATTCTAAATACATCAAGAATATTTAGCACTCCAGCCAGTGAGTGCTTTGTTCAATATGACAAACATAAAGTAGCTATTACTAAGTTAACTCAGGTTTGCAGAACATTACAATTAAGGATCGTTAGTATTTTTGCATCAATCAATATATGCTTTTTTTTGAATTTTATCCTCAGAAAACTTCCCAGTGGCGTGCGTGTGCGAGGCTGCTAAGCTTCCGATTTAAAGTGTTAGTATCTGCACGCAATTGCGTAACTTTTGCTGGAGCTTAAAAGTAAGCCTTTAATACTTTTGTAATAAATAGAGATCGCATTTAAAAAGTTGGAAGAGCCAAAAAATTAGTCTGAGCGAGTGAGCAGGGCTAGTTCAGAGCTGAAAGGGTGCCACTACTGGGAAGCTCAACACTTGCGGGGAATCACGAGCACTGTTACCAATAATATGTCTGGACATTCAACTTTTTTGTTTGCTATTTTTGGAATTCATCTATTTATGAACCTTTTTTTCTAGATACGGTTTGGAAGACCTGTTTATCATAAGATGAATGATAGAGTGAGTCCAAGACGGTGGTTGACTAAAGTGCTGAATTCATGTTCCTATTCAAAAAAAAACTAACACCTGAAAACAGTCTAGTCAAGGACCATGGGTAGCTTTCTCTAGGGAAGAGTGAGATTTTTATATTTATTGCAGTTTACTGAAAAGAGGATATTGTGTTCACTAGGCTGGCCACAATATTTTCCTGTTCTGTATTTTGGACTGTGGTCCCTCCCACCCCATCCATATTTGGGACATTTGCTCACTATTATTATCATTTGATTGTTATTTGCTGCATGTTAAGACGCAACGACCCGTTTTTTTAAACACCCATTTTCTGTTCAGTCCCCAAATGCAATTATTATTATTAAAAGCGAAACTTTTAAGATGAGTCAGCGGCCCAAACAAAAAATGTTGGTAATTTCAGGAACACTTCCCTTGTGCCATTCATGGGTTATTCATAGCTTTTATTATGACCGTGCCTTCGTTCATCCCTGCACTTCCATCCCTTGCCTTCCACTCTGCTTGACTCCAACCCCCAGCCAAGGTGCAAATACTTGACTGTCCAGTGCCTTGGGACGTCCTTTCGATGCGAAAGGAAGCTTTATAAATGCAATTCTTTATTTAAGTACCGGAGTACAATCTTTTCACATCTCTCCAGCTTGCCATCTTTTCCTGTCCTGCGCTGCAGCACAGGCTTCCCCTTACAGTTTTGTAAAAAAAAAAGATGTTTTTCATACCGATCGCAGTCACGGAAAAACATTTCGAGAACTCGAAACATATCGATGTGCAAATCAACACCAAACGCTCACATATATCGAAAGATTATTTAAGAGTATATCGGGTAATATATTGTAAGTTTTATTAAACGACCTAATTATGACTGGAGGCAAACAAAAAAAAATCTCAGCAGCCATCAACTTGCTGAATAATGCAGCCAATCAATTTCTGGAAATGGTAAACTAACTCCACACCAACAAGTGGTCCTTTCCAATGTTTCTTAAATGAAGATTCAGCGCCATCTGCAGTTGCACATAAAACAACCATGTGGGGGCAGGTCAGCACTTTATTTTGTCCCCCTCCCTGTGCTGTATTAACAACTGGGTAGTTGGTTAGTATTATAATAATAATAATAATAATCCTTGCATTTGATATAGCGCTTTTCACGTCGGGAGGACGTCCCAAAGCGCTTCACAGAACACACTGTAAAGTGAATTGACTGTATATTAGTGGGCGAACGCGGCAGCCAATTGCGCACAGCAATGTCCCACAAACAGTCGTAGATTGAAAATGACCAATTTATTATTGTTTTTGGTTTTGGAGGGATTATTATTAGGCTCTGTGTGGAGTAAGGAAACTTGCCCAAGGTTTCAGGGAGGGGGGGGGAAACCCTTTCAGTCATACACACGTAAGGCAGTTCTCTGCTCTACTGACTTGACTTTCACGAATCACTCGCGATATTGTAGGAAAAAATCGCAAATCTGAATTTGGAGGGTCGTTTAGCTTTTGCCGGATTACGCTGCGTATTCGTTAATCAGTGGACAATTTTATCCATCAGGACCCATGAGAAAAAGTAGCGACCTCCATACCTATCTCGTTTCATTCTGTTTGGGGGGGAGGGGTTCAAACGCGTAAAATGTTAGGGAGCTATCGACAGATTATAAACTAATTAATGATGATGATGGGGATTATTAATAATCCAGCGCAAAAAAATAGAAGCGCATGTCAGTCACTCTGCTTTCCGCTCCAGACCGATGGCGTTTGTGTGGTTCAAGGGATTGATAGGAAACGTACAGTGAGAACCTGTGCGGTGTCTGTATAAGTGTCTGGGTGTCTGTGTGAGTGTCTAGGTGCGTGTCTGGGTGTCTATGCGTGTCTGGGTGAGCGTGTGATTGTCTGGGTGTCTGTGTGAGTGTCTGGGTGTGTGTCTGGATGTCTGTGCGAGTGTCTGGGTGTCTGTGTGAGTGTCTGTGCGAGTGTCTGGGTGTCTGTGCGAGTATCTGGGTGTCTGTCTGTCTGTGTGAGTGTCTGGGTGGGTGTCTGTCTGGGTGTCTGTGCGAGTGTCTGGGTGTCTGGGTGGGTGTCTGTGTGAGTGTCTGTGTCTGTGTGAGTGTCTGTGTGGGTGTCTGTGTAGGTGTCTGGGTGAGTGTCTGGGTGAGTGTCTATGTCTGTGTGGGTGTCTGTGTGGGTGTCTGGGTGAGTGTCTGGGTGAGTGTCTATGTCTGTGTGGGTGTCTGTGTGGGTGTCTGGGTGAGTGTCTGGGTGAGTGTCTATGTCTGTGTGGGTGTCTGTGTGGGTGTCTGGGTGAGTGTCTATGTCTGTGTGGGTGTCTGTGTGGGTGTCTGTGTGGGTGTCTGGGTGAGTGTGGGTGTCTGTGTGGGTGTCTGTGCGCGGGGATCACTGCTGAGGGCGGAGTCGGTCATTCCATTCCCGAGAAGCTGAGGCTGTCGCTGACGCGCGGAAGAGGCGGGTTTTGGGGCTGAGAAAGGTCGGGTTTTTTTCCTCTTTTTTTTTTGTTTTGTTTTCAACGCTCAGACACAGAGACCCACAGACACAGAGACACGTACCCGCGAGCGAGAGCGCGGAGACGGAGAGGCGCCTCTCCCCACACCATGGGGCTGAGAGAGGAGCTGCTGAAGGCTATCTGGCACGCCTTCTCCGCCCTGGACGTCGATAAATGTGGCAAAGTGTCCAAGTCTCAGCTGAAGGTGCGTTCGTTACTGCGTCCGTCCGTCTGTCTCTGTCTGTCTGTCTGTTTCTGTCTGTCTGTCTCTGTCTGTCTGTCTGTCTGTCTGTCTCTGTCTCTCTGTCTGTCTGTCTCTCTCTCTCTGCTGTTGCGGGTTTACTGTGATTGCGGTTATGCGGTACTGGTCTCTCCTGCACCCACCACCACCCCCTCCATCCCACACTCCACACTCCCCCCTCCATCCCACACTCCCCCTCCATCCCACACTCCACACACTCCCCCTCCATCCCACACTCCCCCTCCATCCCACACTCCACACCCCCCCCTCCATCCCACACCCCCCCCTCCATCCCACACCCCCCCTCCATCCCACACTCCCCCCTCCATCCCACACCCCACACTCCCCCCTCCATCCCACACCCCACACTCCCCCTCCATCCCACACTCCCCCCTCCATCCCACACTCCCCCCTCCATCCCACACTCCCCCCTCCATCCCACACTCCCCCTCCATCCCACACTCCCCCCTCCATCCCACACTCCACACTCCCCCCTCCATCCCACACTCCCCCCTCCATCCCACACTCCCCCCTCCATCCCACACTCCCCCCACCCCACCCCACACACAGTGAACCCTCGCGATCGGGTACCAAAAACACCCCCCACCCAAAAAAAAATGTTGTACCTAACCAGCCAAGCCTGTGTGTGTGTGTCTGTGTCTCTGTGTGTGTGTGTGTCTGTGTGTGTGTCTGTGTGTGTCTGTGTCTGTATGTCTGTGTCTGTCTGTATGTCTGTGTCTGTGTGTGTGTGTCTGTGTGTGTCTGTCTGTCTGTATGTCTGTGTCTCTGTGTGTGTGTCTGTCTGTATGTCTGTGTGTGTGTGTGTGTGAGTGAGACTTCGTTTGATTACGAATCGCCAAGTTATTCCCTTTCGCAACAAACCCAATCTCCTGCCCTTCTCCGCCCGGTTTCCAAACTCATGGGATTGGGAACTTGGTCGAAAAAGCCCGAGGGTCTGAAACCAAGAGTCGAAAAAAACTTATGAGTTTTCTCTTGGAAACCATTGCCCCCCAAAAAATACCCCCACACCCCCCACCCCCCACCCCCCACGAACTTGTTTTTGTTGTTGTTTGGGGTCGAACTTGGAACCTAATCTTCTGCGTAAAATCTGCTCACGATGTGGAGACTTATTTATTCTCTCCCGAGTTTAAGTGACTTTGGTTCCTGCTGATCGATTAGTTTGCGGCAGTTTAGTGGCTTGTTATTACTAATAGGTTTGGCTTTTATTCCTTTTTTTGTGTGTGGGGGTTTTTACTGTATTTTTGCACCATGTTGTGGCAATGGGGTGGGGGGGGGGGGGGGAACACGATGCCTTAACTTAAGTTGTGTGGACATAATAATAATAATAATCCTTGCATTTGATATAGCGCGTTTCACGTCGGGAGGACGTCCCAAAGCGCTTCACAGAACACACTGTAAAGTGAATTGACTGTATGTTTGTGGGCGAACGCGGCAGCCGATTGCGCACAGCAATGTCCCACAAGCAGTCGTAGATTGAAAATGAGCAATTTATTATTGTTTTTGGTTTTGGAGGGATTATTATTAGGCTCTGTGTGGAGTAAGGAAACTTGCCCAAGGTTTCGCCCTCTGCCGGGAATTGAACTCAGGTCTCTCTCGCTTGCAAAGCGAGTGCTCTAACCACTGAGCTACAGGACTCCACAGGACTTGAGTTGTGTTCAGGCGTTTTTATTTTGTGCCATTTGAACTGCTGATGTTTGAAAGGCTCCACATTTAGCAGAGAATCTGAAATTCAAAGCAGAATTAAGGGTGGAAAATTGGAATTTGGGTCAATTTGCGTTTGAAACGACGACGACGACTTGCATTTATGTCATGTCCTTCAGCATCTCGGGCCACTTAAACAGAAGCAGGTTAGAGTTTGACCGTTTGGCTCTTTGCTTGACCTCATGCGCATTTCCATTTAATTTCTACTCAATTTTTCGTCTTGTTTACCATACAATATAAGTTGACACCGTGCCTTTCACAGCAGGAAGAACTTCTCCATTACACAGACGGTGGCTTGTCACCACAGTTCGAAAACACTTTCACTCAGCTTTTAATCAGTGAAACCCACCGACTCCCCAGGTGGAAGGGGCGGAGGGTTTGAGGGACGATGCAACAACTTGAATTTATATTCAGCAGAAGCACTTTTCGCATCGGTTATGGACTCAAAACGTTTTATGGAGATTGTGCCGGATACCCACGATGGAGGCGGGGATGGAGGAGGAAGAGGTGGCTGTAGGCGCTGTTTGAAGAGAGAGGTTTTCAGGAGGCTTTTAGAGATGGAGAGGGGGGTGAAGTGGAGGGATTTAGGGAGGTATTGCCAGAGGGAAGGGGCATAGTGTCTGATTGTAGGGTGGATGGGGCAAGGAAGAAGTCCAGTTTGTCAAGTGGGGAGGGCAAGCAGGAGAGTGAGCCTGGAGGAAGCTACAAAGGGAGGGACGGCGGATCTTGAAGTTGATCAGCTAAGAGCTGTGGTTTTATATGATGGAGGTGATGCGCATCAAAGCTTACTGTGGGGGTAAGGATGCAAGCGAGTCAACTTTGTACAAACTGGAGCTTGTGTGTAATAGAGTTCACTATTTTATTCACAAGCTCCAGAGTTGATTACCTGTACCAAGTAGGACTGACCCCATTGTGGATAAGCAAATACGATGGATAGTCGCATAGAATGCAAATAGGCTAAAGCACTAACTTAAATATTATTCCATCAAGAGTTATATTTTGACTGTAGTACCACACTGCAAGCTCTTTTCTCACTCTCTCTCCCTTTGACTCTGTTTTTGTTTGTTGTGTTGCATCTCAACCTTTTGAGACTTTTTCTTTCGATATCTCTTCACTGTTTTTAAAAAAAACGTAATCATAAAAGTTCAAGCTGCAGCGAAGGTCTGTGAGTGTGAGGTTACTGTAGATGCTTAATAAAATGTTTGTCACAGAACTTTCTTAAAATTGTTACTTAAAATGGAAGTCTTAAGGAGTAAGTCCCACTATCAGTGACTTTGTTTTTCAAAACGGTTACAAGGATTCTGTTTTTTATTTTCCTCACGTTCTATTTTTCGGTGTTGCTATTTGTTTAAACAGTGCTGATTTCTGATTAGCTCAGTAGGGAAGCTGGATTGAAGGAGTGACTTGAGTCTGTCGGTGATCGAGTGCTTAAAGGCACCATTGTAAAATCCCTCTGGGTTAATGATTTCTATATCACCCTGGTTGACACTGCCATTCCTTGCCAGTACCCTAGCGGCATCATCCGCATTCACAGTTTTGTAAAAATAAAAAATGGAGAAAAAACGAAGAGGGTGATTTCAATTATTCGTTTCCTCTTGAAAAAGCAATAATAGATTTGGATACATTTTATTAGAGGTTTGCGGCACTCTGCAGATTGATGCTCCCCTACATGAAATACCCTTTGCTCTGGAACACTTTTCCTCTATCCACCTTACCCCTTCCTTCCCCATCTTCAGGTTGTGCTTGAAGACCTTCCTCTTCGACCATGTCTGCGGTCACTTCCAACGCCCCCCCCCCACCCCCGGCTCTGTCTTGCTCTACCCTGTCAAGCCCTCTGGAATGCTACCCTGCATGAGAGGCGCTAAATAAATGCAAGTTGTTGTTGCATGGCTTTGGAAGGCTAGATTTAATACAATCAAAATATTCATCTCACACAGAAATTATGTGTGAGCATTTGGCTATGGTAAAAGTCCTTGTGATAGTTATTTGAGCCTCAAATAAGCAGAATAAATAAATCACAGAACATCTTTAATCTTAATTTTAATTTGTGGATGAGTTCTGAAGAATTAAAGTGGTTGTGAACAGTTGTTCTGTGTTTGATTTCCCCATTTTATAATAGTCTGTGATCTGGATCAAACTTAACAATCTTTCAAACCTTGTTGCCTTAAAATAGTGCGTGGGGCTTCTATTGAATCAGAAGGCAGTAAGGAGTGTACATATGGTACATAAATATTGACTGTCACTTTAAATAAAATCCTATTTTTCCCCTTCCTTGCCTGAAGGTAATACTTGACTCTTTATGGAGTACAGTTTCATGAGCACCACTGAGCCTTAGCTGTCTTCTCCAAGGAAACATTCATGTGCGAGTGTAGGTAATTAGACGGCTAGACTTGACTCTGTCCTCATTTGACAACTTAACACCTTCCATGCAGGGTTTTTGGGCAGTGGTCAGGATTGGAGACCTTGGCTGTTTTTCCCGCTCCCCTGAATACCCAATGTTATTTGTAGGTAACCAAGTATAAATAAGCTTACTCTTCCCCTCTCATTTTTCTGATTTAGTGATAATCTTGTAAATTAAGGCAGGTTTACATCCATGGTTAACGTTATATTCTGAAGTCAATACTAAATAATACAAGAACTGTGTAAGGTACACAGTTGGTACAAGTGAGCTGAGCAATAAAAAGTTATCTGATGAGAATGATACTGAGCACTGTTATTTAATTCTGGATTTTTGACAGATTAATGACCTTGATTAATAATAATAATAATGCTTGCATTTGATATAGCGTCTTTTCACGTCTTCGCGACGTCTCAAAGCGCTTCACGGAAAATACTGTAAAGTGAATTGACTGTCTATTTTGTGAACGAAATGCATTTGAAACATGTAAGTGATTTCGCATTGTTTTTATTTGCAATTTTGTCTTGCAAACTAGAGCCTCACAGTTCATAGATATTAAAAAAATTTTGGAGGGAGTTGTACTAAAATGTAATCATTCCAATAAAACTTTGCAACTGGGTTGGATAAAAGCTATGTGAAAATCCAGTCTACAGTATCATTGTAGTCCTTGTTTCTCTGCAATTCTTGCTGCTTCCTGTCTGCCTCTTTTATCGCTAATGTAACTGTCTTTTGGCCACATGAATCCACAAAAATCTGGTCGCTACACTGCATTTTGCTAAACAATTCAGAGATTTTGTTATTCTTGCCTATTTTGAAGGCTTTCTTTTTTTAGGTCACTGGTAAACAAATAACAGTTTCCTTATAACTTTAGCCAGAATGCAAAATAAAGGAGAAAATAACACTGGGCGTTAGCAAGGATATCTCAGTAACGATAAAGCAAGTGAAAGAATACTATGAGAAGGCTCAATGGTCCCGTCACGCCCCCAAAAGTGCCTGTTCTCCTATTTGGTAACTGGCTCAAATTGCAGTTATCACTGTGAGGGATGTTGCAATATTTCTGACAGTTGCCCTGTTCTGAGCAAGACATCAGTTCAGCTTGTGGCTGAGTCGAAGGTTGTTGTTGACGGTCGTCAATATGTACTGCGCCACATGCACTGGTGTTAGAACAGTCTATAGACCGAACATTTTGTGTTTGTGTTGTTGCATATTTCATCGTATGTATAAACGGGAGAGTTTATGCAGCATCGGCTATATGATTCAGTATAAAGCTAACGGATGAGATTAAGGGGTGATGACTGTTTGTGGAACATTGCTGTGCGCAACAGGCTGCCGTGCTTTGCCCACAAAATATACAGTCAATTCACTTTATAGTGTATTGTGTGAAGCGCTTTGAAATGTCTCAAGACATTTCAAAGCGCTATGAGAAGGAGAAGGAGCTATGTTATGAGAAGGAGCTGTGTTTTGTACCGGAGATCATTGAAGTGCTTTTGATACTGTATACAGATTCTGTATTATTGCAGCTTCCGTAATAAACAGTGAAGCAGGTTAGAGATAAAGTTTATATGTTACTGAAATTGCGCAAGTGTTTTTTGTGCAATTTCAGTATTGGACAAAGTCCAGTTTCCTCTGTGAAGGTGAGGACTTGCAGTTTCTTTCAATGTCTATTTTTTACAAATACACAGTAGATCAACTCCACAGCTCCTCTCAGCCCAAATTCTAGAGTGTCCAGAACTCCTCTCCTCTCCCGCACCAGGCTCCCTGAGCATTTGACCCCTAGCCTCGCTTTGCTCTACTCGTTCCCAGGCTTCCAGGAAATTCAAGATCCTCATCCTCGCTTTCATATCCCTCCACAGCCTCGCGTCACTTCACTCCTACCGACCCAGACCCTCTCTCCAGTCAGCAGACCCCAGCCCACTTCATGTCCCAAGACCAATCTGCCCCACCGAGTCTTCACGTATCCTGCTCCTCTCTGGAACTCTGCTCTTGAGTAGCTTTGGTTTGCCCTCTCCCTCCCCACTTCTAAAGCCCACCTTAAGACTTTGACTGGGGATTCAGTCATCTTTCCCCAACTTCTCAGTTCTGCTCCACCAGCTCGCGTGCCCAGCTAGCTGTATAAAGTATTTACAATGTCCTTATCTGTAAAGAAAGCACTATATAAATGTATATGGTATTGTCTCAGCACTTTACCATGTTGAGTTCTTAAACTCACTAACATGTCTTTATTTACATAGGTTCTCTCGCACAGCCTTTGTACAGTATTGCAAGTCCCTCATAATCCAGTGGCTTTGGAGAATCACTTTAAGGATGATGATGAAGGTCCAGTTTCTAACCAGGGATACATGCCCTATTTGAACAAATTTATCTTGGACAAGGTATGGATAATATATATATATATATATATATATATATATGTGCATTGTGTTGGCTTTCTCAGTTTTTGTTCTACGTTATGTGAATATATTTCACAATTTTGGTTAAATACTTTCAGTATTGTGACTTACAAATTGGATTGCTATTAATACTTTTTTTGCGGCAGTAAAATGCAAATGACTTGTTTATCTGAAGCTGAAATTAACTGCTTGCCCTTTAACAAGGCATTCATTGTTCAGCCAGGGCAATCGTGGAGTAATGCCCAGATTTACAGTTTCAGCTGGGTGTGTGGTAGAAGGGGAAATATGTACTTCCTGAAGCTTACAAAAACACACACAGAAATATTCTTGTAGTCAGGACACAGACGAGTCATGAAAGAATAGGATGGCTGGAATAAAAATGTGTAGCATGAACATTGCCAGGGACGTAAAAGTTGCACAATTCTGTTAATTCTTAACCAGATATTTTTCAATTGTGAGTAAGGAGGGAGGAAGAAAACTTTCCTTTTCTTCAAATTTGGAGAACTGTGACTGTTGTATTGTGAAACGAATGTGAATTGTAGCTCGCACCAACCATCACGGTGACACTTTTGCTTAGAGCCAGTTTCCATGTTGGTTGAGTTATCTTTGGGGATGGAATGGTAACTGATTGCAAACAAAATGGAGCACAGCTGTGAAGCAACGTTCGCCGTTGCCATGGCAATATCCATCTACAATGGCACATACTGTTTGAAAAGGAAAATTGAGGTAGTATTATTTGGGGACAGGATCGTAAGGACTCGGTCAAACAGTTGGAGCTTTTCTCTAGAGTTGAGACTATTCAGAGGAGACCCAATAAAGGTGTTTTAGATTATGAAATAATTTGAATAGGTGGATATTGCTGCTTCCACTTGTGGTGAGTCCAGAACGAGAGACATCAAATAATAACTGGTATAGTAGATTTCATTGGGAACCTAGGAAGAATCTCTTCACACAGAAGGCGGTGAGAATATTGAACTCATAGCCGGAAGCTATGGTTGAAGCAAAAAGTATCAGCGTGTTCAAGAAACGATTTGATGCGTATCTGAGGGAGAAGGAAATAGAGGCAAGTAGCAGGGCTGGAGAGTTCAATGGAGTACAAACACTGTTAGGACTAGTTGGGCTGACCACCCTGTTTACGTGCTGTATCATTCTATATATTAGAATTTACATTGAAAGTGCCTTGGCATGGTAGGACGTCTCAAAGTGCTTAACACTTCTGGTCTGGCACCTGAGCTGTCGGTGGGAGCTGAAGGGGTGGAAGGGGAAAGTTGACCAAAAGAGTGGTTTAAAGAGGAAAGTATTGAACATAATGTTAGTGTGAATGTTAGTGATATAAGGAGAACTCTTATTTTAACTGTTCTCCTTTTCCCAGAGAACAAGACAAATTTAAAGTCATCAACTGAACGTGATGTGTACATATGTAGCTTTTGAGTAGGATGCCATTGCATGAATATGGCTGCAACTTCTTTGGTGATGCAGGTTTATATTTGTTATCAAATTAAATCCTGAACGAAAGGTGCAATAATTCTGGGAATTGTCATTTTTGAGGAATGACAGAAATTGCTAACTTCCTTTTAGCCTGTCTGCTCCACCTCACCCTGATAACTGCTCTTATTAATTTTCTTTCTTTTCTTCTTTTTCCTCTCTCTCCCCTCTCACCCCCTCTCATAAGGTACAACCGAACACCTTCAGTAAGTGTGAATTTAATAGGATGTGCTGGACTCTTTGTGCCAAGAAGAATCTGAATCTAAACAATCTGCTGATCAGTGATGGTGATGCCTTCAAAGTTTGGTGTATATTCAATTTCCTCTCAGAAGACCTGTATCCCTTGGTCATAGTCCCAGAGGAGGTAAGAGCAATAAACCCACCGGTATTTTAATGCCGTTTTAAATCATTTGTGCTACTTGTGTGACCCTCTCATAGACTGGTAGTTTCGAAGGACTTCTGCATTCTTCCTTTTCGGAATATTTGTCTTCACGGATTTGACACTTTGTGAAAATTTCATGTAAGTTTAGCTGCAACTCCTGCAAGGAAGAGTTTGCTTGCGTGTGCTGTGCTCAGAGTTGCTGTGTGAGAGGGAAGAGACACGAAGGTTTCATTCTATGGGTTTCCAACATCGAGGAGATTTTTTTAAAGAATATTTTTCACACGATTTTAATTTGTGAAATCAATAATTGCACAAATAAATGTACACAAATAAATGCATGTACAGCAACTCAAAGAGAAAGGAAACTAAATCATAACCTCCCTCTGGCCCACCCTTCATTCAGATGCTTTTCATAGAACTTGCTTCCGCCAGACTTTTAAACACAAATGCTTCACCAGATGCGCCTGCAAACGCACAGTCAAAAGTGAGAGAGAAAACCTCACCTCGGATTTGAGCAATCACTTCTGGTGTTTTTTCCGGTGTGAACAGGGATTAACGTCAAATACATTTTTTTTGTATCAGGAAGTGTTTTATCGTTTTATTTTTTTAATCGGTTTAAAACGAAAATCAGAAGCCGTAACTGTCTCAACTGTCTCTGATATATTGTGCCCACAGGGCAGCAGGATTGCCCTGTAGTTTTGAAATTTTAATTGCACAAAGTCCTTGGTTTCAAATAAAATGTGTTCAACTGAAGTTAGAGGGGGATCTTGCTGCATTTCCACAATTCTTTGGAATTGCTTGAACTGTTACCCTAGAGCCTGAGAGAATTGCAAATGTGGTTAGTCGCTTTGACCATGTTTCACAAGACTCTGGGGAATGTCCACTTGAATGAAATTCTCTGCTTGGGGTTGTTTCTAATTTCACTGATTGCTTTGCACTTCGTCAGATTCTGCTTTTGTCTGTAATTCTTGATGTGGATAAATTCAACCTTGTATTGAAAACGCTAATGTGACCAGCATGTAATAGGAAAACTTCAAACTTTTCATTTAATCGTATCCAATGGAGCAACAACTACTTTTGTCTGTGTGAGTGAAGCAATGATCTATTCTTGATCTGCTCTCTACTGTTATATATTATCTACTGGAATATATTATCGCTTGAGTGTGAATTGTTGCCTTTCAATCCCATCCAGGTATTTGCCATTGAATTTAACATTATTAACAAAGTTGCTTTCGGACAATTGCTTTTGATTTAAGAACTTGGGTGAAGACCCATGTTATTGTTGTGGATGGAGTGCAAGTTTATCTGGATTACATTCATATTTCATTCACAATTTTAACTTAGGAATACTTTTAACTGGAGACAGTTATGTCCACTTCAGGAAAAATGGATCTTTTAGTTAAGAGGTTTCAGTACAGCTGTCATGACAACTTAAATAATAATAATAATCCTTGCATTTGATATAGCGCTTTTCACGTCGGGAGGACGTCCCAAAGCGCTTCACAGAACACACTGTAAAGTGAATTGACTGTATACTTGTGGGCCAACGTGGCAGCCAATTGCGCACAGCAATGTCCCACAAACAGTCGTAGATTGAAAATGACCAATTTTTATTATTGTTTTTGGTTTTTGGAGGGATTATTATTAGGCTCTGTGTGGAGTAAGGAAACTTGCCCAAGGTTTCACCCTCTGCCTGGAATTGAACTCGGGTCTTTCGCTTGCAAAGCGAGTGCTCTAACCACTGAGCTACAGGACTCCACAAACTTGGCTGCCAAGTTGCCATGATGACAACTGTACAGAAACCGTTTTGAATTCACTTACAAAAGCAATCACAGCACTTGAATGTGATTACCTGTGAGCCGCTATGATCTGCTAAAAATGCATGTGAAGAGCAGCAATGATACAATAAAATCTGCTCCATTCCTCTCAGTAGCTGATAATCTATCTTCATCAAATTGCTATAATCCTTATACTTTCTATTGTAAGATTCTGCACAAGATTTTTTCCTGGTGCAGCTGAAAGTAGTGCACCAAAACATTTTTAAATGTCCTCATTATTCCTGACGATAATCTATAAACAAAACAAAATACCCTTTTTATAGTTTTCACTCTAACCAGCCAAATCCTTACCTGCCTCCAAATTATATGTAGGTCCAATACATTGACAATAAACCATTCCTGCAGCTGTAAGATACAATTGGTGACTATACAGCTAAGATTAAATGTACCACTTCCTCAGTAAATAAACTTGTAATGTGTATTCAGGAATAGTAGTTTGGTTTCCTGTTGCATAGTAATGTTACCACTCATTGTCTTCGTTTAAAATGCTTAGGCTGTGTAGAACAGTTATACCCAATAATAATAATAATCCTTGAATTTGATACAGCGCCTTATCACATCTTCAAGATGCCTCAAAGCACTTCACAGAATATACTGTCATGTGAATTGACTGTATATTTTGTGGGTGAACTGAGGCACCCAATTGCGCACAATATCAGAATATGCCCAGAAGAGCAACAGGGTTGCTATCAACTTGAGATGAAAGTATTTGTATAAATATGAGAGTAAATATTTAATCTAATATTTACTAGTGTTCTCCTAAGCAAACCATACCCAAAGAATGAACAAAACAGGCTATGGACCTGATGATAAGGGAACTTTAAAAGGTTTTCCCTCCCTCTAAAAACAAAAGCCCAATAACTCAGTCTGACTTATGCTATTGCAGTTTCCTCTTTGTAATGAAGTACCAACTGTATTTTGCGTTATGCGTAATCATACACTTGAAACAGGAAGCAAGCCATTTCCTTCAAATTAACCTTTAAGATTTCCTACAGTTGGGTGTTCCTGAGAATCCTGACGTTCCCAGTTGGAATACTTTGTATTCATTACATTCATCACTCACTTCCAAGCTTTTCATGAGCCAAGCTTTTGGCCTTTTGGCCAAATGTTTTATCCTATTGCTTTCTACTGATGATTGTGTTTGTTCTTTAAGGCAGTCCTAACTTTTTTAAAAAAACAGATAGGGATATGTGTCTGAGCAGGAGGATGGTGGTAATGCTTTCACACACTTCACGCTGTGCTATTCACTGGGAAGCTATCAGGATTTTTTTTCTACCTAGTGAGAGTTCAAACACTTATAATTGTCAGATGTCAAATGACTAGTGACTATCCTCCTTGGGGGGTGGGTAAGTGGCATCTCCTAGGATGTTAGCTGGCACGCAGGACGCGGCTGATGACACAGCAGCTAGCTTGAGCTTGGCTTGTCGGTAGGACTTGGAAGGTCAGAACCTTTACATATCTTTGAATTAACCTCTCGTCCCGTTATTGTATTTTTTTTATGAAGATAATACTGTAGCTCAGTTTAGGTTTTAAATGGCATGGTTATTGCATAGCTGATGAAGATTCTGTCTGCAAAGTTATCAGGAAGAAATTGCAGTTTGTGAATTTGCATTTTGATAGAACCAATCACATTGAAATATTGATGAGCGTTTTATTCACCAGTAGCTCCTGTCAGGTTTCGTCAGCCTAACTCATATCCTGATGTAGAGTTTCTAGAGCTGAAGGCATGAATCTGGAATCAATTTTCCACTTATGAAATTACAATTCTAAAATGCTTTTAATGCAGACATTGGAAATATAATTCTTATTATTTGAAAAATAAAAATAAGGTATCACACAGTGTGTTTGTTCATATTACAGAATTAAGAAATCGATTCTGGCCAGTTTCACCTTTTCTTTCTGTGGAAAACTACTGTGCTAATCCTGTGTTCTTGGTGTCGTTCTCCAGATTGAATACTTCCTTCAAAAGCTGACTGAAGCAATGGGAGTTAACTGGCAACAAGAACAATTTGAGGAATACAAGGAGCAGCTTGGTGCAAAGCAATACGGCCTTTCTGTGTGGGGGTTCATCGAGTTGGTTGGCTCTGGGCTTTTCTCTAAAGGCATGAACAGACAGACCCTGTCCATGGCAATTGATGAAGTTTACCATGAGCTTATCCTAGATGTCATGAAACAGGTGAGAAAAGATTTTGTGCTTATTCTTAAGGTGACAGATTTAAGGTCAATGACAAAACCACACTCCAGTGTGAGTGGATCTGTAGACACAGACCAAAGTTTAATCCGTGGTCTTTGTCTGGAAAATGCTTGTGTAGACATTGGGTTAGGACAGAATTCCTCAGCTATGAATCAGCTATGAATTGAAAGAAGTTAAGGAATTTGGAAGTGGACACATTAAACGGAAATTAGTGAAAGCAAATTTAGACAAAACCATGTTTGCATCTTAATATATTTATTCTTGAGGTTGTTGCTGACGAACTACAGGAATTTAATAAGAGTACCTAGGAATTGGTTAATCAAGCATGTTATCATTAGAGGATGTGTTTTAAGTCAAGTGGTTTATCCTTTATTCTTTTCACAGCCACTTTTAAGTACTTAAAGCAATGTTAAAAAATCAGAATTGCATTGAAATATGACCAAGCCATTTGAGCATATCTCTGATTACAGAATTTTGTCTTCCAAAATGTTTATTTTGTTCTCTTTAAATCTGGAAATATTTAATCACTGTCATGAGTCATGGGAGGGAAATAGCTAACATTGCCTAAAATTTGCTGTGAGCATAGATTGTGGTCTTGTGTTCCTCATACTGTTACTTCAGTCATATCAGGAAGTGAGATTAGCCTTGCAAAAGAATGTGTGTATTGGGATGTTTTATCAACAGTGCCAATGCTGTTAAAAACAGTTAACAGCCACAGAATTATGAACATAGAAATCATGGAACAAGCAAAAGGCAACAAGCAAGGCTTGCCTATTTACTAGACCAGTCCTATAGTGGACTTTTTTCCTGCTAGTCTGCTCTTAGGAAGAGTTCCACATCAAATCTCCCTGTTCCCTCCCACAAAAAGAAACTTAAATTCATCCATCCATTTTAATTAAACCCTGATTTTCTTCTCTTCACAGACACTTTCCCCAAGCCCTACTCCCAATAGTGCAGCACAGAGACCATTGTCTCTGTTATGGTACTGATTCATCCTTATTACATTGTTATTGAATGTACCTTTGTAATTAAGGTGCCCAATAACTGTTCATTTATGAATAGCGAGAACAATCCCAAAACAGATCCTTGTGGAACTTCACAAAATACTGCTCCGTGCCTCCAATCAAACATTTCCATTATTTGAAGTACTGTAGTATGATTAGATTCCAGTCCCAACTCTTCTTGTACTGGTCCAGGGAGGGAGAATTCTCACTGGGCTGTGTTTTCCCTTTTGACAAGGATGAATAACCTCACGTGCAGCACAGGAACAAACCAGAGACTGATCCGGACTGTGCTGCATTTAATATTTAAAAGCATATGGTTCCGATATCTGCAATCGTCAAATCAACAAATGTGACTGATTAAACCAGCCGCTTTAACTGCACTTACTGTAATTTTAGGTAAAGAGCGAAAATCTTTCCCATGAACTGGATTCAGTGTGACACCACCTTGCGTGATCTTTAGTACTGAGTTGACAGAGGAGGGCAAGGGCTGAATTCAGCGACTATTTGTAACTCAGGATCTGCCGCATTCGGTTGAACACAAAATGATTAGAGCCAGTATAAACTAACAGGACTTCCCTGCCAGATCCTCACAACAGGAAAAGAAAGGCTACCCAATCTCCCGCACTCCTACACTGTGCTGCTTCCCCTGCGAACACTCCACCTCATTTCTTCTCACTGCTTCTGGAGAGTAACATTTAAATGTTTAAGGTTACCATAGTTTGAGAAGCAGTAGAGCAGGTTAGTTGGTGCAAGAAGACGTCGTGGGGAGGGGGGAGGGGGGTGAGAAGAGAGGTTATGAAAGGAATCTCTGTATGCCAGCACATTGAATGCTTTTTTGGTTTGTTGGGGCTGCTGCCAAAAATAAATATTCCATTAAGGTGTATAAGGTAATTGATGGTGAGATTTGCCCGGTCTGTTTTGGAGATATGTAAGGAGTATAAAGTTACTGAGTAAACTGGACTTTGGATCTTTTAGATCTAATATGGGGGGAGGGAGGAGAAACAATTGTGCACTTGAGTCAAACTTACTGATTTAGCTGTTTTTATTGTGCAAGGAACTGGTTAGGTGAATTTTCTGTTAAGGATAATTGTAAAGTTTGACCTCCCGATGTGAAAGACACCAAGAACAATGCAATTTGTTGTCTGTAGTTTGGTAAAGGTCGTAAGGAAACAGGCAGACTGATTTATCTATTGCCACAGTATAAGGAACTGATTAGGTAAATCTTCTTTTCAGGATAATTGTAAAGTTTGACTTTTGATAAGTCTTCCCAAAGTGTTTTGATTGTGTTACCATGCATACAACCAGCCTGAGCACTTTCAGGGTGGTGTGCTATTTTCCTTTGCCTGATTTCTATCTCCCACCTTTTGGTTATAATATCTGTTAATATCTCTCTTTGACCGAGCCTTCAGCTCCCCTCTCGACTCTCTTCCCCCTCCTCGCTCCCTCCCTTCCCTCCCCTCACCCTGACCATTTCCCCCCTCCTCGCTCCCTCCCTTCCCTCCCCTCACCCTGACCATTTCCCCCCTGCTCGGGTCATGACCCAACTGTGCAGCGCCTTGGGACGTCCTCCTGACGTGAAAGGCGCTTTATAAATGGAATCTTGTTGTTGTTGTTGTTAGTACCGAGAAACTGTTGTAGTATGGAGCACGCTATTTAGCCACACCACAACTGTTGTGCACAAGTCACAGTCAAAACTTCAGAGGAGTCATTTTCTGTCCAGTCTTGGCGAGCTTTCTCTGGGCCAGTATATTGTTGAGGTGAAATGGCTGATAACTACTTTGAACGTAGGAACAAAGATGCAAGATAATTTAATCCCAAGGACAACTTCAGGAGGCTTGCAGTTTATGCTTCCACTCAACTTTAATGGCATGAGCAAGCCAAAACAGCAATGTTTTTTTTAAACCTATGTTCTGTATTCAATGAACTGGGTGTTGGCTGTTGGAGGCCACTGATCCCCTCCAATCCTAACTCAGATTAAGTTGCAAATTCCCTGAATTTAGTGTCTGATTTGGCGCAGAGCCACTGTTGTTAGTGCTTGTGCTGTCATGCATTTTGTTGGACTGGCTGTTCAAATGAATGATGCGCTCTCTTCTGAACAGGGTTACATGTGGAAAAAAGGGCACAAAAGGAAGAACTGGACCGAGCGCTGGTTTGTGTTGAAACCTGATGTCATTTCATATTACGTCAGCGAAGATCTAAAGGAGAAGAAAGGCGATATCGTATTGAGCACTGACTGCTACGTAGAGGTAAATGAACCTAACATTTGCAAATTGTACTGATTCCTAAACAGACGCACACAAAACGCACGCTCCCGACCTGAAAGTAGTTGTGGAGGTCTGGAAGCTGAAAGCAAAGAAGTTGTCTGACAGTTGTGTGTAATGCAGATGAGATGTTCAGTTGAGAGGAGAGACATGGATCATATTTCCTCAAACAGAGGAGAGATTGAGGTGGTTAAAATAATAATAGGTGGTGGGGGGTAGGGGGGGGAGGAGGAAATTCTGAGACGAATCCACATCAGGTGGACATTATATTAAAGAATTTTTTTCTTCACAGAAAGGGTGCATACATACAAATAAAATGATAAAGAACTGCTATGAAGTAATGAACTGGCAGAACAGATTCAACAGACCAATACCTTGACCCATACCTGTTCCCATCTGATGGAATTTTTTTTTAAACTGTGCTCTAATTCTTGAAATTGTAGGGCTGGGTTAAGACTTGCAGTGATTTAATACAATTGTTGCATTTTAGTTTTGACTTTGTGTTCTTTCCTCTTCCCCTTTTCCCTATCTCCTCAGAGGTTAATCATGTTGAGGCTCTGACTGAGCCCAAAAGACTGCCAACTATTTGTTGGTCTGAGTTTTTTAAGTAATTTTAAAAGTAATAATGTATATTACTGGTTATAAATCCCCAAACATACATACAAGCTTGTCAAATATAAAACCAACCATAATTGATGAATTTCTTTGGAGTTTATGTTCCTCTTAACCTAATCCCACTGGTGTCTTTCTTGTGGTCTGTTCAAAATGTTTTAGCTTATGTGGGATTTGCTACAGTCTGTTCCTGTTTATAAAGATCCTGTTTAACACGATCTTTGTTTGCAACAGTTTTCCTGTTTATCCACAATACTCTTTGTAACACTGTCTTCAATGGGAAGCACTTCAAATTCTGGTTATATCTGGGGTTATGGTTTCTCCTCGTATTAAATATGAAGAGCTAATATAAAATAATTCTGCAACTCATGAAGGCCAAAATCTGATAGATTGCAATAACTAATGTGTTTGATTTCTTTATAGTCCTTACCGGATAAAGATGGAAAGAAATGTCTGTTGCTGGTAAAGTGCTCAGATAAGTCTTTTGAGATCAGCGCACCAGATAAAAAGAAAAAGCAAGAATGGATCCAAGGTAAGAATGATTGGGCTGGGTTTCATTTACTTGTGAAAGTTGATGACAATTGTTGGAGTTATGTTCTTCTCAGACTAAGTATACATTTTGCTCACAAAATACCCAGTCCAAACCCTCACTTCACAGTTTATTCTTGTGAAGCTCTTTGAGATGTCTCGGCGATGTGAAAGACGCTATATCAAATACACTCTAGTCCACACAGGTGGAACTTTTCGTGTGTAGAAATATATACATATGTGGAACTTTGTCTAGTTTGGATACTCTTAAGAGGGTTATGGGTTTTCTTAGGTCTAAGACTCAGCTGACCAAAAAAAAGGAAGCAGTTACATTATTACCCTTCCATAAAATAAAGTGTTGACTGAAGTGTAATAACAAACATTTTTATCTACAGTAATTACATGCCAGTCACAGTACAATACATTGTCTGCTTTTCCAATCCATTTACGCCAGTTTGTTTTTAAATGTCTTGACTGTACTTTGTTTCATATTACTTTGAGATATTAAGCTAACGGATCAAAAGTGATTGAGAAGAGGCAATAGATTATTTTGTCCCAATTCTTTTCTCATCTGAATGCTTCCTTCTTTCTCCTTTTATTCATCCACGGAGATATAATTTCGCAGATGCCACATTCCTTTCAGCACCTTGCTCAAGTAACCGTTCACCATGTGGAAACCATCAGTGTGTGTTGGCACTTTGTTCAGCCATAGTGGCATTGCAGCCGAGCCCAATTGTGCCCACAAATGAGCATTTTCCAGGAGGGCCAAATAGTGATCCCCAGCAGAAATACTGCTTGATTCCACTTTTACTTTGTAGGAAGTAGTTTGTATTCAGTGAAGCGAATTAAGATCAACGTAATATATAATAATCCTTGCACTTGATTTAGTGCCTCATCACATGATTGTGAAGTCTCAAAGCTCTTCACAGGATATACTGTAAAGTAGATTGACTGTTATTTGTGTGGGTGAAACGTGGCAGCAAATTTATAAGCTTTTGCTGATATTTCCATGGCTTTTCTATTGCGCACAGTACGTACTTTGACTGCTTCTTCGTTGGGGGTGCCATGTCTTGGGTTTTCTAACCTACTGTGTTTTGAATAGGCATTCAAACAGCTATCAACCTGGTGAGAGACAGCAGGCTCCCGCCCCACAAGGAAGGACAGCTGAAACGGCGAGGCCAGCGACAGAGACTGCAGGCCGAACAGGAGGAGATCGAGCGGAGGATGAAGGAGCTGCAAATGGCCAATGAAGATAAACAAGTCGAGCTGGAGAAAATGCGCATGGTGAGTGAGGGCCTGTTGACTTGAGCTGGAAGGTGGGGGGGGGGAAAAGAGAAAAGAGAATTTCTCAACAAGGATTTCCTGGCTGAAATTTCTCTCTGCCCCCACCCTTTGGAACGCCATGCCACAGTCACTTCGCCTCGCCCCCTCCATTGCCTCCTTCAATTCCCACCTCAAGACCCTCCTCTTTGACTGCACTTTCAGTCAGCCTCCTACCCTCCCTGCCCTCCACCCAACCCCCAGCTCGTGTCCAAATCCCTGACTGTTCATCACCTTGGGACTTCCTCCCGACATGAAAGGCGCTATACAAATGTAATTTGTTGCTTTTGTTGTTGAAATGAGTGATCAAACTCACCCTTTGTGAGATTTCTGATTGAATTGTGAGTGGCTTTGACCAGGTTTAGTCCTAGGTCTTACCTTAGGCATTAAAATGTATTGTTACTGAAGAAGTAACAACATAGAGTTGATAGCAGAAGTTTGACATCCTTTTTTTAGTCTAAATTTCATTGCTGTAAAATTTTTAGCTCTGGTTTAATATTATTTAGAAATTTAGTCTTAGTTTCCAGTTTCAGACAATCACCAATCTTTCAGTAAGGGCACGAGGAGGGAGAGTGTGTAATGTATAAATTGTAACTGGGAAATTTTGTATAAATTATTATCTGAAGTAATAATTTGGTACCTCAATCCACGACTGTTTGTAATTGACTGCCACGTTTTGCCCCCCTAAAAATATACAATCAATTAATTTTACGCTTCTGTGAAGCGCTTTAAGACGTCTCGAAGACGTGATTACTCTTATTATTATTATTATTATTATCATATATAAAATGCACTGCCTGAAAGAAGGGTGGAAGCAAATTCAATAATAATTTTTAAAAGAGGAATTGGATACATACTTGAAAAGAAAAAAATTACAAAGTTATGTGGAAAGAGCAGGCGAGTGAGACTAGTTGGTAGCTCTTTCAAAGAGTTGGCACAAGCAGGATGGGCCAAATGTCCTCCTTCTGTGAGGTAAGATTGTATCATTCTACATGATTCTAGTGGACTTCTCTTGCGGTTTGCACTAACTGTGGTGCAGAAATTTTCTGTACTCACCAATAATTCAACTTATTGATTTACTTGGAACATATTTACTTTTGCCGGACTTTTGCAGGACTTGATATCTTTATTCATCTCCGCGGGTGAGTCTTGTGTCTAAATAAGTTGCACTGTTCATTCTGCTACGTGGAATGTAGAAATGGTCTTGGGTTTTATCTATTTTGAAAGGATTAGAATAGATCAGCAGGAGTCTTATCTGAGATATGCAGAACTAAAACCCACTGAGATAAAACTACCTTTTTTTTAAAACTACTTTGTGATATAGGGAACCATAATTCTCTCTTAAACTTTCAAGGTGAAAACCACATTTGATTGTCTCCAACTGTGTTTCATCAAGGAAATAACTTTATTTTTTGGGTGTCTTATTGCATCAAAACATTTCACATATATGCTGTTGAGTATAGCCTTTTTTTTTTGCAGACAGACATATTAGTCATTTTGACCACGTGAAACAGGAAGAAAATATCTGGTTGAGAGCTGATCGATTCTCTATTTTGCCTGCTTAGTAGGAGCCACTATATTAATAATAATAATATAATAATAATAATAATCCTTGCATTTGCTATAGTGCTTTTCACGTCTTCTAGACGTCTCAAATCTAGGTCTATCTGGGTCACCTGCAACATACCCTCACCAAAGATAGGTTTTCAACCTTGATTTCTTGGTACCTGCTACAGATAGCATAGACAATGTTGGAAGGTCACCTTGTGGCTGGTTATTATAGTCCATTGCTACCTGCCCTGCCACAGTGTGCGAAAACAGCAGCCCGATCTATTACTCTGTACATTCACTTACGGTTCACAGCTTTGAAAGCTGCAAAATACACTCTTCAGTGTAAATTCCTGAGTGGGGAGAGCCTGATCTAAACAAAATAGAAAACGATTACGTTTGCAGGCATTAAAACATGTGGGAAAACCTAGTTTGCTGAAAGAAAAAAAAATGTGCTGAAGTGATGCTCTTTTTATTTGAACTATCAGTGGCTTTACAATAGGACAAGTTGAGGATTATTCTTGTACCAGACTCTTCATCTGAGAGTGTTGCTGTTTGAATACAAGCTTGTGGACTCTTTACTCTTTTGTTGGATTTTCACAAAACCTTAAATACGGGATTTCCTGTCTAAGTCTGGGTTCCTTTCAGACATGGGTGTGGTGGGAACCATTCATAGTTTATGCTTAAAGTGATCACAAGTACTACTGTATTGTCCTTTTCACTGTTTTCTAATTTCTTCATTGGTTTGCTCCTCTTTTTCCCACCCCTCACTTTTTACATACTCAGAGATGACACCCAACTCTACCTTTCCTCCTCTACCCTCAACTCCACGAGCACCGATGTCCTGACAGACTGCCTGTCCGACATTGAGTCCTGGACGAGAGACAACTTTCTTCAGCTCAACGTGCGTAAAACTGAGGCCCTCCTGATTGGCTCACGTCAGCGCCTCCGCACCTCTGGCGCTGACAGCATCAGCATCCAAGGCTGCACTCTCCACCTCTCAAAGCCAGTCAGGAACCTCGGGGTTCTGTTCGACCCTGAGCTGTCCTTTCTCCCTCATATCCGCGCCACAACTGGCACCGCCTTCCATCACCTCCGGAATATCGCCAGACTACGGCACTACCTCACCCCTCACGCTGTTGAAACTCTGGTCCACGCCTTTGTCACCTCAAGGCTGGACTATGGGAACTCTCTCCTCGCCGGCCTTCCCGGCACTTCCCTCCACAAGCTGCAGGTCATTCAGAACTCTGCAGCTCGTGTACTGTCCCGCACCAGACACCGCGACCACATCACTCCCACCCTCGCTCGCCTCCACTGGCTCCCCATCCCCCAGAGGATCGAATTCAAGATCCTCATCCTCACCTACAAGGCCATTCACGGCCTTGCTCCCTCCTACCTCTCCGACCTACTATCCACCTACCTACCTGCCCGTACCCTCCGTTCCTCTGGCTCCGGTCTGCTCCACATCCCCCGCCCCAACCGCCCTACCATCGGTGGCCGGGCCTTCAGCCTCTCAGCCCCTCGGCTCTGAAACTCTATCCCCCAGTGCCTTCGCCGCTTCCTCCCTTTCCTCCTTCAAGGCCGGTCTCAAGACCGTTCTCTTTGACTGTGCCTTCAGCTCCCCTCTCGACTCTCTACCCCCTCCTCGCTCCCTCCCTTCCCTCCCCTCACCCTGACCATTTCCCTCCCCAATGCTCGGGACCTGACCCAATTGTACAGCGTCTTGGGACGTCCTCCCGACGTGAAAGGCGCTCTATAAATGGAATCTTCTTCTTCTTGTTGTTGAAGGCTCTTCTCTATGTTGCTAAAGTGGTCGTTCTTTTTCCTTGTACAGTCCTAGGCAGTGAGTGTCTGCACCTTCCTTTAACACAAAGGACATTGCAGCCAAACTTTTTCCTGACCCTCATCATATGTCTGCACTTGTCAGCAGAAATTGCAAGACAGCAATGAGGAATACAAGCCCGGAAATTCAAAATGCCCCTCAGTTTTGGGTATCAAATTGCTATTCACAGCTTCCTTGAGGTCTTCCCTGCCTTTAACTCTCATTTTAGGATTATTTATTTCTGTATGGGGAAAGGCTAGTAAATATGGGCTTAATCCACTCCTCCCTGAGTACATTCCTTGCAAATCGCACTTTTGTTCTTTTTTCTGTATAAACAATGAATTTCCGAACTTTGTGTTTTTTGTGTATAAGGTTTCGGTGTAATCTGGGGCTGTACTATAATTACATCGTGCTGCCGACCTCATGATGATTGGTTCTCGCTTCTTCATGCTGCTGTGTGTACTTTCCTCCTGTGGGTTCTTTTGTTTTCTTTGTGCTCTTAATTCTGCATTGGCTTTTTTTTCCCCTTTTCTGTTTCTCTTTTGATTCTTTCTTTTTCTCTCTCTCTCTCGCTCTCCCATTCTTTGGGTCATGATTATACCAGTACATTGCGATCAGCTCTGATGTGCAATTGAATAAAATTGATTCACGTAGACCTATTTCGAGAATTGACATCCTAAAGCATGCCTGGCCCCTAAATTGGTTACCACCTATGCTGTCACTCCAATTCCAGTGGCATTGTTTCACTTTCCCTGTGCATATACTGTATGTCCAAATACTAAGAATCCAAAGCCGTGTATTTTTATTTTGGTAATAAATTAATCAGCTGGGTGCCTTGTCTTATGCATGTTTTCTCCCTGGAGGGACGCAACCTGCATATCTAATTCCGGAAAGTATTAGGGCAGCTTGTCAAGAGCCAAGGCTTGGGACCTGAGACTGTGTGTTGGGGTAACGGCCGAAGTCTTAACAGGCTAAAACTGAATAGTGAGGAAATATTGTTAAATTCTATCAAATTTTGAATACTGCAGGCCCTCAAAAAAGAGGAAGTAGGTTTAGTTACTCTCTTCCTGTACAGTCCAATAGCTGCACCAGCATGTTTGTAAGACTATTTACAGGTACAGATGAGCTTATCATAATTGACAGTAGTGTCTGTAACCTGTGGCTCAGCAGAGCTGTGGTGTACGACTGATTCTACCAAACATTGAGTCCTGTAGCTCAGTGGTTAGAGCACTCGCTTTGCAAGCGAGAGACCTGAGTTCAATTCCAGGCAGGGCGAAACCTTGGGCAAGTTTCCTTACTCCACACAGAGCCTAATAATAATCCCTCCAAAAACAAAACAATAATAAAAAATTGGTCATTTTCAATCTACGACTGTTTGTGGGACATTGCTGTGCGCAATTGGCTGCCGCGTTCGCCCACAAATATACAGTCAATTCACTTTACAGTGTATTCTGTGAAGCGCTTTGGGACGTCCTCCCGACGTGAAAAGCGCTATATCAAATGCAAGGATTATTATTATTGAATCCAGGTGCCCCAGCAGCTTGTCCTCTTCACAAAATGATGGACTGCTGGTTATAGAGGTGGTCTATTTAAGTGACACATCAGGACATGTGTTCAGGTGCAAGTCTGTGAAGTGCTGTCAGAGTTGCATTTCTTTGGATTCCACAATTCGTGCGGAAGCAGTAACATGGCTATCAAGGCCCATGTTTATAAGACCTGTGGAAATTTTATGGGCCCCAACTATCGCCTTCTAATGGAGCTCCACTGTAAGCAATCTACAAGTAAGAAGGAGATGTGGTGACTAATGTTTGATAGTGTGACTTGGTTGGTTTCTCCTTGCATTTAGTTCCAAGAACTGCATCAGCTCATTCTGGTGATCCCTGCCACAATATGGCACAAAGCAAGAAAGAGCTTGTGGTTACTAATTTCCAATGTGACCTCCTTGGCGCCAGTATGCTCCAGCCCCCAGGTTACACGCTTACCTTTTCAGCTCCTGATGGCTACCTAGTGGCCAAAGCTAAAAAAGTTGAATGAGGATGTTGGATGAGCACAAACAACCATATTGGTAACAAGTTAATCTGACACTAGGACACGAGAAGAAACTTTGTTCTCTTCTCAAGCAGTGTCATGGGATGTTTAAAGTGGGCCAGGCAGGACTGTGGTATCCTCCATTGTTAGATTAAGGTGGTCAAGTACAGTTGATACGCAGTGTTTCTGGTGAGATACTATTGACCCAGCACTCATCATCCTGGCCCACACGACGAATGGCCACTCAGGTCAGGTAACTGAGAGCAGCTGTGGTATATGGGGTAACGTATCCCAGTAAGAAAGTCAGCACCTTCAGAGGAAATGAGAGGAGTCGTTATTTAGAAGTGAAAACCCATTACTCCAGATCAGAGTTGTCCTGAATTTTTCCCATTTCTGTTTGTGCAGGAGCTGGAGTTCTCGGCTAGCAAGGCTGCACAGGAGGAGAAGAGACGCCTGCAGTCACAAATGCAACTTCAGGATCGTTTCAGGCAGGAACTGGAGAAGGAGAAAATGGTAAATTCAATCCACTCGGAGGCTGTTCTTACGAATTCCCCCTCAGCCATTCATAGTGCATTGCAAGAAAAAAACAAATCAATCACTTTTGTTAGTGATTGCTCCCTCAGTAATACTTGGACCAATTGCTGGTATTTAGTGTGAAGAACTTGCTGCGGTCTAAGGATTAATTTTGGTGATGCTATCTTGTATCAGGTGCACCAGATTGCAATTTGCATTTGAGCAATGAAAGTGAAATTCTTCTATGTTCCCACATTGGTCCTAACTACTTTTTTGTTGTTCAGCTGGGTATCTGATTCATTCAGAAACTGATCACCATGCTTATGGGTATCCGAACTAAAGCGAGAGTTCCATGTGTGTATGTCACCTACACACGAAATAGAGAGTGCACCTGGCGTACCTAATTCCAGAGAGCAATAGGCACAGGTTGGCAAGAACCAAGGCTTGGGGACCCCAATGTATACACTGGGGTACAGCTGGTGATTAACCAGCTAAAATCGCATAGCTTGACAAAGTAATGTTGAGAAATTTTCTGCTGCTCATCCAGCCAGCACCACCCTGTTCGTTAGGGGTTTGGCTTGTAGGGTTAGCAAGAGCTAATTGGAAAGAATACCTGCTCCCAGTGACTGGTCTGCCCCTTATCGCATTAGATGAGAATTTGGGGTGAACTTTGTTCAGTGACCAATCATTAAACTATCATGGAAAAGCTTTTTACAAGTGATCTCATTAGAACTGGTGCACTTTTATCAATTATTAAGTTATCTTGAGTGAGGGAAGTGGTATCACTATCAGAGAGCATTGGATTTTCCAGACATTTAACAATCCCAGGGCAAGTAAAGCACTGGCTAGAAGCCAAGTAAACTTTCTCTACACTTCGTACCTTTGATTGGTGTCAATAGCAGTTTGAACACCAACCATCTTGTGGTGTCTGAGTGAGTCTGCCAAATTAAGAATCATTTGTGCCTTGGATTTTGCCTGCTAGGAAATAAGTTAATATATTTTGTCACCGATTTAATCAAGAGAAAGCAGATTTGATCTCAAGACCTGCAGGTGAAAGCAGTGCTAAACTCCACAACCGCAGGAACACATCTATCGACCTATAAAGTATCCTAGAATTGGTTTGGTTTCCGTAATCTTTGCTTTTGCTCTCGAAAATCAGATCACCTCAAGGGCAGGTGATCCATATGTGAAAGAGAAATCTGAACCTTACTGGAAATTGTTAGTGAAGGTTGACATTCTAAATTATTTCACTGACTCAAAGGGTGCAGTGTTATTTCAAAAGTTCCTGTGGGGTGTGGCTACAGCTGAAGAAATGTTTTGGATGTAACTTCTGGCCTTTGCAATGTTCTTACTGCTTCACAGACAGATGGTGACATAAATAGCACTTGACTCTTCCTCTTACAAATCAGGTTAATTTGGGTTCAACTTCTGTTTTTTTTAAAGGCCACCACTTTGCTTACTGGTAGCCTTTTGTTTGATTCCTGTTGGGTGTATGTTGACTCGATTTGGAAGGATTTTTTGCGAGATATCCAATTAACAATTATTTCACAATGTTCTGTTGAGGTCTAAGTACAGTGCAACAGATGATTTATAAATTTAATATTTGTTGAAACAAGTTCTTGTAAAGTTGAGTTGGGTTTCTGGTAGCAAGGGACCCAGTCTTAGTTCCTTATAGCACCATGACTGAGACATTCTCTTGTCTATTAAATCTTTATTATACTGTATTGGCTAGAGCACTCCTCAATTTCAAGGGCGAAATCTTAGGCAAGTTTCCTTACTCCACCCGCCTCTAGTTACTGAGCAGTAAGTAGGAACCCGGTGGTTAATCGATTGGTGGATCGCTTTCTTGGAGTAATAATCCCTCCACAAATAAAAATAATAATAACTTGGTCACTCAATCCACGACTGTTTGTGGAGCACTGCGGTGCACAATTAGCTACCTCGTTTCGCCAACAAAATACTTCACGGTTTATTCTGTGAAGCACTTTGAGAAGTCTCAAAGACATGAAAAGGTGCTGTATCAAATGCAAAGATTACTATTAATAATCTCAATGCCACAGCAGAATAATCATTCTGAGAGTGCTGAGCCCTTCATTTTGTTCCCAGCATATTTATTTATTTATTAGGCAGGGTAAGGATTAAGATCTGTGCACTGTTGTCTCTAGGTTAGAGAGCAGATGGAGAAGCAGGTAGCCCAGAAGTCCACTGAACTGGAACAGCACCTGCAACGAGTGCGTGAGCTGGAAGAAATGTACAAGAAGCTTGAGGAAGCTCTGGAGGATGAGAGGCAGGCAAGACAGGATGAGGAAATGATCCGAAAACTGCAGGCCAGGTAATTGTATAGAAACGTTTTACAAAATCAGCTTAGTGCTGGGTTTCAATAAGCAAGTAGACTTGGATTTGTGGATTTAGTTTGGAGTTCAGTACATTTTGAAGATAACTTGTTGGAAATTGGCTGGATAGACTAGATCAATCAAAGGCCCCATAGGAGCCCAAAGTTCTCAATGTAGTCATGATCACATCCAAACCCACTGACAATAACAGTAACTTCTATGAAAGAAGTCCTCAAACAAGTATGATATAAAATATGCTGCATAATCAATAAAAGTTTCAGTTCTCATTTTATGTTTGATCCAAAGTAAAATTAGAGCCGTTTTGAACTAACTATTATTCCCTGAATTTCTTGGATCAGGCACCAATTTGCTAGGCCAGATCTCAAACCTTGCTTTGCGTTTCTAGATTTGATGATCAATTGCTTATTTAAGAGGTTTGCAGGTCGTTTGTAGTTTTTAAGATCAGGATTCACAGCATCTGTCCTATTTTTGATTTTTTTTTACATCAAAGCCCTCAAAACTTACGAGATCAAAGGATTGGTTTGGATGAAGAAGGGCCTTCGATCTCATCCTTGCAGAACACCCACCCTACTGACCTCCCATCACCGTTTCAAACTGTTCAACAATTAAAATGAGACCCTCACTTTTAACTGGCACCTGTCCCATTGGCTTCTCTCTAGGTTACTGGAAGAGGAGTGTGCTAAACGAGCGGATCTGGAGAGATTGCATTTGCAGCAGCAACAAGCCATACAGATGACAGAAGCAGAAAAGCAGGAGCTGGAAAAGCAGCGAGCAAAAAAAGATCTTGAACTGAAGATAGCCATGGAGCAATTGGAGCAGCTGGCACTGGAGAGAGTGCAAGTGCTTGAGCAATACGATGTAAGAGTAATCAGATGACATGTGTCTCCTCTTGCTGCAGACTGCACAATAACGTTTTGCCTCAAAGGTCAATGGAGCTTCTTTTAGTTTGCAGCTCTACGCTGCCGTCTCAGTTTATATAATAAGCTAAGCCAAACAATTAGTAAGAACATAAGAATTTTCTGGGCGAAAGAAGACCAAGGTCCATCTAATTCGACTTCCACCATTCAGGCATTCGCTTGACATTTTGTGTCCCAAACTATGTACTGTATCCTGAGATATTATTTTCTAGCAGAAATCTATCTTAATTTGTTTTTGAAATAAATGACATTTTCTGCTTCCACCGTCTGTCTGGGATGTCCTCCTGACATGAAAAGCGCTATATCAAATGCAAGGATTATTATTATTATTATTATTATAGGGAGCTTGTTCCATAAGTTTACTACTCGCTCACTGAAGTAGTATTTCCGCAGATTTGTTTTGAAATTACCCCCTTTCAATCGCAGGCCATGTCCTCTGGTTCTACTGTTCAGTACGAGATAAAACAGCTTATCATCGTCCACGTTATCTATAGAGAGAATGTGAATTTGGTTTGTTTAAGGATTCAATGTGTTTTATATACACTAACATCAGGTTGTTTCCTTGTGCAAATGTGTTTCTACGACAGCCCAGTTCAATATCTTGACTCCTTTTTTATTTTTGTAACAGGAAATATCAAAAAAATTGGAGCTGGCAGCTAACAAGGCCAAGAACTGGAAGGACAAAGTGGCCCAACACGAAGGATTGCTGCGACTTATACAGCCAGGTAGGAGAACAAACAAAGATACCAACATTTCTCTTAACAACAGTGAGGTCTTTGACCAGTCCCAGTGTTCTGATATGCAGATGTGCAATTGGCTCTGGTGTTTTTTTTTAAAAAGTTGCCTTTCAACTTCGCATCTGGATGCCTGTGCTGTGCTCGCCATGTTGCTACAGTGGCACTGTTCCAAAGTTCGGTTTAAGGTTTAGCGAATTAACAACTTCTTATGGTGTTAATCTGGCTCAGGCGGTAGTACTCTCGCCTCTGATTTCGAAAGCTGTAAATTCAAGAGCCAAGTCGGCACTTTGAGTTCATAGTCCAGACTGACACTGCAATGCAGTGATAGCAGAGTATTGCCATTGTATCATCATTGGCAGAGGTGCCTTTCTTTAGATGAGGTATTAAACTGAGGTTCTATCTGCCTGTTTGAATGGATGTTAAATATCCCAGGACACTATTTAGAAAGAGAAAGGAGTTTCACCCTATGTCTTGGCCAGCAGTCCCCCAGATAAAAATTGGTCAGTCATTTAATGATGGGACTTTACTGTTCAGAAATTGGCAGCTTGTGTTTGCCTACAAACATAGTCACTATAGTCATAGTAATTCCTGTGAAGTGTTTCAAAATGCTTCATTGACTGATTAAGTGCAATATCAAATGCAAGGATTTTTATTATGTTTCATAGTGCAGTTTGCATGCATTGAATTCTTTGTTTTAATTATACATTTGGGGATTTTTGTAGGTTCAAAGAACCGTCAGCTGATCACCAATTGGGGACCGGCTGCTTTTACAGATGCTGAGTTGACCTTGCGGGAAAAGAATTGGCAGCAACAGAAAAATGCTGCCACACAGTGAACCACCCACTTCACCAGTATTCGAAGTGTTAAGAATGGTCTTTAACTACAGAATGGTCTTCAATACTGGTCACACACTCTCAATGTTCTGGACTTGTTCAACGTGGAGGCAGAACTGATCTGAAACTGTTATACAAAGAATTATTTTATGCTAAAATATTAATATTCTGGGTCCAAACATTCCTTGAGACTAATTGTTGATTTTTGCTTTGATGAGAAGCTATGTGTTAGATATTTAGTAAATCTTGACCTCTTCATTTCGAATTTTACTTCTAATGCTCCACAGTTCTGTGTTTTAGTTTTGTCCTGTGTTGCAGTATTATTTACTATTATGCATTCCTGATTTTTGACCCACGAAGTGACTGAGGAGGTTTTGCAGATTCGCCATCTAATGGGATGGACTTTGGATTAAGTTATCCAACGTTATTCACAGCATCATTCCTGACATGTCTTGCAGTCTTCACCGTTCATGTGAGACTGAGAGGGAACCAACTAAGTTGACAGGATATTTCTAGAATGCAATGGTGAATGGGGTGACTCGTGTAACTTTTCAGCTTCTGGTGGGATTGGGGTTAAGGAGGATTTTGATTTTTTTCCTATAACTTGCTTGGGTGCTTGTTCTGTCTCATGACTGTTAGAACTGATATCTTTGCTGCCCTAATGAGTACTATCAGCCTACGGACCTCGAATTGCACAACAGTTGGTTTGGTTTTACTATATCCAATTTTGGTCCTTGGTGGTTTTGTTCATATCATAAATTCTTGTAAATCATTGATAATCTCAGCAGAATTTCTGTTCATTTAGGGGTGGGGGTGGGGGAGACATTTCCCTGTAGTCTTTCTTCTTTGGAAATCTAATCTTATACAACTTTCTGAATTGCATGCTGGCTAGACTCACTCACTGAGCTCGCACCTCTACCACCAACATTAGACACGTTGGTAAGTAAATTTTTTTATTGCTAATTTTTGAAATGTGTTTTTAATATATTTGATTTGAGGATTTTAGTTTTTTTTCATATTGAATTTTTTTTTATGGATCTTTTGTGCAATTAGCCTAGAATTTGGATCAACTCTTAAAAATGATATTCAGATGAAAACCGTTTTATAAACCATTATTAGAGCACTACTTTGTGTCTGCTGTCAGTGAGGCAGACAGACTAATTTGAGACTTTGTTGAGCATAATTAGTTTTGGGAAAGTGAGGAGAGACTGAGACCTGGAACATGTGCTGTTTAAAACACAGGCATTTTTTCATTACCAAATGTTTAGAGTATTCTGAGAATTCAACAACAGAGCAATCACAACAAACTGCGTTTATATCGCACCTTTCATGTCATGTCCAGGAGGACGTCCCAAGGCACTGAAATTCCTTAAGGTTTAATACAAAGCTGTGGTTTTAAGTAGTGCAAGTTAAAGGTCAATATTTTAGTGCTCAGAATTACTGTGAAAAGAACAAACGTCAATCTGGAAGTATTAATAGCAATAATACTGGAGCAAAATAATTTTCAGAAATAGTTGCATGCTGGAGGCTTGCCATAAACTTGGAAGCTTGTTCACGCAGCTGGGTCCCAACAAGTTCAGAATAGTGTATAGCTATGGTGGTGTGTGTCTGGGGGCTTTCCTTCAGAAATTCTTTGTAGCTAAAATTAACAATGATCCTGTTTTTAGAGTATAGAGATAAAAAATGACTACTAATTTTTAAAAAGGTAAAATGTTGACTTGTTATGTTTTAACTTTATATTTTCTACAGAAGTTCATGTAACTCTGGTGTCCGATGATTGAATAATTCTTGACTTGATATAGATTCTCTTTGGTTAGAACTGGTATTCAATTGTTACCGTTTTGGTAGTACAGTAATTATAGTTTCTAAACCAGCTGAGATCATTATTCCTCTAAATGATGACATTCATAGTATTTAGAATGTGATCCGTGTGTAGAGATTTACCCGAAGTGCCAAACTTATCAATAAGGCTGGTTTTCTCTAGCATCTATCATTTCACTGTTAAGCAATTCACCTGTTGTTTCTGTGTATACCCCTAACTACAGATAGCGTTGAGTTGTGCAAGTGTTATTGAACATGCATTGATACATTGTTTAGTACCTATTTAAAAATAAATGAGAATTTTAAATATTCATTATACGTCTTTTGTCTTTTTATTCTGTACAGAAAGTCACGGCAATTGACAGTAATTAGTATGAGGCAATTCACAGACACTTTGAGAAATTTCAATTTTTGATGGTGCTATAAAAATTCTATCTTCATGGAGCTGAAGATGCATTTTTTTTACTTTCAGTGAACCAAATGTTAAAAACAGTTTACAGACAAGAGCAACAGTAAAATGTATATATGTAAAGTATATAAATACACAACAACAACTTACATTTATATAGTGCAGTGTCCCAGTATTATACCACTGAGTTAACTGATTGATATATATATATATATACACACACACAATCAGTTAAACCAGTGAAATATGTGTCTCAGTTAAGTACTGTTCGTTCACAACTGGAGTTGTGGATGAGTGGGGAGAAATGACTTGTCCGTGTACTACTGTTGCAGTCAATGATTTAGATTTTAGGTTAGAAGGGTGATTGGTAACTGGAGGGTATCAGGGCCTCCTCTCGTTAGGTTTCATCTGGCCTCTTGGTGCCGGGCAGTCTTAAGTGGTCATTGCAGCTGAAGTTCATTAGCTTTAGGTGTGCGGCCATTTTGGTCGCACACACCAGAGGTGAAGCTCTCGTTCTCCAGACCTGCAACTGGACTGGAATTCAATTGCGAGCTTCTAGGAAGACTAATGCTGAAAGCGATGAAGGAAATAGACAAAGAGCAGCATTGGGACAGGTCTAGCACGTAAGTGGCTCATTTCCTTTTACTTCCATAAGTAGGAAGTTCAGGCTGCGAAGAGTCTGAGTGAAATCCTCTGGCACTTACACCTCTGCTGCTTCCAGTAGCATTTCGGAGTCCGAAGAACATTCAAACTGCACCGTTTAGAGGTATATGCATTGTGGTTCATGCTTATATTTGAGTTTTTTTATTTCATGCAAAGTTTCTAAGCAAGGATACATTTTCTTTGAAATGCAGTAAAATTAACAGTTTAACTTTTTCTCTATCTTTCCCCCCCTCCAACCCACCCAGCCACCCACTCCTGCAAACTAGCTAGTTCAGTTTCTCTGCTCCACCTCCCCTTCACTAATAGTTTCAGGTTATCTTCTTTTTTTTCTCATACCACACCCTCTCCTTCACCTGCCTCTCACTCCCTCCTTTACTAGAGCCAAACCTGTGCCCTTCTCCTACCTCCTACTCCCTTCTTTACTGGAACAAAACCTGTGCCTTCTACGCGGTGCTCAATCAAGCAGTCTGCTCTTTTGTTTCAAACGCTTCAAGTCAGTCCTCATTCTTTGTGCTTTTCTTCCCTCTCCAACCCCCACCCCCTATTTCCCCCATTTCATTTTTTTTCTCTTCTTTTGAAGTTTGCTTCCAACATTTGCTTTGAAATAAGATCACAGAATTGGGGTGCTGTTGTGAAACTGAACAGGCTGCCAGCTCCTGGCAACACATTTGCCAAAGGTTTCCAGTGTACTTAAATCCACTACCTTAAATGCACCATAATTATGTTAAGAATCATTGTAAGATGTTTGGTTCTGCTTTCTTACACAAGCCAGTTGATCGTGCATAGTTAGTTCATTTCTCTTGGGGAAGGTGGTTGGGGTAAAATGATCCAACTATTGTATTTTTAGGATGGTTGCCCCCTCTCTTCCCCCCCCCCCCAGACAGAATGGTCAATTCTGTCATAATTTGGGACCTGGTTTTCTACACTTCAAAAGAAGAACCAGAATCCAAAGTGAGACAAATTCAAAAAATCTTTGCACAATTTTAATGCTTCAGGGCAAAATGAAGGCTAAGGCTAGATGGAATTTTTGGCCTCTATCTGGACAATCTTCTTTCACCTGCTGTAACCACTCTGGCTGGCATGTCCCTGCCATTGCATAGATAGGCAGGAGCACTAAACGGCCTACAGTGCCAAGTCCATTATGGTTATGAGGGAATTTCCATGGTATCTGGGAGCTCTGGCTGTTGTTTGTTTTTCAAGTGGCAAAAACATTCTCCGAAGGTAAACAATGCACAATGTTTTCCTTCTGCACTTCACACCCTTGGTACCCTCATCGATATTCAGAACTTTTTTTGAATAAAAAGGTGATACTGACTGAATTTTGACTGCCCTCGAAGCATCCTAACTTGCAAGTCGCGACCTTTGTAAGCCGTTTTGAATAACCAATGGTGTCGGTTTAAATTCAGTGCAGTGCATGGATCTTGTTGTTTCACTGTGGACTCCTCCATTAACAGTACGTTGATTGTTCTCCACATTATGACCGGTACAATGAATGCAGTTCAGTCCATAGCCGTCAGTTTGAATCATTGAACTGAAAAATCCACATCAGTGATCGTTGTCCTGAAATAATTCTCTTGCTGAAAGCTAGGGGCTTAAGATGCAAAACTTAGCAGGGTGTACTCTGAATGTACTCACATACTACAAGATCTATGCTGGGAATTGTATTGGAATCCCATCCTTTTCTTCTCTCTTTCACACACACTTGCCAAGAGCAAGTAGACAGGGCATTGGAGACGAGACTGGAATAATGATAAATAAATGTCTTTCATTTTTTTTAGAGCCTGTTTTTGAAATTGAGATATGCTTGTTTGCCCTCTACTGGTCAGATTTAATGAATACATGGTTGGGAAGAAACTGCCATCTAATCTGTCTCGGATCATCGATTCTGGGAAAAATATACTTCTGAGAAACTCTGAATAGGAATGAGTCCTGATTTTCACACCGAGAACGTATTGGAGGAGGGAACTTGTATATGACGTTGTATTTGGATTCTTTGAGAAATGAGAGAAACATTCAGGTGGGCAAGGTCCAGAATTTGAAGAAAGCTTAAACATATTGTGCCTTACCTCTCTCTCTCTCTCTCTCTCTCTCTCCCACCCCCACTCCCTCCACTCAGTAAGTGGTCAATTATTTTCATCTATTCTTTCACATCATGGCCTTAAATATTCTGCAGGTGAATGGACGATATTGAAGAGCACATTTCCTTGAGTGAGCTTCCTTGTTCTTTACAACACGGACAGAGAGGTGTCTTGTGCCCTATGCTCTGCGCAGATGACCAAGCTGGAATTTGGTCTGAGTCAGAACTGATTGCAACATAAGGCAACCATTCTGCTGCTGGAACTCAAACTCCCATCCACCAACGTATCTTGGCAACATATAAAGAAAGGTAAGCAAGCCCAGCACACTCAAACGTTACACCCAAAGTGTTAAAGTGGGATTTTTTTCATGTGCAGATTGGGCTGCTGTTAAATTCCACCATTTGCCGTTTAAACTATAAATTCCGGTGTAGCTCTTGCACTGCTATTGTTCATTCTACCACACGATGGGGATGTTGCACTGTTCAGATGATATGGCAGCATCATTGCAACTTTTTAAATATTCCACTCTCAGCCCTTGGCCTGTGCATCACCATGGGACCTGGTGCTCTTAACCCAGTGCTGTGTGGCTGTGAAATGCCAGCATGTGGGCAAACCAAATAAAATGCTATAAAGGGTTTCTTCCACTGAATCCATGTGGTTCCTTTATTGAAAAAATGTGTGCCATGATTATTGTTGTAGACACAAGAAGAGAATTTATTCATAAGTACTTCTGACATTGGGAGTTACTTAATCAATGCAGTTGTTAAATGGACACCATGTGTAAGTAAGTAATATTGGGAAAGTCACCTGCGGCACTCATGAAGCTTGCACTGTGTGCAAGGCAGAGTCTTTGTCAGGATATAATAATAATACTATAGGATCTATTCATCACCATGCCAGTGCTGGTTACAATCTCACAGTAGCCCTTCTTGAGGAACAGATTCAGAGACAGAGTCCATCTAGCTGAGGATGAGAGAGAGAGAGAGAGATTCAGGCAACACCTACATTAGGTGAGGAAATGCCCAGAACAGAGTCAATAGATGAGTCAATAGGTTCACCTTTCACCACCCTGCAGCTGTTCAACACCATGTTCAAAGACAAGCTGCTTGCTCTCTGTCTCTCTCATCTCTATCGTGGAGTCGAGTAGTGTAGCGATTTGTGCACTAGCCTCGCAAGCAAGCTGGTTTATTTCCCGGCCAGGTGAAACTTTCCTTGCTCTGTATGATTCTGTTTACCGATCAGTAAATAGGAACTTAGTTATTAGTCGATAGGCAGATCATTTTCCGGGGGTAATAATCTCCCCCCAAAAATCCTCGACTGTTTGTGACACTGCTGTGTGCTATTGGCTGCTGGGTTTTGCCTACAAAATACACAGTAAATCCATTTTACAATATATTCTGTGAAGCGCTTTGAGATGTCTGAACGACGTGATGAGGCGCTATATCACGTGCAAGGATTAATATTATTTATTCATTCATGAGCCTAGGCAATGCCAGCTATCTGTTGCTGTTAAGGGAATTACAATTGAGATCGATTGTGTTTATTGCCTACTTGATACATATGTGCACTTTCCACCAGGATTCATTGGATATCAACTAGGAACAGGAATATTCATGATTGATTTTCTCCTCCTTCCCCAAACCCACCCCCCACCGCCCTCCATACTAGGGCAAATTGTAGAACCCGCCCCACTGTTGTCCCAGATGTAACTGGGTAACTCAACACAGACCAGGCACTAAAGACTAGACCCCCTGGGTCTGCGAGGCTTAGTATTGTTGTCAATTGGGCCAAGAAGCCAACACTTTACTAATTTCCTATTACAGTGTCTGAGGTAGCAAGCAGAGTGAGAACAACGGGTACTGCAAATGCCAGTATCCATTCTGTGACATTGCTGGACAGCAAAACCTTTCCAAAGCTCCTGGATGGAAAATATACCCAGAAACCATCCTCGCTCAATCCACACCAGGTTTTCATTCCTTCCTTCCTTCCTTCCTTCAGCTTTTTATCTCTTTTGGAAACTTTAGATAGATTTACATATTTGGTTGAGTCATCGTACATTGTGTTCACACAGTATTTTGCAGGGAGGGATATACAGTGCTGCGATGAATCTGTTGACATACTTGTACATACTTGGATAACACTTCACGTCAAGAGGATCGAGAC